GTTATATATGATATGTAGTTCAAGAGAAGAACCAACTCTGATACAAGCATTATCTGGAAAATTCGTTACTCATATTGCTTGTGGAAGTGCATATAGTGCTGCTATTACTTCTACTGGTGAACTGTACACTTGGGGAAGAGGAAATTATGGAAGACTTGGTCATGGTAAGAAATTTATAATAACTAAACAATAGTTTATAGATGATGATATGAGCTTTACTGTTGAATCTAGATTTCCATGCATAAAAATAACACAAAGAATAAAATATTAATACATATATACTGATATTTATGTATATTGTACATAAGAGATTATGTACTGTATAATTTTAATTATTAAGGATGCTTTTTTGATTGAACAAAGTTAAAAAATTATCTGAAAGTTTTACGTAGAAATTTATGATTTAAAAATCCATTGATTGAAGAATTTACAATTTAGAAATTTTATAAATACACAACCTACTGATTACTGATCTTTTTGAAACTATTATATAAAATAATAATTTAAAATAATGAAGTTTTACTATATAATCAATCATAATTGCTTATATAGTATATTTATAATTTTGGTAAATATGTAATAGTTAATTTGTTATTTGATATGATGAAATGATCTAATAATGACCAATGCAAGAAGCATGTATCATGAACCTGTATGAATATTGATCGGTTAGCGAAGAGGATGACCAATGTGATGTGTTATAATCACTGATATCATATATGATATAATTTATAACATCATATTCAATGCAATCAAACAACACTCATTATGCTAAATGATATGAACTGTCAAATTCTTCCATAAAACATGAATCCAAAATTATACATCAGTATGATTAACATAAACTACTAAATTATCAGTAAAACTTCATTCACTCCAGCAAGTTTATTATTTACATATTGTCTTAAAAATTTTGTGGGAGACCATTCATGTATAGTATTTTTACAAGGTTTTTGATGGTGTTCTGTTCAGGGATTCTTGTCATAAACTGTACTGTTCATAAATTGAACATAACATAAAGGTAATAGTGAGGTATGGTTCTCGAAGCCATGCATAATATCAGACAAATGTATATCAAAATAAATTANCTTCCATAAAACATGAATCCAAAATTATACATCAGTATGATTAACATAAACTACTAAATTATCAGTAAAACTTCATTCACTTTCATTGAAAAAGGAATACAGTAGAAAATTGATTATCCAAAGCAATTCGGGAATGGGGTTGTTCAGATAACAGATTTTCCAGATAACTGATCATGTATGAAAGAATATATTAACCTATCCCCTGTTGAAATTTTTCTCCATTGTGTGTCACTTTGCATTGGATTTTTGTCGTCGTTAAGCCTAACTAAAATTTTTTAAATAATAATTGTGGCTATTGTATCATTAAAAATTATTTCTTTATTTTGCACAAACAAAATAAATATATTGAAAAATAAATTATATTTCAGGAGTTAATCTAGTATCAAAAACATTCCAATTCAGCGACACACAGTCTCCAGGAAAACACCACACAAAACAAACAAAACTTTTTTTTTCTTGGGTTTATCTGGAGATGTCAGCTGCTTGGGCTATATTCTCATTCGAGCTGAAGCAAAACACACCACTCACGATGCAAGGCCCTAGAATATAGCTCACGATGGGAAAAAAATGCGTCATTCAAGTACTGGTGTGTCCTTAAGTACCCTCTTGATGTGTATGAATCAGAATGTTTTTGATGCTAGATTAACTTCTGAAATATAATTTTTTTTTTCTATATTTTTCAATATGTTTATTTTGTTTGTGCAGAATAAGGAAATAATTTTTAACAATACAATATGGTCGTGCCAGTGCTGCCAGCTAAAACACGCACACCAACAAAAATAATATTGGAGTAGCCCAAGACATAGCCAAATATTGTAGTGTCACAGCAATAGCGAAAATTTGAATTTGCCAACTGGAACGCTTTCAGTTAGCTGATGTTTCTGTTGATAGGTATTCGGATAATTGATGCTCTACTGTATATATAAGTAATGCTTTGAAACATTGATAATTAATTATATTTTTAAATGCTTTTTATTTAGTTATTTATATTTGAATTATTTTAAAACTTTACAGGAAGTAGTGAAGATCAGTGTATACCTATGTTAGTAACAGCTCTTAAAGGTTATACTGTAGTAGATGTTGCATGTGGAAGTGGAGATGCGCAAACTCTAGCTGTTACAAATGATGGTATATATTTCCATTTTTACTTATTATTTAGTATTATATGTTATATATTTAAATTCACCTAAAATATTCTACTAAGAATTTTATTGAAGCATTGATAACTAGATGTACTTGTAATAATTCATATAAAATACTGTATTTTAAAAATGTTTAGCTATTTTAATATCTTTGTTATGGAATTCATTTAATTTTAATAATATAAAATGTTTCTTTGTTTAGGGGTTGTTTATTCCTGGGGTGATGGAGACTATGGTAAACTTGGTAGAGGAGGAAGTGATGGCTGCAAAACACCTAAGGTTATTGATAAATTACATGGAATAGATACAGTTAGAGTGTATTGTGGTTCTCAATTCAGTCTGGCTTTATCAAAAAGTGGTGCTTTATATTCATGGTAAATATCTATTACTTTGCTTTTAAATGTAATTTCATCATTATGTAATTCATATTATTATTCTATTAAATTTTAACATGCTATTAGTCATATTGTTTAAGTAGGAAATTTAAATATTTTTGGATAAATAAATGGGACAAATTACTCCATTCTCTAGTTTCTTTGGCATAAAACAGTTATTCAAGCTGACGGTATTAAGGATTGTTTTGTTTGTCTGAATAATTTTTTAATTCTCAANGCCATTTTTACAAGGTTTTTGATGGTGTTCTGTTCAGGGATTCTTGTCATAAACTGTACTGTTCATAAATTGAACATAACATAAAGGTAATAGTGAGGTATGGTTCTCGAAGCCATGCATAATATCAGACAAATGTATATCAAAATAAATTACAATTCTTATGAACTGTAACACAATATAGCAATACTCCTTAAATGTATTGAACTTGAAACCAACATTTAATAAATTAATTATGGTATTTTATTGACATGCAGAAACATGCAGATAGTCATTTTGCATTCAAAGGAATCAAAAATTCCACCAAGAGAATTTGAAATCTTTACATGAAATTGATTTTGTTTTTATTGTTAATATTTATTTGCTTAATTTATTATAAATGTAATTTCATCATTATGTAATTCATATTATTATTCTATTAAATTTTAACATGCTATTAGTAATATTGTTTAAGTAGGAAATTTAAATATTTTTGGATAAATAAATGGGACAAATTACTCCATTCTCTAGTTTCTTTGGCATAAAATAGTTATTCAAGCTGACGGTATTAAGGATTGTTTTGTTTGTCTGAATAATTTTTTAATTCTCAAATATATCTAAAACAAAAATTTTTAATCAATCATGTTTCAAGGATTTTTAAGGCTTTGGGTGACACCATGTCAGAGTTAATCAATAAAATAAATAGGAAATGTCTATTTCTAAATATAAAGTTTATTAATTTCCAGAAAAAAATTAAGGTCGTGTCAAATCTAGAGAATGATGTGGTCATGGTATTAGCCCTGCTTGACCTGGGAAATGTTTATTAAGGAAACTTTGGACATTGTACAGTATAATATTGGGATGGCACTGTTTTGCTGAAAGTGCATGCAGACATGTATTAGTGAAACTGTAAAACATAACAGTCAAAACTTGATAAAAACTTTCCATTTGCCAATTTTTTACTAGTTTTGCTCCTCTTTTGTTTTAAAAAAATTTGGTTACTCCATCTGTGACTAATAAATATATCATTTCAGTTTCATAAAATATGTTAAATAAGGACTGAAGAGGGATAAATAGCCTAAGATGCATTTCCTTTTTATGTAATAAAAGTTGCACAACCAATTAGTTGTGTTCCTGTATGATAACTTCTCCATAGCAATTCTGTGTTTTAAAGACCTAAATAGAGAGAACAAGAAGCAGTCGAGTACTAAATAATCTCTTTTGGTATTTCGAATCTTTACTTTGCCATTGAATGATTATAATACTTTAGTTTTTTATCTAAAACTATTGGAAATATAAATAGAAATGACATGTTGTTACATTTGAAACTTTGAGCAGTTGATTAATTGCAAATTTTAATTTGTTAAATGACTTATAGAAAATTTAGATTAGTCAGAAAATTTTTTGAATAATCTTAAAATTTTGTGAGTTTTAAAAAGTAGTGTTTATAAATTGAAGTTTTTTTTTATAAATCTTATAATAATGTATGTTTTGCTGTTCTGTTGACAGAAAAGTGTATTTAAAATTGAAATTTAAAAAATTTGTTAATATACTTTGTTTCAGTAAGAAGACATCTATCCATTTATTGAAACAAAAGAAAAATCAATATTTTAAGAAAATTTATTTATTTTTTTTTTAGGGGAAAAGGTGACAATCATCGATTAGGTCATAGTAGTGAGGAACATGTGCGATTTCCAAAACTAATAGAAGCTTTATCCAATAAAAAAATAGTAGACTTAGCGGTTGGATCGAGCCATTGTTGTGCAATAACTGAAAATGGTAAAGTTTATTGTTGGGGAAGAAATGATCAGGGCCAATTAGGTGCATATAATGGAGTGGAACCTGCCTTAATCACTTCTTTAGAAGGAAAAAAAATAATTGGTGCAACCTGTGGACTTGCTCAAGTAAATTTTATTCTTTGTATATTTAAAAATTCTTTAATTAAATTTAACATACTGTAAGACAATTTTCAAATATTTCTATTTGAAAATTGTCTTAAAATATTTGCTAACCTTAAAATTAAATTCTTATTTATATCATGTAATATTAATTTTTAAAAATTAATGATCATTTAAAAAAATTTTTTAGTTATATGCAGTAATTAACAATTGTGTTGATGTTGAATCTTTGGGAATTGGATCTGGAACTCGTCTTTTGCTTAGTTTAAAACAGAGGATAGTGGAATTAGCAAGTAGTCCAGGAGTGCTTCCTTCTATACAACAGGCTGCACAAGCTGTTCTTCAGACTGGTTGGAGTATATTATTGCCAACTGCAGATGAAAGAGCACGAGCGTTATCATCTCTTTTACCTGGAACAGGTTAGGAATAATATGGACATAAGAAAATAATTAAATGTAATAAATCTATTGTAATTATTTATGAAGCTAGGTTAAAAAACATAAGACTTACTTATTCACAAAATGTCAATGATTTATATAAACAATCAAACCTGAACTCATTGTAACGAAACCTTCGAACATTGGATAATTTCAGACTATATCTTGGCTAAATATTAATTATTGATATAAAGTAATTCAATTTAAAGTTAGATGATTTGGTTGCCATCTTGTACTAATATTTTTACCTTAATTTTTGAATTTATTGTTAAATTTAAGATATCCAGATGCTATATAACAATACAGGCAAGTTGAACTTTAATATTTTTAATTTGTTATAAATAGTTCTCATTATTTATCAATAGGAACTCAAAATGAATTTGCATCAATTAACCCTGGTCGACAATTTATGACTGAGTTGTTAGTCGGTAGTCTTATGGCTGATGGTGGACTTGAAAGCTCATTGTTAGCTGCTATTAAGGTGGAAATCCAAGAAATGGAAGAAATAAGAGTAAGTTTATAGATAAATAAGTAACTGCTTTTTAGTTTTTAGATAATTTTATGATTAATGAACATGCTATTTTAATCTTGGATTCAATAAAATCAGAATTTCTACTAACTTTAGTCTTATGTATTTACCTCATATAATGTTATCAGTCAGTTATTTTTATCATGGAGGGCAGTCCTAAAATGATTGCAATATTATTTAAAGACATAGACTAAGTTGTTTTTAATTACAATTAATTCAAAAGAGATATTTTTGGATTGTGATTTTTAAACATTAAAAAGTTGCTATTCAGACATTCTTAAAAAAAAATTCAAAACAGTATAAAAATGTGTTAATCAAAGATTAGTAAATTCTAATTGTTATTATTTGTTAATATGTAATTCATTTAGTATTGTTTGCTCACTACCATTTGCAATAGCTAGCATATAACTGAAGTAAGAAATATTAATTTAAAATACATTACTTCAAACAAATAATAATTAAAATGATTAATATTAAATGTTTAAAATATGATGATGATCACTGATAATGATTGCCTGTTGAGACTGGATAGCACAAGACAGTTAAAGACTGGTTTCCTTCTTATGCTGCAGAAAAATAAGTGGTTAAAACTAGGATAACTGCAGCAGAAAATTCATTCACTGATTCCCATTTTTTCCAGAAGTCTTTTAGTATATTATCATGATTTGAAAATAAATTCCAACATTCAGAAATTATTTGCTGTTTATCAGGTTATGTTAGCAGTTGCATTAATATGAAAATTATCAACCCAAAGCAATGTGATTGGTTAAATGCTCACTTGTAGATTTTTACTGCAAATGAGAAGTTTAGACGAAGTTGGCTTAAAGTGGCAGCATTCTTTTAATTTCAATATTATATATTTTACAGGAAAAAGAAGTATATAGAGATAAAGATCAAGATAAGGAATTGCTGATGACTACTAGTGGAGAACAATTAATGACTGAGCAAGCCTTATTAGAATCTGAAACAAAACGTACACAACAGGTGTCTCATACAGATGATTCATCAGTAATTCCTCTCTTACATCTTGTTAAACAGTTATTAAAGTAAGTTGAATTTAATTAAAAGCTGATAATAACTAATAATGTAGCTAATGATAAAATATGATAACTCTGTCAATTATTTTATTTCATTCAACATTGATTCAACTGATTTAGTACATATTTATTTTTTATTATCAAATAGAATTCTGTCTTGTTATGTTTAGATAAATATATTTGTTCTTGTCAAGTGGTCTTCTAGTCTTCTAGTCAGACACAAATGATTCTGCAAATTAAATGATTAGCCATTGTATTTCTACTTTTTTGTTTATCCAATATCAGAAAATGAGATAATTATTTGAAGACATGAAAACTATATTATTTTGCCAATATGAATTAAAATTTTCTCAAGATCATCTTAAAATAGTTTTCATGTAAAGACATAATAATTCATTTCCTGACTACAGATAAGAGATGTAGAAATAGTAGACATAAAAATACTAAGTTTAGTATTGTACTAATAACTAGATACAGTGGAACCTCACTTAACGAGCAAAACGAATTGTAAAAAATTGACTCACTTAATGAGTGTCATGGAGAGAAGTCCAAGATTGTGCGCATGCTCCATTAGTCTGTGTTTAGTGCTCGTTCTGCTAGCATCTTAGTGTTGCTTGTGATCACACATTTTTCCAAACTTTGTTCATACATATTATGTATAAACATCAACAACTATAGCCCATTATATAATAAACACACCCAAACAATATGCCAAATTCTTGTGCTATGTAAAGGCTATAATTACATATTAGAAATTGATTAATTTGACTAGAGGTAGGCAGTTATGCTGCCATCTTATATTAAATTTAATGACCAATTCCAAATTAAGTTTTAGAAATATCTGAATTAAAAATTAACTATTTATAATTATTAAATTTAATACGAGNATACAAGCTTTACTCAATTATTATTAGATTTATGATAAAATTGAACTATGTATTATAAACATAATTATAGTTTGAATGCAAGTGATATACTTGTAAATATTATAAAAAATTTTCAAATATCTGTAGTAGGATCAAATAGTTTACGGACTTGGCATGTAGTTTCTTACCTTGAATAATTTAAAACACTGATGCACACCCACCTTCAAAAGAATTCCCTTTTGGCAATCATACACTTTCTTTACCATTTGTCGAGCTTTTGGAAGCATTGATGTAAGCCATCTTTTGCAACCACCTATGCCTCCTGCAAGTCTGCTTTTATCTCATTTGATGACTCAAAACAATGTCAAAATGATCTCAGGCAGTTTATGACAAACAGACTCACCCAAATGCAACATTTTATGTTCAGATATGTGGTATTTTCATGACTCCATCATAAACAGCCTGAGATCATTTTGACATTGTTTTGAGTCAACAAATGAGGTAAAAACAGCATTACAGGTGATTGCAAAACATGGCTTATAGAAATGCTTTTGGAAGCTGTATGAGTGCTAGAAAAAGTGTATGATCACCCAAAGAGGATTCTTTTGGAGGTAGTTGTGCATTGGTGTTATTTGAGATACTATTAAAGACAAGAAACTATATGCCAAGTCCCCAAACTTTCAGATCCTGCCACATATAATGTGTGCAACCAGGTTAATGAAATATAAATATTTTATAATTTTTTTGTTTTTCTAGGAACATAGCATCTCAAACATTATCAAAGTTACAAAGTTATTTCCCAGAAAATATGAATTCCCCAGAAGCAAACAAAGGAGATTGTTTTGATAAAGGTTCAAGATCAGCATCTTTGGATCTTTTACGAAGATTTCAAAGACTTCTATTATCTCAGCTTTATCCTGCTGAGAATGAAAAAGCTAGATCATCGTCATTATTATATGGTAATGTGTTTATTAGTTTTTAAAAATAACTTATAGCTACTTCTAAATAGTAACTTAAATTTACAATAGAAACAAATAGATAGATTAATATAGAATGTTTAACATTAACTTACTGTGTTAAGGTCTTCTCTTTGATCTGTAATGATCAGTTCACTCCGTAACTTCTAAAACCAAGTAATTTTTAGTTAAATATTAAAATTTAAATAAATAATGTGTAATTTAAATGTGCTAATAAACATTAAATTGCAGTCATTGATTTATGTATGAGGGAAAACATTGAAAAAATCACAATAATTAAAAAACAAGAAATAAAATACAGATATGGACAAAATAACCACTCTAATATTAATAAACTNTTTATGTATGAGGGAAAACATTGAAAAAATCACAATAATTAAAAAACAAGAGAAATAAAATACAGATATGGACAAAATAACCACTCTAATATTAATAAACTTGTCTCATCGTTTTATCAGTTTCTCACTCTGCAGCATAGAATTATATTTTTTGTTATTTTATCTACTTCCTTGCCTTGTTTTTAACCTCTGCAACATCAAAGAAATGTTTGTCACTCAGGTTGATTTTAAGCAAACCAGAAAAAATCATCTTGATGGCAAAGGACATTTTTCTGGAGAAAAGAAACACAACAACATTGTTACTATATGGTTGTACATGTTTTGAGCATGATTGCCATTTTAAATTACTGAAAACAGACTCCAATCACACACGTGCACATCTGCTTCATAGACTGTCAGTATCTTGGACTATGCTATTATCTTGTGATACATATTGAAAATCTTTCATCTTTATTTTCATCTTTTTATTTTGCTTTCATTTGTGACTTATTAACTTCACTTCCTTAATAGATGACTAAATCCAAATATTAGAGATGAAAAAATTGCACTAAATTGTTATATGTAATAAACTAAAATGCATGTGAAATATTTTCACATTATTATTATTATTATTAAATAAATATATTTCTACATGATGCAATTATGTAATCATGATTTTACTAGATAATATTTTAAAGTATTGATATTAAATTTATTAATAAAAAATATTCTTCTTTTGTTATTTTTGCAGATAGTGAAATAGCTGGAGCAATCTCTCTCTTACGAAAATATATTAGTCTACTCACTACATTTACAACTGATTGCTTAGCTGTTGCTACAACATTGGCGTCAAACAGTTGCTATTATTTCTCCCTTGCTGCTAGTGTAATTGAAAGTGATTTATCAGGTGTGTATTATGATTTTAATGTGCTATCTTGTTTATAAGTAAATTCAATTAGTTCATTTCAGCTCAGATCGTAATTGTTAGATATAAAAATATTTTAATTGAATAAAAAATATTTAGGCTTTAGAATTATTTTATTAAATTTCTGTAGAGTTACTTTATAAAAAGAATTAAAATTACTACTTATATTTTTAAATTCTATATAATTTTTTTAGTTATTTAATAATAATTTCAGACATGTTTCATACAAAAATTGAGGATCTCAGAAATGTCTTTTATGAACAGAATATGACTATTACATGTTTAATTATATTTAGTTATATATAGGATACTTTTCATATGCTCTTTATTTACACAATAAGCTCTTAATTTCATAGTAAAACAGTAATTAGTACAGCAGTAATTTTATAATATGTGAAATATAAATTAGGAGCAAAATTTTCAGTCCAGTAAATAAAAATATGCCATTTTCTTATTCTTATCAGAATTTTATTGTTAATGTATTATATAAAACATTATTTTTTTAATAAATAATACTCTGAAATAGTTACTTTTTCATGCAGTTATATACAATAAATATCATAGTAAGAAAACTAATACAGAATTATGTAATGTGTAAAAAATATCAACATTCTAAATTGTGTATAAGTAATTATATATCCTACTTGATGGTGTATTGACAATCTTTGTAACTAATTGTATATGGAGTTATGTATATAAAACCTTATATATACTTATATACAGGCTTTTCCAAAAAAGAATGCTACCAGTTTAAATTATTGTAATTGTGTTAATTAATATTTGAGAATGTTATAATGTACATTAAAACATTGGAAAATTATTGACATTTTAGATGTGGCCATTACAGTTTCTCAATTCATGCATCTCGTTTGCATGGCACATATCTGAATGAAACTCAAATTCTTCTTACACTCATTACAGCATATCTGTTGTCACTTCTTCCATGACAGCCACAATTTTACAGATCCTGCAGATTACTCATGTTGCAGGATGACAATCAGTTTTGACTTTGCAAACAGTAGAACATAAAACATCTCTATTGCAGAATTGTCATTTTGTTTACAGTACTTCCTAGAAGTAGTATACAAAAAGATGTTTGAATGCAGATGGAAGTTGAAACTCCAATGGCCACTCTATTGATTAGTGTATGTCACATGCTTCTCAGGTAATAATTAACATAATTATATTAATTTAAAATGGTAGCATTCATTTTGGAAGACTTTGTATTACTATATATATTATATATACTAATATGCAAAACTATATAAATTTTATCAATGTTTATAAAAGTATATTTTTATAAATGCTTACTATATATGTACTTCAGGAAAAGTCTTTGAAATTTTGCCGACAGTATTGATACGATCCATCTAAAATTAATATAATGTTGAAGGAAAAGCCATTTTAAGATTTCATAATAAATTTCAGAAGACATATGAATAAATTCATTATTTTTTAATTAAAACTTTCTATTTAAATGATTTTAAGAATGCAGAATTTTTTTTATAGTATTATTTATAATTGATTTAGACTAAGTGGATAATATTGACATGCTTTTTTTATCTTAGGTGTGCTTTTGCCTGAACTGTTAATTTGTCTTGTAATGTTAGAGTTAGAAGTACCAAATATAATGCAAGATGCAGGAGTTGTGTCTTTGTTAAAACCTATATTTCAACAGTTAAATTATTTCAATCGTCTTGCACCAGGAATGGATCGTGAAGATGGAGAAGATTTAGCCTGGCCGGGAATTATACGTAAATATTAACTTTAATTAGTAAATCTTGTTGTTACATTATTATTTTTAGAAATTTTGTATCCTAAAGACATGTTAAAACTTATAAACATCTTAACAACACCCAATAACACACCTTCAATTGCCACCTTATATTAAAACTTTAAGAAACTTACACTACTTGTCTTTCATATGATGACAGTCTTTTCAATACAATGATCTGTTTAGTCCAAAATAATAATTGTTGTTGAAGCTACTTTTTCTTATTAATAATGGGTTAAAATAAATTAATTAAAAACATGCATTTACTAGAAAAATATAACTTGAATAGTAAATTCTACTTTTATGTTACATATTTTAATTTTCAGGGATCTATCGGGTTGAATTACTTTTTAATTTTATATTTAATAACTTTTTAAGTAAAATTCTAACAATAAAAGTATTGAAAGGACATTTTATATAATATTAATTAGAATAAATTAGAATTTTTTAAAGATTCTAATTGTCTTTGGTATTGATGAAGAAAATGCAACCTATTATAAATCTCATTAACTTTAAGATAAAGTTACTTTAATTCGGTATAATATAATTTTGAATAATTTTTCAACCAAAAAATAATCAGGATGAAATTTTTTTTAAACTTTATTTTATAAATAATTATTAATCTAACTATATTGAAAAATTTTGTGTTTATAAATTACTTATTTATTATATAAACATTAGAATGCTTATTTAATAAATAGTCTCAGTAGTTTAATATAAACAGGTATGCTATCTGTTTAGAATCAAGAATATATTAGATTATAATGAATACATAAAACATTTTTCTGCCTGTGCTTTATTTCAAGAATCATATTTAGAGAGAAATTATTATATAATTTAAATTACAGCATATAATATAAATCCTTTCTTTCATTTCATAAAGATGATGATAGAAATATATTCTTAGTTTTTACATGGATTTTTGACATTCAAAAAGAGAAAAATGAAGATTTTTAATAGGTTTCAAGTGACTATTTTTCTTTTATAATATAATTGATTAATGCAAAAACTGAAATTAAAAAAATTTATAATGACAATGTTAATATGTAAATAAAAAGTTTTACAAATTAAACTCATCAAGTATATTATTTCTTAATATGCAGTTTTTCTTTTTATTTAATTATAAGAAAAATGTTTTATCAATTACAGAAATGTAAGACAATTTGCTANATTTATTACATATACTAATATGCAAAACTATATAAATTTTATCAATGTTTATAAAAGTATATTTTTATAAATGCTTATCATGTATTTCCTTCAGGAAAAGTCTTTGAAATTTTGCCGACATTATTGATACGATCCATTTAAAATTAATATAATGTTGAAGGAAAAGCCATTTTAAGATTTCATAATAAATTTCAGAAGACATATGAATAAATCCATTATTTTTTAATTAAAACTTTCTATTTAAATGATTTTAAGAATGCAGAATTTTTTTATAGTATTATTTATAATTGATTTAGACTAAGTGGATAATATCGACATGCTTTTTTATCTTAGGTGTGCTTTTGCCTGAACTGTTAATATGTCTTGTAATGTTAGAGTTAGAAGTACCAAATATAATGCAAGATGCAGGAGTTGTGTCTTTGTTAAAACCTATATTTCAACAGTTAAATTATTTCAATCGTCTTGCACCAGGAATGGATCGTGAAGATGGAGAAGATTTAGCCTGGCCGGGAATTATACGTAAATATTAACTTTAATTAGTAAATCTTGTTGTTACATTATTATTTTTAGAAATTTTGTATCCTAAAGACATGTTAAAACTTATAAACATCTTAACAACACCCAATAACACACCTTCAATTGCTACCTTATGTTAAAACTTTAAGAAACTTACACTACTTGTCTTTTATATGATGACAATCTTTTCAATACAATGATCTGTTTAGTCCAAAATAATAATTGTCGTTGAAGCTACTTTTTCCTATTAATAATGGGTTAAAATAAATTAATTAAAAACATGCATTTACTACAAAAATATAACTGGAATAGTAAATTCTACTTTTATGTTACATGTTTTAATTTTCAGGGATCTATCAGGTTGAATTACTTTTTAATTTTATATTTAATGACTTTTTAAATGAAATTCTAACAATAAAAGTATTGAAAGGACATTTTATAGGATTATTGAAAGGATGAAGAAAATGCAGCCTATTATAAATCTCATTAACTTTAAGATAGAGTTACTTTAATTCGGTATAATATAATTTTGAATAATTTTTTAACAAAAAAATAATCAGGATGAGATTTTTTTAAACTTTATTTTATAAATAATTATTAATCTAACTATATTGAAAAATTTTGTGTTTATAAATTATCTTTTATTTGTTTATTATATAAACATTAGAATGCTTATTTAATAAATAGTCTCAGTAGTTTAATATAAACAGGTATTGTTATCTGTTTAGAATCAAGAATATATTAGATTATAATGAATACGTAAAAGATTTTTCTGCCTGTGCTTTATTTCAAGAATCATATTTAGAGAGAAATTATTATATAATTTAAATTACAGCATATAATATAAATCCTTTCTTTCATTTCATAAAGATGATGATAGGAATATATTCTTAGTTTTTACATGGATTTTTGACATTCAAAAAGAGAAAAATGAAGATTATTAAAAAGTTTCAAGTGACTATTTTTCTTTTATAATATAATGGGTTAATGCAAAAACTGAAATTAAAAAATTTATAATGACAATGTTAATATGTAAATAAAAGTTTTACAAATTAAACTCATCACATATATTATTTCTTAATATGCAGTTTTTCTTTTTATTTAATTATAAGAAAAATGTTTTATCAATTACAGAAATGTAAGACAATTTGCTACAATTTAATATTGAGCATATGTCAAATATATTATTTAAATTAAATAGGTTTTACTGTATTAAAAAAAATCCATAAATTTTTTTATTAGATCGTGCACATAGTTTAACTACTCAGAAATTAAATGAAGATGTCCCTGTTATACGTAAAGCAGATTTAGAAAACCAAAACAAAGATGGAGGATTATGGTTGGTCATTCAAGGCAAAGTTTATGATGTTCAAGATTTTAAAGAAAATGCTCCATGTGGTATTGAAACTCTTCAACATTATGCAGGTAAAATATTAGTTAATTGAATTATTTATTTAAAATGTGTAATTTTTGAAGCTGTTTATTAATATTTATATATGTACTAGAATATGTGCCTGTCGAATTTTAACGGGGGTTTTTTTTAAATAACATGTTTCTGTGCATTCTGTTGTCATACAAATTCATTATGATTTCAATTATTGAACATAAAGACTGAAAAAAAGAAACAAATGAACAAAGTTTGGAATGACATCAAAAATGAACCATATTATCATATCATATCATGCCACCATAGTAAAATATGAAGACCAAACTACAACTTAAATGATGTTTTCTCACATGGTGTGGTCTGCCATTTTTCTTGTGCCATGGAATGGGATGCCTCTTTCTATAATAATCTTATAATGAGTGTATTATTTAACCTATCTGTGTTTAATGTTTTATTATATGGACCATTTATTTTGAAAGTGGTGTAAGTCCATTTTTGGAAAAAATTGAGAAAACACAATATGCATACAATTTAGTGTGAACTTTTTATTTATAAACAATTCACACTTAGCATTTTAAAATAACCATAAGCTTTGATTAATTGAAAATTTATTGGTAAATGACATTGCATAACCATTGATTTTGAAAGTGGTGTAAGTCCATTTTCTACAGTCTAAGCACTTGGGCTGTCCATAAATTACATGTGCATTTTTCTTGAAATTTTCATTTCTCCCTCTTGTTCCACTTTTTCCAAGTTTTTGTAACCCCTTTTCCTCTATGGATGTCCAACATAACTCTATTTCCGTTAAAACCTTCATCACTTTATGAATGATAGATACCATAAGTAGAAATGAAACATACAAGAAACTTTGAAATAAATATAATAAAATGCATACTGTATAAAATTTAATGAAATAAATGGATGTCCAATAATACTCAACCCCCCTTGTCCGACTTGTCTTAACCCCCTCCCTCCCTTTCAGTGTGGACATCATTTAAAGACAGCCCCTTACAACAGAGGAGTAAAACTATAAATATTACCAACAAATGTACAATTTGATGGAATGGAAAAAAATCCATGTAATGAATCTAAATGAAAAGCAGTGTCTAATGGTAAGCTCATAATAATGATAAAGTTATCATAAAATAGTTTAGCAATAAGTAAATATTTTAATGTTCTGAATAAACAATATTATTTTATTTCTTGTTATTATATATGAACAAAATCAGACTAAAATACAATGTGTTTTCAAGTGAAATTGAGTTTTACATAATAGAAATTTAATGTATTTTACAGTTCAATAATTATGAACATGGTGTAAGTCCATTTATGGCCCAGAAAGAATATATTAGTTTAGTTAAATTCACATAGAAGTCTTTATGCAATCAACTTACATATTTCTAAAGTCATAAAAACATTGTCAAACTTAGTACACTTTATTTATATTTTTGAATCAACTAAAATGCAAATGTTTAAATATCTCGAAAGAACAAAAAATGGACTTACACCACTTTCAAAATAAACGGGTTTATATATGTATAATATTGAAGCATAATTATAAATTCAATTGTAAAATTAGAAAGCCATTAGGATCATTAATGAATGATTTGATGAGCTTATAAAATGCTTACTTCTAGTGTCAATTGTTATGCAAATTGTCCATTTATTTGTTAGTTAAGTAGGTTTGTTCAATTTGCACTTTGTAAGAATTTATTTTATTACTTTACATGATATAAATGTTATACAGGAAATAGAATTTGCAGTAGGAATATGTAGCTAAATTGGAAAGTATTGGATAAAAAATTTGATTATAGGTAGAAATAGAAACCCTTTTAATACTGTAAGAACAATTTCCTGACTTAAAATGTGAGTGAGGAAAATAATATATGTTCGTATATAAAAAGTTAATTTTAAAAAATTAGTTAAAAACTAAACAATAAATAGTACTGAGATCAGTGTTACTACTACTACAATGTCATCAGTGTTACCAATGCATTTTTATATACAGTAAAACCTTCTCCAAATGGAAACCTGCATAAACAGAAAGAATTCTTCACAACACAGCAATTTTCTGTGTTAAAAAGAACCTGTTTCAAAATAGAAACCTGCCAAGCTGGTAAAAATATTTGGTACTCTGTGATTCTGGTTTACACAGGTTTTACTGTATATAATATATTGACAACTCCCGATTTAGTGAGATAAAGGAGTGTTCATGAACCATGGTATTTTGAATTCCATGGTAAATTCACAAATTTCTTGAAAGTAACTACATGCACAATAAGAGGCACTCTGCTGCATTACATTATGTCATAAGGGAACTAAATAAAGTAAAATGCACAATACAATATGAAAAATACAGCTTGTTACTAATTATGAAGATTTTACTCATTTAAAAACTACACAATTTCATTTTAAATAAAAATTATGATAACAGTAATTAATTGTACATTAATTATGTTACGTAACTACAAAAATTATAAAAAGTATAGTACATTAACCAGAAAAATCAACATATTATTAAATTTAATAACTAGACACTCACTATTGAGAATAATACAACTGTTTTATGAAGTGTTTCTACCATCACTGACCATGCTAAATTTGATGTGCTGCACAACATCAAAATAACCACTTGTCAATATTTTGATTAAAATGGTGATAAAATCCCTAGTCAGTTTACTTCAACATTCAGCAGGAAATTAAATCACAAAACATGCTCAGGAAAAACAGCAGAATGTAAAACTCCTGTGTGATGGGAGTTCCATGCACCACATGCCTAGTGATGTCACAATGTCACTTGGCAAGTTCAGATAGGAAAATGGGAAGTGAAATGGAAAAATAAAAAATTGGTGAAATTGTCACCGATTTTTTAAAATTTTCCACAGCAACCCTGGTAAATTCATAACCCATTAGAACTGTCTCCTACTAAATAGAGAGATGACTGTACTGTACAAACCAATCAAACAATGCATATATTCACTTAGAGCATAACAACTGTTAAAATAGTCATATAATGACAATTATTTTAATACAAAAAACAATCACAAAATGTTATCTCACCCTTGCTAATTGATCATTTGAAGAATTTTGATCTCTTCACAGAAAATACAAGATTTGTATATTACTAAATAACTTTCACATCTTTAATAATTAGAAATAAATAATCCAGAAGAAAAAATTGATCTGAATTTACTGTAGTCCAAATTATGTTATACTAATATTTTAATTAATTTTGAGAAAGTTGTAAAATTGTTATGTCAACAACTTTTCAAATAAACATGGAAGATTAATATGAATTAATTACAGTTGACTGGATTTAATAAAATACATTACAAATTTTTTACTTTTTATTTATTTTCAAATAATTAATTTTACTCTATGTATGTATAATATTCTAATAGAATATATATTTGTATATATTTATTTATGTGTTATTTATCTTAGAATATTATTTAAAATGTATAGTTTTAATATTATCAGCTTTTACAATTTAAAGAAAATTTGATTTAAATATATATATGAAACAATTTCAGGGAGAGATGCAACTCATGCATTTGAAACTGCTGGTCACAGTGAAGAAACAAAAGAAAAAATGCTTTCATTTGCAATTGGTAACTATAGCGATGTGAGTTTTAACTCTCTTTAATTCTGAAATATGATTTAGAATGATTTAAAATCATTACGAACTGATGATAATTTTTATTTTAGATTTGTTGTTTATTTTAATTAATAATCTCTGAACTTTATAAAATTAAGAAAGGTAATTAAATTTAACTAAATTAAGTTTTATTTAAATGTTGCAAACTCTTATTATTAGTAATGTAACATAATTTATTTAGGATTAAATATTTTCAAGATTCTAAACTTTGAAGGATTGATTAAAAAGTTGAGATGCTTACATACAGTGTAGATGTTATTTTTTATTTGAAAGTCAGTCTATAAAAATATGATAGTCTTGTTTTTATATGTACATTTAAATTTGTGAGTGAAATGTTCTGCAATATATATTATAAAAATTTACTAATTCTTATAAACTTAACTAATTCAAACACTAAATTTNCAAGCATTTTATTTGAAATTTTTCACAAAGGGAAAAAGAAACAAAACTGAAATATAAAAGAAAATAAATATGAAAAGAATAGAATAAAATCGAGTAAATAAACCAGAAAATAGCCATCAATATTTCCGAAAGTTTGAAAGTAGAGCGTTATTATATCCAACGTCCTCAATTCTTATGACGATTACCGAAGCGAACTTGCCATTTATCAGCGTTACTACGAACAGACATACAGAACGGTTATTTATAAATATATTTAAAGAATTTCTAGGCGTAGCCAAGCACCATAAAACCATTTACAAACGTAACCACGTAGAATGTTACCAGATCTTTGTAATAGGAAATGCAATTAAGGATGCTCTTGCCTATTCGAATCTCTTGACTAATGATAAAATAAATTGTTATAAAAACATAAAAAAAAAGGCTTGCCAAATATTAAATTTTGTGATATTTCTCTTAATGTAGCAGTTTATTTGCTGTATCACGTATTTGCTAGTTTCTTAATTTACTAGATTCTCCCCGAATAATGCTATTTGTAATGAGTAATAGTTTCCGATTCTTTGTGGCTATATCACGTGTCATTTTCATTGTTCGGTGATATTTTATGCACTGTAAGACAGTTCGTAAAACGTCATCAAAGCTTTATTATCTTGGACAGGGAGGGGATCGATATGATGTTTCTCACACGATAAAACTGATGTGTGAATATCGGAATTCGATTGAATTCAGAAATGTGAAGAATTCTACAATTTTCAATTGTTTTTTATTACTATAGAAGTTCGATTTTAAACCGATTTATTTTATATATTTTTTACTTTCCTGGCTGTTATATAACAGAGGGAAAGTATGGCGATCAATCAAAAAATGATCCCCCACAAGGTTTTCACAGTTTTGGTTGAATCAGGGGTGTATTCATGGATGTTAGCGTGTTGGGGTGAAAGATTCATCCACTTCGAAGATCAATAACTCCCGTGCCTTATGTCGGAAATTTCTGGCAATTTGCAGGGAGATTTTTGTATTGAGGAGGAATATTTTTAGAAATTTTTAGAAAAATCGGACTTGTTTTTCGGGAAATATGACCCCCATCCTATTAATATCTTCCGAATCAATCTGAAAACAAAAGGTAATGGTAGCAATTATTAAGAACGAAAACAAATAAAGAATACCGGGAAATTCCAGCAAAATATTGCTAGCATTTTTTTCTATTATAGAAACAATAATGATTTTGTTAATTACATTACTAATTTCTATTGGCATTTAAGTGACAAAATTAGGTAAAATATTTTAATTTTTACATGTAAATATTTATTTAACAGTGTTTTATTGTTACTGACATTTAAATTTCAATTTCTTAGCTTTAAAATGTGAAAATTTTACTTTAAATTATTTATTACATTCGGACTTTTAACGTACTCTACAGAAATTATTAATATATCAATATTTCTGCCGTTAAATTTATATAATATTAATCAATGCTTTACACAAATAAATTATTATTCAAATTAAATGTAATACATCAAATACACCTACTTTAGCTTCAGGACACATTTACATACATTATATTTATTCCAATATTAATAATAATTTAATGAAAGATTTATGTTTATCTACAATATTAGCTTACTTATAAGACTGTTTTCGCAATAAGAGGGCCTTCTTTATGCCGTTTATACATCGATCAGGCCCACAATAGGAGTGGCCGGATATGGCCTGAATATCTAGGATAGATCGCCTGTAAAAATTTGATAGCCCCACAGGGATTCGAACCCATCAGAAGATCAGGACCCTCTCGAGTTCTGTATCAGCTATACTATCATAAAAATTTATATTACTAATTTAATTACTATAATCTGAAGCTATTATTTTCTATTCAATACAGCCAGAACAAGAATTGGTTCAACTCGTAGATCATTCAACTTTATCATCTCCGTTGATTGACGCCGAACGCACTCTTGCTTACCTACTTGGTTTAAATGCACGAAATCAAACTATCGGACCTCCTTTACAGTCTTGTGAAAAACAGGCAAATCATTGGTTATCTGCATCATTATTCTGTGGAGGTCTTCAAGCTCTTCAACCACCTAATCCTTTTGAAGAAGAAAAAGGTGAAGTAAGAAGTACTAGTTCAAGTACAGCTACACCAGGTATTTGTTGCTCAAATATTAATTATTAACGTAAAAATTGATAAGGTACTTTAATTATTAGTGAAAAATGTGTAATAAATCCCAATATTAACTGTTGTGGCATACAAATGTATCAAATGATAATGAGTTATTGATGACTGCATATTAAATTGAGATGCTAACCTTCTGCTTTTGAAATACAGAATGAATTCAAGTTGATCATTATAAATGTTTACAAAGGGATTGATCTGGATATATTAGGTTCTATTTCATCAAGCTTGTCTCTTGGATTTGACTGAGCTTATAATGAGAATTAAAAGAGAGACTCTTAATGATTGCAAAACAAAGTTTTTAAAAGAATGATCTTTATAATCTATAATCTGTTATACGTATTTAAAGTATAGAGTAATGGATTCATAATTTGACTTATAATTACAAATTTCAAGATTTCAATAATAGTAACATCATGTTATATATAAAATAAATACAACTAATCTGACAGTCATTACAAATGCCAAACGAAGAGCCAGATTCTATATTTAGCTCTATAGTTTGGTAAAGAATCTGGCCCAATAAAGAATTCAGCTTTCTTTTTGTAATAGTAACAATATCACAAATGTGATTTTTTTCTTTTTTGTCTGTCTGGATATCTCTCTGTCTCTTTTGTCCAACTCTTTTGTTGCAATGTTCTCATCTCATAGTGCTTAGTCACTTTACTATAACTATACATCACATTTGTACCTGAAGCTATCTGCATTCATCAGTTATGTGGATATATAAGGACTTTACTATGCATCCTATATACCTTTATCATTATCATTGTATAAATACTTTAAATTAATCAGCAGTTATCAAGTTCAGCTGGTTCAGTTGGCAGAGTTTTGAATAGATTTCCATAAAAATTATTAGTTTGAATCCACTCAGTATTTACCATTTTTAATCTTTTAATGAATATAATAAATGTTATATTAAAGTTTATAATTTATATGTATATACAGTAAGACCCCGCTTAACACTGATTCAATATAACGTGGTCTGCGTGACACCTAAAAAACACTCAAAATTTATGCTGATTCAAATTAATGTGGTATTTCATTGATTTGTATATAATACGATTATTCCCAAACACGAACCAATCAGCAAAAGGTGGCAGTTTATCATAGTGCTGTACTTCCCTTAAATCTATATTTGTTTGGTGTGATTTTGGAAAAAATCCATGATGTTAATGGATGCCATAGGAAATAGTGATTTGGCTTGGAAAGAATTAACTGATAAATGCATGAATGGAGTATGGAAGAAGTTATGGCTGAAGGTATCCAAGAATTCTCATTGAGAAGAGCCTATCACTGTATTGTTAGGCTGACAAAATTGTCAACTTAATTGATACAGGAGATATAGATGAGCAGGATATTGGGGAGTTACTGCAGGTTTCTGGTAAGAGCCCTACCAATGATGACCTTCAAGAACTGGCAGAACAAGAAATTCATGTAGAACTGGAAAATAGAGATTCTGAAGACAAAGAACCCAAAAAATTTCTCTACAGTTTTCCTTAGAAAAAGTTTAATAACAATAACCAAAATTGTTGATCAAATTATAGTGAATAATCCAGATTTTGATAGGAGTGCCAAAGCAAAACGAGGTGTTTTTGACATGATCTTCTGCTACTGACATTTGCTTAAGGAAAGAAAAAGAAAGCAACCAATGAAACTACATGACTTCATCACAAAAACAAGAATTTCAGAATAGCCAGGGCTTTCGTCACAAAAAATTAACTTTACATTTATGTGCGCATATGTTTATGTGTTATTTAACATATATTATTATGCAAAAATTTATATAAAAATAACTTAAAATTATAGTAAAATGTGCTTACTTTTTGGTCACATGTTCCCCCTATCCCTATTTATTCTATGTTAAAATGGTCTCATTTAACACTGTTTCACTTAGTGCTTTGTCATCTAGAAACTTATCCCCTGCGTTAAGTGGGGTCTTACTATACATCTTTTTTATATTTAATGATTTATTATATCAAATATTTAAATATGAAAATTAATGGCTCTAAAATTAAGTTAATTCTAGTTTTTCTAACTTTATTTTATTTACCAACATTTTTTATTTAAGTAAAATCCTTTAAATAAATTTTCTGTAACTTTTACAAATGTATCATTAATTTCATCACTATTATAAGTTATTTCATTAATTAGAAATTTTATAAAGTTTTATATACTTTAGACACTATATAAAAAATTTTTTTGAATTTCAGTTTCAGGCAATACTCCAACCGAGCCTTTACCAAAGTTTGAATGTTCGGAAAATTCAAGTTTAGTGGCAAACAAAGATAAGTCAGGTCCATTTTTAGAAGCTCTGGCTGAAAGTAAATTACAAGACAGTAATATTACATCATTTTTACAATTACTCGAAAGTTACTGTAAACAGCATCATTTGACACTTCACATGGATTTTCCTTCAGATCATCCCGTAGAAGAAGTTAGCAGGTATGAAAACATAACACAATTTTATAATAAGAAACAAATTTATATCTACTTATTTATCTATTTTCACTATTAAATGTATTTACATATACACTTGACTGTACACAATTTTTATTCTTCTGTCTTTCCATATATGAAATTTATTTGAGTGAAGGAAGTTTTTGTCTTCAGTTTGTTGCCTTTATTGAAAAATGCTGTTGCTTTTGTTCAGTTTTATGTTTTCATCCAAAAATTTACAGTAATTTATAGGTTAGAATCCAAAAATTTTTGGATTTAGTACTGGATACATTTTTGGACTGTTTCAAAAATTTAACAGTCTAAATTACTAGTGTGTAAAATACAGTGTGATTCTTATATACAAGTACTGATCTATGAGAATTTGATACAACACATTGTTTCCATTTATAATATATATAATATAATAATAATATAAATATATTAATGTTGTTATTTGTTTATTAATAAATGTCAGTATTAATTTTTATATGTAAATTTAATTTAAAATTAATTTATAAATAAAATTAATCATAACTTTCTTTTAGGCTGCTGCTAGCATTACTTTTGAAACATTTAAGATTAGGAAATATATGTCTTTCACTTGCGGAACAAGTTTCTGAGGCAGGATCTAGTAGCGAATACTTAGATAAATTACCAAAAATTTTGGAAAATGTTTTAAGAATAGTTCAGCAGGCCAAATGGTGTTTAATAAAGGTAATATATAATATTTACGTAACAAAGAAAACTTATGGCAATTTTTTTGTCAATTAAAGAAGGAAATTTTTGATTGGGCTGCAATTTGAAAAAATTGTAGACATATGTGTGTACTTTTACTTGTCTGTACTGTCATCTGTACTATTGTCATTCGTCTGTCTGTACTTCCTTACTCTTGAGAACAGAGTTACATAGATTAAAATTGAGTCCAGATATGGAAAGCTACTTGGCAGGAGACCCCAATTAGCTATGTAAGAAGTCACGTTATTTCAGTTTGGTTTGCACTGGAAACTTATGGAAATTTTGCCAGATGGGTTATACAAGAATTAAAAACTTTAGTATTAAATACATTATTTCAGTTCAAAAATTTTCCTCAGAAAGGAGTTAGATGATTGCACGACTCTGTTGCTAACAGGAAAAGTATGATGATGTACAGGGGCAAGACATTAGTAATTTGAGGTAGAGAACATAAATTTTAAATTGAATAAATAAAAAATATGGTTAAAAATTGCAGCCCAGCATTATCGCAATTTTACAATAAAATAATTGTTCATTAATTAGTAGATTTTGAATTTTAATTATGAAAGAATTTATCTGATATATTTATTGATTATGTAAATATTTAGTTAGTCTTTTAATATAAAGCTGCTGGAATATTGATTATGTAAAATAGTTTACTACAAAATTCATGTAAAATATAGAATAAAAACAAAATTGTACATAAATTTAATTTTAAGTTAAGTACAGCTTTTTATTTTAATGTTATAATTTGTGTGAATTTTATAATAAATTATTTTATGCAGTCAATATTCTTTTGTATATTTAGCTTATATTTTTAATAAAATTTTTCATTTTTCCATTTTATTGTTTTTTATTATGTTCTAATCGACATGACTATTTTGCTTGCATTTAGGTTATTTGATTTTTCTCTGTCATTTAGTTAATTAAACAATTAGTGAATTATTATTTTAAACCAAACAATAACTTTTAAATTAATATTTGGAATATTGAAGAATTCTTATAATAATTTTAATTTAATATTGCTGAAGATGGTTTTAATAATAAAACCAAAAATATTTCTAATTCACATCTGGTCTTTGATTTAAGCTAAAGTAAACCATGATAAATTCTTAATTTTTTAACTTAACTATATTACTAATACTATTAATAGTAGTAGCAATGTAGCGTGATATAATTCCAATGATAGCTGTTTGCCTTTAATGAATAACTATCAGGTTTTTAGATGTTGATACTTGTGATTTAATTTTGTGTTCTAAATCTAGAAAAGTTTTGCATAAAAATTAAAATTGTTTTTTTGTACTGACATAAGAAAACTTTTAACACAATAATGATATTCTTTATACTAATTTAGGCTCGCCAAGACCTTAATGGCTCTTATAAAGAAGTATGTTTACCAGTATTTGAACGATGTAGATTTCTGTTTTACGAACTAAGACCTGCAACGAGTATTGAAGTACAAGCTTTAGCCAAACTCAAAATTTTGAATACAGTACCAAAATGGAAACATATTACGAATCACTTAATAAAAGATCGGAAAGTGTCCAAAGGTTGATAATTATAAAACTTTTGTAGTTTTATTGTGATAAAATAAAATGTATTACAGTATAAATTACTTGTAAGCACTTTAAATGTTTAAAGTTAATTATAACAAATTAACCAAGTTACATATATAAATTTAAGCCAGATAATTTAACCATATAAATTTTATACTTTTTTATTGTAATTAAAATTAATAAATTAACATTTGTTAGGGAATATTAACTTTTAATTATAATAATATAAAATTTATTACATGGTTTATGTTTATCAATTAGGAATTATAATTTAATTAAACATATATTTAATTACATAAATTTAAAATTTTTTCTATATTATTTTATTTTAAAATTGAGCTTAATTTACCTAGTCTTAAGATTTTGAAAATTTTGTAAATGTTTGATTTATTTTTATTTATATATATCAGGAAAATAGTTTAGAAAATATTAACTCTATATTTCCTTGATTCTAAGATAGATTTGTTAGACTCAGGGATTGAAAATACTCAATGAGTGGAAAAAGTGACAAGAACATAAAGCTTTACAGAAACAGTCACAACGAGAAATGTCTCATCCTGCTGATTATAAAGACCCCACCAATGTAATGCAAAATTTGTGTTGGGGATGATAAAAAATGACCATAATGTGTCACCAACATTTCTTAAGCCACAATAGATAACCTTCCTCACTTTTTCTAGTAAATTTTTTATTACAAAACAAACATTTTCAGCCTACAGCTTTGAACCTCACGCCAAACATCACATAAAAAGAAAGTAAAAACACACTGAGTGCAGCATTAACAGTTTATTTTTAATTGCACTGTCATCTTCAAATGAAGAAATGAATTAGAATATGTTCTATTTTTAAATTCCGTTTGCCTGAAGATGATGAACATAAGTTTGTTGAAAGTGCAAGCAAAAATAAAATCTATTAATGCTGCACTCAATGCATTTTTACTTTTTTTTTTTATTTTTATTTTTTACATTTTCAGCATTCTTTAGCAACCTGTCTCAAGTTATTGAACCCAAAAAAAAAAAATGAAAAAACTAGAAGATAAATTTCATTTGATAACCTGAGGCAGGCCACTAAAACAGGTTGAAAACAGCTAATTTTGCAGAAACTGTTAGAATGATACATAAAATATCTTTAGAAAACACTTTATCTGCACTTCTATTGATGCAGTACCTCTCCCAATTGCAGCTTACAAAACCCTGCTTCTTCCAGGCTTTATATTAGAGAATGACTGAAAAGATAACAAACTTGCACATATCTTGTACATTGATGAAATTGTCATCAGCAGTTGTGACCCTGTTGCAAGCATGGTACCACTCAAATAGTCCTTTTATGCTTGAATGATAAAGCCCAGATGTCAGATGAATAACTGAGTTTACTGAATTGATTACACTTCTTCCTGAATGAGGATAAGATGCTTTATGTTGTTTCTATAACAACACATGTGGTATGTTGATAATGCCAGAACATGTGGTCATTTTTTTAACAGTCCCAAAACAAATTTTGTATCATAATGTTTTTTGAAAATGCTACAATGCATTGTTGCTCTTGTTAAGCAGCCTGGATGAGAAATTTCTTATTTCTGTTCAATCAAATGCATTCTATAAAAAAACTCTTAAATTTTAATTTAGAAATCATGGTGTTTTTTAGAACCAATTTGCATCTTAAAATTGAAAAATTAATTAAAATTTATAATAAATTATCTAAAGATTTAATATTAATGTATATATGTTTAGTGTCAAAGAGTAAATCAGATGGTATGGGAGTAAAAAATAAAGATCATCACGAAGAGACAGAAAATGTAGAATTGCAGCAGGGTCTTCGAAAAATTAAAGTATTTGTGTTTTCTTACATATTTCAATTTTATATTTTTTTTATAATATGTTATTATAAAAATACATTTATATTTAAAGTATCAGCCTTCTTTTAAAAATATAAACTGTCATAAAGATGGAAATTGTTTAGAAAATGGATTATGTACTACAAATGATCTGGAAACACTTGCCCATCAAGTTGTGGAATTTGTCTTACAAGATGATAATGTAGACATTGAAATTATACGTAAGGCATTATACTGTCAGGTAAGTACAAAAATTTTATTTAGAGGTTTTCATAAAATTAAAAAGTAAATAAAAGATTTACAACTGCTAGTAAACAGTTTAATTGTTATTTTATTTATTTATACATCATTAAAATAAAGACATTCATAAGATCATTAAAATAAAAAATTACAAAAACATACATAAAAGTTTGTGTGCATGAACATTTGATTGTAACTTTCAAACTCTGCTTTGACCTTAGCTTTTAATAATAAATTTTAAATTGATGATTTATTTCCTTATTTTATAAAATACTTATTTTTATACAGTTTATTTTTTTAATCTTAGAAACTATACAATTACTCATTGTATCATTAAATAATCATTTCTCTAACGAAAGATTTTCATTTTCTACTTAAGGCTAAATAACTACATTAGATTGTTTTATTTATTTATTTGGAATTTAATTAATTAAGTATTGTAAGTGAATTAAATAACTGATTTAATTCACTTACAGTAATTACTTGGGAAGAAAATTGCATACAGGATTTTCAAAGATTTTCTGAAAATGTAAAAGCAAATTGATTTAGCGCTTTATTTTTTGACATATATTCTATTTTAATTTAAAACATTTTTCTATATGATGTCACCATTCTTCTAAGACTTTCCAGCAGAAATGGGTGCTCTTTGATTCTAGAAAATGTTTGTTATTCAACCTTGTATTTATGCAATATTTGTGAATATACCTTTTACTGATGATAACAGTGGACTGAAAAGCTTGAAACTGCTTGAGAATTGATGCAAATGTTATGGTCTTTGGTAAAGCAGCAGCTAGTGGATTTTGTACATAGTTAAATATATTTATTTTTAGAAAACTGATGAAAGAATTATAATATGAAAAATTAATCATTTATTTTAGATGGAAAGAGCAAAATTCAGGCAAAAAGGCATTGAATCAATACTGGAATTATTAAATCAAGATCATTTAATTCCTTCTATAAAATATTTTTTACTAAATGGATGGCTAGGACTTATTAAAGTTGGTGGAATGAAATGGTAAGTTCTTAGAATTCTTTTATTATTAAAATTATAAATTAAGCTTATATTTTACAGAAGTTTTAATGAAAATAAATTTTTATTTCAGTGAAACTTTACCTCACTGCTTAGAAAATGTGAGCCTAATTCCACCTTATGATAGAGTAATGTTAGAATTAACTTATGGAAATTTTGCCAGATGGGTTATACAAGAATTAAAAACTTTAGTATTAAATACAGAAGCATACTGTAATTCATATATTCAAGAATCAAATGTGAAACAGAAGCAAACAAAATTTAAACAGTGCAGAAAAATCGAAACAGGAGGAATTACCATTGGATTACTTCGATCTGCTCGATTTCTATTAACAATTATGGGAACATTAGTAGGAGATCATCATGCTGAAGAGATTAGCATGTTATTGAATTCTGGTGTTTTAGCTCTACTACAAACATTAATGAGATTACTTGGTAAGTATGCATATATTTATGTATGTATCAAGATATAATATATACAGGGTTCCTACACACCTGGAAAGTCAGGGATTTTCATTAGTGTTTGGAAAAAGTCAGGGAAAGTCAGGGAATTTGTCAAAAAGTCAGGAAATTTGTTTCCTTAACTGCATTGTTGATCTCGTTTGCTGAATATGGCTGACCAATCATAGCCATCTGCAGGCAGCAAGAAGTAATGTTGTAATCTTTAATAAGAAAATACACCAGAATCCATTTTGAAATGGTTTTTTTCACCGTTCTGAAGCCATATAATTTTACAGTTGTGGATTAATAATAGGATAAACTAATTGTAATAGTGTTTTATGTAATAGTGTTTAATTTTTAATTTTAATAATACTTTGTTTATTATGAATGAAACTAAACTACATATAAATTTTAGGATGGTCCACTCCCCGGAGAAGGACGGGTAATAGGCGAATTGGGAGACGATGGATGGATCAGAGTTCAGTGGGATAATGGCTCTACCAACTCATACCGAATGGGCAAAGAAGGGAAGTATGATTTAAAGTTAGCAGAACCACCTCCCCAACCTGAATTTGAATCAAGTTCTGAATCAGATGAAGATGAAGGTAATAACTCATGAATTACGACTGAATAATGATAAATACTCATGTATTAAATATTCTTTGAATTTAAAACATTTTAAACTGTTATATATCCAAATATATAAAAATTGCATCTCGTATTTTACTCCATCAGATAAAAACAAATTATGTGAAAACTGGTACCAGTTTTTAAACTAAATAAATGAAACAGAAAGCTAGAAAGAAATCATAACATTAAGAAGTCTAGATTCTTGTAAATAGCTTAAATTTATTTGAGTTTGGACATAAAATGTTTTGTTGATTTTTTACAATCATCAAAACATTTTATGTCCAAACTCAAATAATTAATGGAATTTAAGATTATGGTCCAATTCATTTCTAACTTTACTGAATCTTTATATATAATTTGACAAAACATATATACAGGGTGTTTATTTTAACATTTATCTGGGTGCAAAAGAGATTTATTTGCATAGCACAAGTATATTCATAGCCCGTGGGAAATTAGTTTCACCATGATGTTTACAGTAAAATAAATTAATTCGTTTGAAAAGAGAACATGTTTACATTGCATGGCAGTTCTACTACAATATGTAAAATTTCCTGTCTCTCTAAAGTGCAAAGATAATGGAGGGAAATCATTTAACAAGATTTAGCATAATGTGCAAAGAATATCTGGCTGTAAAGTATAAAGACTAACATCGCATATATTAATACTCAAACAGTTAGCTTTATTTTGCTATAGTATAGTTCAAAAAATCTTGTTTTTGATGCAGCTGGGAAGTGTGTGTGGAATCTACATGCTTGCTTCTTATACAACCTAACTTATTTTCCCATAAAGTATAATCATTTCACATTTATATTGATGAGTGTAAGACATTGTTATGGTGCTTTACGAAATAGCAGACCCAATAATTTTGGCTTTTATGTAAGGACATGGGTGTTGTTTGTTGTCACATGATTTGTGAAGATCATATTTATAATTTGCATTTTGTNACTGGTAAATAAAATAACAAATATTTATTGCTCAATGTAGTTTGCAGTTCTTTTTACAACAGAAAATTTTTTTCAATTAAAAATAATATTGTCACCAGTCCGCTTAAAAAAGATATTTTCTGGTTCGTGATGAGTTTTGGGTTGAGAAACACTGGTCTAGACCATCCTTTCTCAAAGTGGGTGATAACTCCCCTTTGCGGGCGCTGGAGGCTTTCATGGGGGCAGTAGAAGGCTCAGTGATTAAATATGAGTTTTATTTCTTCTCATTGAAACACTCTTTGATCTCAGAAATAGGATATGGGTCACACCCTATCTATTCTATCCATATAATAATGCATGTTTAAACACTATATTTGCAATAACTGTTTTTAAGATATGCAACAGATGGTAATGTAAAAAGGTAAGTTAAAAAATATGGGGGGACTAGATTTGTTTTAATCTCAAAGTGGACAGTGGTCAAAATAAGTTTGAGAACCTGTGGTCTAGACAATGCAGCTCCCAAGATCGATCATTTGGATTGGAGTCGGATTTTCCATTGTTTGAAATGAAAATAAATACACTTGAGGAGAAAAGGCTAAAACTACATTAATATAATAGTTTTTGTGTTTTGTGAATTGTAATTCATTTTTTTTTTTCCAATTATCTGTATTTTGAAAAAAGAGGATTAATACTAAGAAGTTTCTCTGTATTTTGATTGTCCACTTTGTAAAAAGATAAAAAGATTTTACAATAAATTAGATGCATTTGTTAGAGAAGCTATAGTATAAACTTGCACCTATTCCTCTTTATGTACAATCATTGATTTTTTTTTACGTAGGAAAAATGCTTTATTTAAAAATTTTTAAATTTAACTTTTTGTTAAAATTACGTTGCTGTTTACTAAATCTCGATTTGTTGAAAGATTGATTTTAAAATTATGTGTTTCTAAGTCAAGAGTTCATTTTAAGCACAGTACAGTACTATTTGTTTATCAAAGAATACTGTTTGTTGATTTTATGTTACCTTGTATTTACTAGATTTACATACAAATAATAATGATAAATGATAATAAAATAAAAAGCTTGTGTTTTGTTTGTAAATTGCTTATTTTTTCATTACATTAAAGTTGTGGATTCTATCAAACATTTTTCTACAGGATGTATGTACTGTATTTTTTTAATGTGGCAGTCTTTGAAGCATATCAACTGTGCAAAAAGAGTGCTAGATGTACTCAATGTTAACAGTAAATGCTGTTTTATGTTGATATTCCACACTAAAAAATGTGAGGGTCGGAATTTGGACAAAGTTGGTCAGGGAAAATCAGGGAATTCAAAACAAAAATTTGAGTAGGAACCCTGTATATATGCTATTTATTATACAGTATACGTATTTCATAGAATATACTATTGCTATATTGTAGTTTATGGAAGAATGACTATTTTGGCAATAAAAATATATTTATTCTTATACATTAATACATACATACAAAAAAGAACTTAATGATTCTAATTACGTGAAAAATAACAATAAAACAGTGGCGTGCTATCCTTGGAAGCGGTGGAAGCACCGCTTCTCTTGTAATTTCTAAAATATAAATACATATTGTGTGATTATTTTTATATTTTAACATACTTTGAATTAATTAAAATTAATATTTTATTATAACTGCATCATGTATCTTATTACAAATTTCTATACTACATGTGAAAAAAACGATAAGATTGCTATTGTACGAGTATATTCGAATATCAGTGGCAGAATGGAAGCACTGTATTGTCAAATACGGGATAGCTTCCAAGCAGCCAGATTATACGCATTTGTGTATGCGCTTTACAGAGCACCAACCTCACATGGTTTAGCTGGTGGATGCTACACACCAAAATATCATATAATGCTTCCAATGATTCTATCCAGGACCGGTTCTGGGCTGTTAGCCTCCTGCGTGCTAGATATTTGGCTGCCCACGCCCCATTACATGAATCAGGAGTAGATTTATAACTTAACCCAACCGACAGGAGAGTACTGGTATGTTTTTATGATAGTTCTGTATATTTGACAAGAGTTTTAAAAAAACTTCATTAAAATATTTGATATATTTATTCTGTATTTATTATGCTCTCCCATTTTGTATTACTAACAGATTTCAATGTTAAACTAGTGATATTATGATTTGGTATGTCCCATCTATAAGTGGATGCAGAAAAAATCCTGCTGAAAGAGCCAGAATTTTAATTAAACAAAAGCTTAACTGAACTAATCTAGCCGAGTACAGTGGGGACTGATTTCTTTGTAATATTAGATGTAATAAAGACAAAAAATTTTCTGGTTCAGAGTGACTGAAAAGTTGTAAATTTTGGAAATTTCCATGGACACCTGGTCCTAAAACGAATTAGTTAGAAAACAAATGATGGACAATCTATTAAGTTTAACATACAGTATGTAGATTTTTACAGCTATTATGAGAAACGTTTAAAATTTACAACAATCCTGTCATGTCCTTTGAGGTATACTAGTGATGTGACAAAAGGAGGCATTTGACATTGACCAGTATCGGCATCCTTGGGATTTGGCAGCTTGCGTGCTTATACGCACTTCACAACTACCGACAGTCTTTGATTCCATCCATTAGTCACTGGTAGGGAGCTATTTGACTAAGTGGATTGTTTTAAGATTTAAAAAGTAAAGAATATTTTATGTTATTTTTATGTACATTTCTTTACAAAGCTATATTTAATTATAATTCTCTTTAAAAGTATATTCATACAATTGAAGAATATTTTGTACCAGGTATGTACCGGTATTTCCACCACACATTTTATTTCACCAAGTAAGTTTTCATTATTTTATTTTTAATTGTAGCTCTTATATCGTGGCTAGTGATTCAGAATGTAATTGTGATATTAAAAATGCATTTAGAGAAGTCTATGGTTTTTACTGGCTTATTGAATAAACGATACAAATGGACCCTAGACAGTGTCGGCCTGAGGCAAGTTTTAGGATGGAGCAAGATCCTATTATGGCGCCCCCCTTGGTTGCCCCTAATTTATACCCTTTAATTTTCTTTACCACTGAGATGCCCCCTAGGACTTAGCGCCTGGAGCGGCTGCTCTGTTCGCCCTATGGTAGGGCCGGTTCTGATCCTAGACCAGAGGTGGCCAACAGTTTTTGCCCCGGGCTGAATTGGAAGGAAAACTTTTTTCGCGGGCCGAACCAGAGGCTGCCCTAGGAAGATTTTGAGGTGGTGTGAGATCTCATTGTAGTGTCACCCTGTAGAGACTAAATTGTAGATAGAGATTACAGATACATTTTTCACATTATTGTGCTTTATCAACATTCTATGCTGTACTTAAGAGATTTGTAATGGAGGGTTAACTCTAAACACACGGTAAGTTGTTGACCTTTTCATCGAGCTATTCAGACTTCACTAGCTAATATTGAAAGATTGATCGCGGGCCACATAAATTCATTAGACGGGCCGTATGTTGGCCATGCCTGCCCTAGACCATCACTGACGCACAATTGACTGATTGTCCCTGGATGTTGGCTTCTTACAGAAACAGCTTCCCTATCATCAAATGTCACAGCACGCCACTGTATTTGATGGTGATAACACATTCAATAACTTACATTACTAAAAATATAACTCATAAAAAAAGGACTGTGAGCATGTTAATATTGACATAACATCAATATTAAGTTTCTAAATTAAATATATATTTATTATTTAATTAAGAACTATTTTCTATAGCAGAATACATTTTTCTTTAGTTTAAAAATAACTATTAAATTAAATTGAAATATAAAAATGTGAATTATTAATCTTAATTATAAATAAAATAACAAAAAGTATTTTATTTATAATTAAGGTAATTTTTAATCTGAATATGTTTATGATTAACCAGGATTTATCTACAAAATTTTAGGTCCAGATCCCAATGGAATAACAGAAGACAAAAATACCACTTTATGTGCAGTGTTAGAAGAAACTGTAAAGAAACCAAAGCCACCATTACCTCCTTTAAGTGGACCTGAATTGGCATCAATGATGAAAATTGGTACAAGAGTTGTTAGAGGTGTTGATTGGAAATGGGGAGATCAGGTATTTAGATTTTTCACAGATAAACACAGTATATTAAGAGTTAGCTCTTAAGCCAGTTACAAATTTGGGCCCTGCTTTTTTCTGAAAGCCATAAAAATACATAAATGATATCAATGAAACCATCAACTTAACCTGATTTGTAGTTAAAGCATTTATATCTAAATTAATAGTTCTGGAAGCAAAGATTGCTTGGAGGTTAATGTAGTGTATCTGGCAACGTATCTATATGGTTAGTGGGAGTTTCATGCTTGAGTCTCGTTCTGGGCCAATACTGGTACCTTTCTTCCAGGAAATTCTAAATTAAATTAAATTTATTATAATTAAATCTAGCATAACTTGGCTACCTCTAAACAAATTACAGTTAAACCTGTCTATAACAGAACCCCAAGGGACCTGAACAACTCTTCTATAGTAGAAAGGTTTTCGCTACATATAAGTTACCTACTGTAGGCATCCCTTGATGCTATTAATAAATTTCTTGATGTTACAGTGTATATCAAAAAAGGTTGTTACAAACTGCATTAATCAAATACAGTGGTATCTTGGTAACTTGATTGAACAATCACCACCTGCTAGAACAAATTTTTGGTTAATAACAAATATTTTTATTTTTATTTCAATTTTTTCATTCATCCATAAGAAGGTTCTCTAAGATAAAAATGAGTAACCAATTTTATCTTACAGCTGCCTACCTTCGTCAGACAAAATTATACTCAATTCAGTTTGTTTTTTCACAATTGAAAAAAAAAATCAAAACTGTATGCGGAACACAATCATCAGCATGTTTTACAACTATTTCAAGTGGATGAAGTGTTTCAACAATACATGTCTGTGACACATTATGATTTGTTGCAAATTCACAAGTTGTTATTTATTAATTTTTAACAATTTCTTTCCATAATTTCTCTTCAATGGCTTTTGGAGCCCATACGTTTTGTATCCTTTAGTTCAAAATTTACCAAATGAAACTTTGAAACCACATTTGGCACATTCGGAGTTTAGAAGCATCTTCCCATACACAGTATGAGTATTTTTTACTGTTTGTAGAGAGTGATATTCTTTATGAAACTTGAAAAGCATGAATAATATGCTTGATGTTCATTTTATCTGCAAACATTTTGACTTTTGATTTTATTCAAACAAAATGTGATGTAAAAAAGTTTAATATAAGCTTCAAAACAAAGAAAACAATCTCACATAGGAAATAATGTGTTAAATTTTACAACTTATAATTACATCACATATTTTTGTCAAGTAAAAACAACTATTAATAAAAATATGCAAAAACTTTTCATTCAAATCCCAATAAAATTACTGTAATACAGTAGTCATATTTTGCTATTCTGTATTGGGTATTTGTATTTTTTGACTTTTTCTTAATGATTTATACATGCTAGGTTTGTAAACTTCTTGTTAAATTTGTGTTAAATCAGATAAAGATACTGATTTTTATGTTTCATGGTCTGATTTTCCTTTCCGTTTACACACAAGACAGGTTCTGCTATATACAGGTTATATACACATGTTATATACAGGTTAATTTACATTAATTTTTGCAAAATTTCTGTTAACGACAAATTTTCGCTATATACAGGTTCTGTTATAGACAGGTTTGACTGTATTTAGTATTTAATTAATTACATAGCTATATTATAGCGTGATAATTTGACTGTTTGGTTTTATTGATAAAACCAACAAAAATTATACTTTTTTGTTACATAAAAGCATACATTTTTGAACTTTTCTGTGCTAGAAATCAAGCCAAATGGCCTTGTTTACCTTTTCATCTAAACTGAATTGTATTACTTTTTAAATTAATATTCTATAATCGTTATTTTTCTGATTAGACATTACCAATTATAAATAGTACTTGGCAATACCTAATGAGCAAAATACCATTCCCAGCATTAACAATAATAAAAATTAACAGACAGAAAGGCAATTGAAGGAAAGTTTAAACCCTTTAGAAACAATTTTATAATTAATTTTTTATTTAAAAGAGAATGTTTAATTTTAATAATACTTTGTTTATTATGAATGAAACTAAACTACATATAAATTTTAGGATGGTCCACTCCCCGGAGAAGGACGGGTAATAGGCGAATTGGGAGACGATGGATGGATCAGAGTTCAGTGGGATAATGGCTCTACCAACTCATACCGAATGGGCAAAGAAGGGAAGTATGATTTAAAGTTAGCAGAACCACCTCCCCAACCTGAATTTGAATCAAGTTCTGAATCAGATGAAGATGAAGGTAATAACTCATGAATTACGACTGAATAATGATAAATACTCATGTATTAAATATTCTTTGAATTTAAAACATTTTAAACTGTTATATATCCAAATATATAAAAATTGCATCTCGTATTTTACTCCATCAGATAAAAACAAATTATGTGAAAACTGGTACCAGTTTTTAAACTAAATAAATGAAACAGAAAGCTAGAAAGAAATCATAACATTAAGAAGTCTAGATTCTTGTAAATAGCTTAAATTTATTTGAGTTTGGACATAAAATGTTTTGTTGATTTTTTACAATCATCAAAACATTTTATGTCCAAACTCAAATAATTAATGGAATTTAAGATTATGGTCCAATTCATTTCTAACTTTACTGAATCTTTATATATAATTTGACAAAACATATATACAGGGTGTTTATTTTAACATTTATCTGGGTGCAAAAGAGATTTATTTGCATAGCACAAGTATATTCATAGCCCGTGGGAAATTAGTTTCACCATGATGTTTACAGTAAAATAAATTAATTCGTTTGAAAAGAGAACATGTTTACATTGCATGGCAGTTCTACTACAATATGTAAAATTTCCTGTCTCTCTAAAGTGCAAAGATAATGGAGGGAAATCATTTAACAAGATTTAGCATAATGTGCAAAGAATATCTGGCTGTAAAGTATAAAGACTAACATCGCATATATTAATACTCAAACAGTTAGCTTTATTTTGCTATAGTATAGTTCAAAAAATCTTGTTTTTGATGCAGCTGGGAAGTGTGTGTGGAATCTACATGCTTGCTTCTTATACAACCTAACTTATTTTCCCATAAAGTATAATCATTTCACATTTATATTGATGAGTGTAAGACATTGTTATGGTGCTTTACGAAATAGCAGACCCAATAATTTTGGCTTTTATGTAAGGACATGGGTGTTGTTTGTTGTCACATGATTTGTGAAGATCATATTTATAATTTGCATTTTGTTCTTATGTTTGGAAGATTGACACAGAACTTCTGCATGATTTTCATGAATTTTTTTAAACGAATTGATTTATTTTACTGTAAACATCGTAGTGAAAGTAATGCACCATTAGCTATGCATACTATCATGCAATGCTGGAAAGATCTCTTTTGCAACTAGATAAATGTTAAAGTGAGTACCTTATATTTAATTTGAAATTAATGCTAAGTTCTAAAATTATAGACAAAAATAAACTAAACTCTTTAATTAATTTTTTATTTTGATAGATTTTCTTGATGATGATAATTTGAAAACACGAATATATTTGAACATGTGCAACCTGCTTTATAGCATATGCTTAACTTTTAATCATAATATAACAAAAAGTATTTTAACTAAGTTAAATTGTGTAATAAAAATAGAACAAAAACAATGCATAATACACAAAATATATTACTCAGAATGACAAAAAAGTTATTGTGCAGTGAGAAATTTGTAATGACATTAATGCTATATATACAGCATTACATACAAGATTTGTACTTAAGTTGTATGTTCTGCATTTATACTTTGCGATAAGTGGCATTACTGTTCACTTGCAGACATTCTAATTTTTGGACTACTTTGTGGATTGAATAATCTTTCAAGGAATCAGGGTCTTCTAGGTCTTGACTCACTCCTCCAGATTTTGAGACTTCTGGGGACATTTTCAGTATTTGCTTTAGTAGAAATATGTAAAATTATATGTAAATACATACTGCAATATCATATGTAAAACTTCACTTTTATTAAAACTTTACTTAAATAATTTTTACTGCATAATAACTTTTTGGACACCCTATATTATATTAAATTTAAAAAGAAAAAATAAAAAGTTTTACATATATTTTTTTTTAAACATTAATTAGTTGATAATACCAGTAAAGTTTATTATGAAATATTGACTCAGTTAAATTTAATTAAAGAATTATTGATCTGTAACAAGAATTTTATATTATCAACATTTTAATCTGTAATTATAATTTATTTAATTTTAGTTCTTCCAGTTTTGCCATCTGCATCTGAACCAGGCATGTTACTTCGTCAATCATGCTTATTGTTGTTAAGAGTACTTTACATAGAGATAGGGATTCATGCCGATGGAGCTCAGAAAGAAGCTGTCAAAATCTCTTCTAGTTTATTACGAACAATTTTACTAATTAGTCATAAGCAAAGAGAAGGTAATTTTTACTTCTAATTAATAGTAATGTGTTAAATATTTTTAATAGAAATATATTATAATACCATACATAATATAAGAANATAAAATTTATAATTTAATTTTGTAAATTTAAGAGTGCTTCAAATATGACGTTAAAACAGGGTTTTATGTCGTTACAAGTGGGTTTTTTAACATTATCTAGTATAGTAAAATTGTGGGACCGATAAAAATTTGATGTTATATTAGGGTTGTCATTACATCCAATGTCATTATAATCGGGTTAAACTGTACTTTATATTTAAAATTTTTTATTTTTGTGGATGCCAACTGAAATAGCTAGAAACAATCTCTAGGATTTTTTACTGTTTTATTGTTACTTTTCTGGCTATTATACATGCAGCATAGGTAAGTATTGTAATTGTGTCAGCTTTTATTTTCAGCATTTTTTACAAATCTTGACATTTTCAGACCTCCAAACTCCCCACAAAAAAAAATAAAAAATATTCTGATATTAACTCCAAAAAGACTATAAAATCCAGTAAAATGGAATGTTTATTAACAGGGAAAATGCTTTTAATCATATTTGATTGCCAATTTTTCATTTAAAAATATTATGTTTGTGTGTGTATGTGTTGGCATCTATTTTGTTTAATAACTTTGGATGGGGAAAAGATTAAACAAAATTTGACATGGTAACATGTATAAAAAGGGCATTGATGCTATTAAATTTTGGAGTATGAAACCCGAGAATGGGAAGATAGAGAGGAGTTGTGAGTATCATATCTCAAGTGGGGTTGAACTGAATGATATATATATATACACACACTAGATACTGTGTTATACAACTATATTCTCTCTTGGAATCTGGTCTGCTAGGTTTTCCAACTTCATTTCCTCAGAATTTGAAGTCTCTGGGACTGCACAGTAACTTTTCAGACACACTGTATATGTGATATTCAAAAAACGAAATAGGTTGAAAATAACATGTTTTTATAAAAAAAAATCTGAAATATATTTCAAAGAATTATTAAGACTTAGTTTAGAACTTAGAATTAGTTGATGTTTGTTTAGATAATAAGTTGTTACTGCTTTTTGAATGATCAAAAATTTCCAAGTTTAAATAATTCATATTCATTTTGTTTACTTAAACAGTTTATCTTATAATAACTGATCTTCCATGATGAATAATGTAAAAAATTTTTATATGTAATACAAATAAACAAATATTATCTTTTTTAGTAATATTTCCTTGGAATTCGTGGTTGGCCGAGGAACAACATCACGAGTGGGCTACTTTGGGTTTCATTCGAAGCGTAGCGACTAGTTCGACTATGTGCTTACACTTAAGTACTTCTCCTTGGATTTCATTATTGCTGAAAATAGTTAATGGAGTTAACCAATCCATGGGCGCATGTGTTTCAATTCAGGTAATTTATGCTATAAATTTTATTATAATTTAAATTTTAAATAAAATTACAGATTTCGAACTTACAGTTAAATTTATTTTTATTTTTTTATTCATTCTTTTAATACACTTACACAATAATTAATTACATAAAGTAAATATTACAAATAGTCAATATAATGACTTGTTAGTTTAAAAACAAAAGGTAATGAATCGTTACTAATTTCCATGTTTTTCAATATTTTACTAATTGTTAATTTCAGTTAATGTTACGTTAGGTTCCAAGATGGCAGCGGTCACCAATTCGGTCAGTGTTTCCGTTCTACCAATCCGGCCAATTCGGTTGCCATCTTGTTTGCGCATGCACATATGTAAACAAGACAGCAAACATCAATGATGATAACCAAATCAAACAATAAACAAATTTTGATACTTACTTTTTCCCTTGCATTTGGTCTCATTTCCTATTTTTGGACCAAAGATGAAAAATAAAAAAATCACCATGCCTCCTGAAAACCATCCATAATTGGACGTAGTGAATTACGAGATTGGATACATCAGTGGTTTGAACAGGATTTGCCTGGAATGCAAGTTTAAACCTATGCGGAACTGACTGCAGCCTCAGCGGTGAGCGAAGCGAGCTGCTTTGGCTGCGAGCATGCAGCGTCTCCTCAGCAGGCGGCACCTGCGGTGCTCTCCCACCTCGTCATCGCTGCTTCGGCCACACAATATCACCTAGGTTATGAGCAGTAATGGATGAAACACTAACCTCCGGGAGGTCCGTTGGGAGCACGAACAGTTGAACGTCACTTAGTGGAAAACTAAAACGTACAAACTTTAAAAAAACACGAATGCCATTCGAAAAGATAATGACATGCACCATCTGTCTACACTGTAATTGAACTCAAAATTTGCATAATTCCTCTTATTTTCCTAGTGGAAATTTTTGAAAAAAAATTGCATACAAAACTGGCAGTATGATAAGCGCCATCTACATTTCATTTCTAAACGCGCATGCCATCGAGGTTACTGGAAGAACCTTAATTTCTTACTACACACATGAAATGATGGATATAATGAAATCTTCATGCTGGTTTTACTAACTGATTTTTAATTAAATTGATTTAATTATTTATGATCATGTAGATTATTGCTTTTAGAACTTTGTCTTCTACTGGTGTCTGACATCTTCCCAATTATTAGTTTATAGTTGATACAATAAACTCCCTCCATTAACTTGGACTAATAGGGATTGAATGTTGTCTGAGTTTATGAAAGTCTGGGTTAGTAGGGTATTTTCTCTGATGGCATGGAAACGAGAGTAGTTTATTATAATCTGCTCTATGTAGAAGTTTTACTGAGCTTTAATAGATTATAATTTGAATTTTTTGTTACAGGAAATGAGCTAAAAAATTTTGACAGTATAGTATAGAGCAATGTACAGTCTTTAGTAACTTATAAACTCTGGTAATATAATGCATTATATCACAAAGACTTCCAGATAATGAAAACACTTGTTTAATTATAATTTTATTATATATGAAGACACTAAACACACCTTGCACACTTATCCAGCAACTAAATTTAATCAAAATAAATGTTTTGATTATATTTACTTGCTGCTGGAAAAAGGTGTAAGGTGTGTACAATTTTTCTGTTTCCATTTAAATTACTGTACAATTTTTTGAAAAAATTTGTTTGAGTTATGTGAAGTATGAGTTGGTGAAGTCTGAGTTAGTGAGGGTTTACTGTATGATTGTGCTAATCTATCTTGTTGCTAATCTATCTGCTTTTTTGAACATAATGGTTTTTTTCCTAGAGAATTGCATAAAATGCTTGTAATATAGAAATGACTAATAAATTATTTGTGTCTTATTATCTATATTGGTATTCTAGGAAATTATTAAATAGGATTGCTAAACATAGTCAATTACATTGAAAAAATAAGATACTGAAGTAGCCATTAAGATTCTTTTCTTTTGAAATTCAATGAGTTCAATTCAAACCATTTTCCAAATATATTGTAGTAGCTTGAAAATATGAGTTTACCTTCAAAAATTGATGTTGTGTTAACTGAAATTTCTTATTAATTTGCAAACCATGTTAGTTCAAGAAATTCATCAATCAAAGGATTACTATGTAACGTTATAGTGAATGTAAGAGTGAATTTCAAGATTCTCTTTTTTCTTCATTAGGTAGATATATCATTGTTCATTGGAGAGGTGCACCTTATGACACAAGTCCTCCAAGTTTCATCTTTTATTTACATGATATTTACAAGGTAGATGAGAACTTAAGACTATATCAGTCTAGTGACTAAGTAAGTGATTAGCATTTTTCCCTATATCAGTAGGAGTCTTTTTCTCTTTTCCTTTTGATTCTCCTTTTTTTAAGGGATTTTGTCAAGTTGACAGCTAGTCAGTCCAGAATTGGGTTGGTAGCTCTCCTTCTTGTCTGCCCTCTTTTCACTCCTGACTAATTTTACTAAATATGAATAATGATCTCTGACTGGTCCATCCAAGCAGAAGCCAAAATCTCTTTGACTTTGTCTAAATCCACTAGGCCTACTTGACAATGTTTTTACATGCTAATTGTACAGTTTAAACAGTTTTTATGCTCTTGTTAACATGCTTAATCCTTTCAAAATATTTAAAATCAAAATCAAGTTCAAATTCAGGATTTATTACAATGACTATAATTATTTTAGACCAAAAAGTTTGCAGAAATTGCTAAAATAATTACATAAAATCATAAAATTTACTTGATTGTTTTCATTTTTTTTCCTTTTAGTTTTAAAGAATGCTAAATATATAAATTATAAATATAATATGTTTAGGTTCAAGCTTTAAGATTACTTCAAACTGTTTTACCCACATGGACATCAGAAGATTATGATAGTGAAAAAGCTGCAGTTATTGACCAAATTTTCAATTTACTTGGACAAATATTAACATCTTGTTCTTTGGATCCAACTCTTCAGTCTGTAGGTAAGAAATATTTCTTTTTATTACTAATTAAATGATTGAAAATAAACAAGAAATATCCAAAATAAACACTGTAATGAATTAACCACATCTAGACGGAGAAAAAAATATGAATTTTATTTGGCTGGTTAGAGAGTGCTTGGCATGTTATATGTTGAAGGAATATAAGAATCCTTTTGTAACTTACTGAGTGTTCTAAGTTATAAAGCTGTCAGGACACTTTTATATGCTTTTCAGTAAGATTCTTGAACTCATCCTGGATATTATTCTCAAACATATTACACATTTGTTTACTAACTGAATGATTGAAATTGTTAATAGACAACAAATAAAATGAAATATATACAAAGAAATAGCTCAAACAACTGGATGCAGTTCAAATAAACCCATTAACAGCAAAAACCACTTTAATAGGCAAACAAATGTTAAATGGTCATCAGGTTTTAATTTAGTAAATTTGAATGGAGACTGAATTAAAACACAATTTTTAAATAAAAGGAACATTAATTTTATAGGATGTGACAGTGTGCATAATAGATGACACATATTGTATTAATTCAAATAAATTATAGTCTGTGCTGTCACTGGGATTATAATTTATTTGAATTAATACATGCATCATCTATTATGCACACTGTCATATCCAATAAAATTATTATTCTTTTTATTTAAAAACTGTGTTCTAATTACAATCCCCATTCGAATTTATTAAATTAAAACCTGATGATGACTGTAACATGGTTGAAAATGTTTCTTTGCCTGTTAAAGTACTTTTTTTTTTGCTGCTGGATTTATGGTATTAGTGTATTTACTTAAAATATAACCCTCATGTATAAACCTTATAGTTACCCTAAGAAAAAAGTTAAGAATCAGACAAAATTATGTTGATAAATGTTTTTAAAATGATGCTTACTGAAAGATTTTATAATAATATATTCATGAAAATGTGTAAAATTTGGCACCATGTTGTAATTTAAGACACTACACTGTTAAATTCAGGAAAACAAAGTTTTTTTATTCAATGTTTTTGACTGTTTTGTGGTCATCATATTTAAGGGAAGTTTTATTATGTCTGATTTGTTATATTTGATGGTACATGGAATAGCCAAAAACACTGCTGAATAAAGAATAATTTCGATTCTTGAACTTGTTTTCTTTTTTTAAATAACATAATAATATAATCAAAATACAAGGACGGAGATACAAGTTATGACTTTTTCTATCTGATTAACTTATTTTTGCATTGATATATAAATGATGAAATACTAAATATTTAAACTCTGTTATTTACATTTTGCAAAAAGCATATTTTGATATATTTACTAATTATTTAAAACAAAATTTATATTGTTTTAGATATTCCTCGTAAAGGACACAGATTTTCAAAAGCTAAAGTATCTTTAACAGCTTCTCACAGCAGCACTATAGCGGAAGAAAGCATTTGTCTTTTACGTCATCTTCATGCACTACCTTCCTGGAATAATTGCATTAACAAATATCTAATCAATCAAATGAAAAATATTGTTGAAAATTCTCATAGTTTTAACGAACAGGTAATAAAGTTTAATTCTGAAGTAGTCATATTATCTATATATATAAAAATGAATGTATGTCTGTGTGTCTGTCTTATGTCCTTCATGCATTACCACACCGTTTATCCGATTGCCATGAAACTTTGGGAAGTTGTTTAATATACTCTCGCGCAGGTTTGTGGCATAGTACGATTGCCATAAAACTTAGAAAAGTTTTTTAATACATTCCCGCAAAGGTTTCTGGCATAGTACATTTAACCCACGATAGATGGCGCGCGTTTATACGAGTGTATCGAGACAGTGTGTTCGATCGATTTCAAATTGTGAAGACCATTTCCCCCTATTTCAAAAAATATCTCTATATATGCATTTGTGAACTGTTATTTACGATATTTGTAATAATTTTTGTTTAATCACTTTATTTTAACTTTTTTTGCTAATTATGTATTCGCTCGAACTTTGTTAAAACCTTAACTGTATCCCGAACAACAACCGAAGTCGTAGGAGGAAATTCGCCTATTTTACCGATCTAGGGATCCCCCTTTTCCAAATTTTAATATCGACTCAAAATAATTTAAAAAGACAAATTACAATAAAACGGTTTATTATCCAACTATCAGAAATTTCACAACATGCCAAGGAAGAGAGGAAGGAGCAATTAAATAATTAAAATTGTAAAGGATTAAAAAAATATATATAAAAATGGGGAATATCGCGCTTCTGACAATCGCTGCGAGTGTGTGGGTTAAATTTGGAGAATGCGTGTTTCTCGCGTGGACAACTGTATGTGACCAGCTAACGCGTCGGAAAACCTTCTGATTTATTCGTGTACGCACCAGACGGAAAAACAAAAAATATCGTGTATCCACAAGCACTCCAATAAATAAATAGAATTGAAACGACACTTTGAAATGTTTTACCGATGAAAATGAATAATAATAATAAGTTTCAATAAAAATAATAAAATGTAAATTGAATTTTATCATAACGAGTTTGCTTGAATTTCCTTTCTTCTGAGATCGCAGCAATGCGCAACGGGTAAGCTAGTAATGTAATAAAAATTTACTTTGTTGAATTAATTTTCTAAAATTACTATTGAATTAATTCAATAGTCATTTTTAATCTGAATGCATGCTTTCTGCTACAAGGAGGAACATATAGTTTCACTTTTATTTTTTGATTTGTTATTAATTTTTAGACAGGAGATATAATTTTGTAGGAAGCAAATAATTGATACAATTCAATAAGAACTAATCACTCAAATAATAATTGGGGTAGAATATATTTTACATAGCCAACAGTTTGGCCTCACTCCAGGCCAAACTGTTGGCTATATATTGCAAGAAGATATTAGTTTTCATAAGAAAAATAATGATTTTGTAGCAGAAATCATGTAACACTATAATTGGAAGACTGAATGATGTATGTTGAAACTTTTTCATCTTTGCAACTAAACCTTATCCATGTTTTAGTCAAAATTTTTGCTACTTTTGGTTTATTTTGTTCCTACAAATAACTTTATCATTGACATTATGCATTGTTAATTAGATTTTTTTGAGATAAAATTGTCATTATTGGGTGATAAATAATAATATAACGTAACTGTGTTCGGAAATTTTGAGCACCTTATATTTTATTTTAAGTAATGAACAACTACAAATCAGTTTAATTTCTTACATTAAATTATTTTATTTCTGACATTGAAGATTTATCCACATTAAATATAAATGTCTTTAATTTGTATTTTGACATTGAATTAATACATTAAATGGCAATAAAATTATGAATTATTGTGAAAATATGATTTTTAAATCTAGAAATATTCTTTTGATGTACTGATCATTCAAGAAAAGACAAGTAGATGAAGGAAAAAATTGTTTGTGAGCGCCAGGGAGGTTGGGAGGAGTCCGCTCCTTCCGGCCACAGGTTGGTGACCTACTTTCTTGTCAGGGATGGTAGTAACGTTTGGTTACGCGTTACGCGAGTGGAGGAGAGTCGGAGGGGTTGACGATAAGCTGAATTTGTGATGTTTCTAGGGATTTTTAGATTCAAACCCCACTCCCGTGACACCAATTTGTGAGTCGCTGGGGAGGTCGGGACACAAATTGGATTGAACGATTAAGACGGTCCTTCACTTCTTGTTGACCTGCTGAATGACACTAATTAGAAGACCTTGTGCCCAACTCGCACCACCTTGCAGAAAGTAAAGCCAAAGTATCCATCCGATACTATCACAGAGGTATGAAATATTATTGTAAACTCCCTCTATCATCCGTGAAGTTGTGTAAAATTTTATTTAATTAGTTAGGTTAAATAAACCGTTGTTTGTTTTTAAATGGTGTTGTCACTCGACTTTGCTCACGTCTTATCGTCGACCCCTCCGACTCTCCTCCACTTGCGTAACACGTAACCGAATGTTACTACCATCCCTGACAAGAAAGTAGGTCACCGACCTGTGGCTGGAAGGAGCGGACTCCTCCCAACCTCCCTGGCGCTCACATGTTTATTAAATTAAATTGTAACATTACATGTGTATTTCTCTAATTTGATTTAAACTATAAGTACTTGATTCTATCATATATCTAAAAGTCAGATTATTTTCAGGCTAAAATTATTTTAATTAAATTAATTAAACTACAGAATTTAGTCTAGAGGTATGGAAAAATGTTAGATAAGTTTTCAAAGTTGATCTAGTATAATTTTTATTTTAATCTTCATTTTTCAAATTGAGTTTTATTTTACTTTCTTCTTGTTAACTGGAACCATATTATTTATTTATTTTTTACATTATGAATTCTAGATAAACTTTCCATTATTAACCAATGCATGATTTAAAAACTATCTGTATTTAATTAATTAAAAGAATATCCAGACTGCTGGTTTTTATAATTTCATTATGTTCCAAGAGAGTTACAACTTCATTATAATCATTTGTTTAATTTCATAATGTGTTTTGGAATTTTGCATTCATCAGACTATTAAACAAATATAAAATACATTTAAAAATAAGTGCTAAACTATATGCGAATAGTAAATGAATAAATATACACTTACTGAATGAAGATGTTCGAACATTTTGGACTGATGTTAGCAACATAAGTATTATACAGATAACACTTTTTATATACATCATACTTTCGAAATTTCATTAATACAATAGTCTCAAGCAGTAATACATAAAAATGTTTTATAGTAAAAAGAACATTCAAAAATGTTTTAACAACATTTATCACTATCAACACTATGACTGTAAAATGACACAAAATCTTGCAAACTTGCATTTTAAAAATGCTTAAAAACCACATAAATATTATCTTCTCTGACCTAACAATTTCCTGCTTGGACAGTGTTTGCAGTTTGGATCTTTGACCTCCATTTGTTTTGATCCTGGACATTATCTGGAGCACGAATGGCATTTAGATCTGTATGGAATGTATCATGCCATCTTTGTCTTGGTCTTCCAAGTAGTCAGCAATTGATTATTTTGAGATTTTAAGCTGTTTGCCACAGAATTGGGAGCTGTTCGGAGAACATGTCTGAACCAGCCTAGTTGCCTTTCACATATTTTTAGGTCAAAGGAGGCAATGCAAAACTTCTTTAAAAAGCCACATAAATATTACAATATAACTAATTGACAATAAGTTCAGTATTGATGTATCAAAACATGGTCTCAGCCACCATCAACAACACAATCGGATGATTTATGGTGATTTACATATGTAGAAATTACTAATTTCTATACATTGATCATTTACTCTTTTAGTTTCTCTACTTACGTAAGAATTTTCTAAAAATTTCTTTTTAATTAAATATATATATATTTTTAAGTATTTTTACTGATTTTTCCTCTCTTACAATTATTTTTAACATGTAAATATACTGACAAATTTTGTTTTATTTTTACCATAGCTAAATGTTATTTTATTCTGTACTGTAATTGTCTACCTGTTTCACCTATGTATGAATTCTACTTATTACAATTAAATTTATAAATTACTCTTGCTTGTCTATTATTTAAGCTATCTGTTTTGTTTATATTTCTTAAAAGTAACTATTATAAAAGATTGTAAGAAAAATAATTAAATTTATATATTTAAACAGATAAATTTAAAGGACTTTTATTTGTTTAATTATTAATTATTTTAAGTAATAGTAATAAAATTAAACTAATAAAGAATTTAATATTTCCTAACAGAGTGAAACCATTCCATTTTTAAAGTCTCATGTATTGGAAGTGGCCGTAATGGCCGTTCTTGGAGGTGTTGACAAGAGAATTCGTCTGGGAGGAAACGTCATTCACGATGACATGGGAATAGGAACTGTTGCCAAAATATCTCCAAATGGAAAGATTTCTGTTCATAATCATAATCATCATTCTATCGTGAGATTTACTCTTAATCAGTTAAATATGGTAATTGTCATTTTCTATAATATCTATATTATAAAGCTAACTCACATGTCACCTAATGACTGACTGACATGGCATGTTTGAATAGAAGCAGATATATTATAGAAAAAAAAAAGGTTCATTCAAAAGAGGATCATAAAAATCCGAAATTTCCAGAAGCAGTTTAGAATTCCGAAAGTAGTTTAGAAATTATCAGATGTTACAGTTTAATATTTCATGTTTATACCAGAAAATGAATAGTTGATTTTAAGCATCATCTGCCGATATTTGAACATAATTATTAATGTCTTCCATATTTTGTTTTTGTTTTGCTTTACTATTAATTATTTTTTATATAATTTATTATTTATAAGTAATTAATCAATATTGTTTTTATAAAGTATCAGTACATAGATTGTAACAAAGGTAGAGAGAATTATGAAGTTACACAAAACCAAGGCTTCAAAAGTATTGCAGTGAGGAGTAGAACTACATAACATACACAATATATAGGAAAAGTATAGTTATTTGAAGAAAGTATGAAAAGAAAAGTTATTATTGTCAAAATGTAGATATCATGGAAGTGGTTAACAAAAGAAAAGTTTAAGAGAAATTGCTGAAATGTACTCTAAATGAAAAAAAATGAAAACTGTATAAAATATAATAAATACAACTAATTTAATAGTTATTTTAAGTGAATAGCTGGATTCTTTATCAAGCTGTAAGCCTTTAAGCTTTTTTTAAAGGCTTTAATAAGCCAGATCAGGCCTTTAGCTTGATAAAGAATCTGGCTGTTCATTTGGCATTTGAATGCATTATAGCTGAATAAAAAATTCAGCTGTTTATCTGATATTTGAAAGCCTTATAAAGAATTCATCTGTTTGTTTGATATAATAAAATAAGAGTTCTTCTTGAAACTGTAAAGAATTGCTTAATAGCTATATATAATGAAGCATCAACCATTGTCCACTACAGGTTTTAAAGAATGAATTTGCATTATTGACTATAACATATGTTTAACATAAAAAATTAATTAAAAAAATAGAATATTGATGAAAATTATTATTTTAAGTGACCTTTACACTTAATTTTTAAATGATAAATAAATAGATATAGTGTTTCCTAACCTGGAATAAGCATACCTCTAAAGATATGAAGCAGGTATATGGTACATAGGATATACTTTAGGGGGTATATGGAAAAAAATTCAAATGGTTGTTAAATATAATTTTAAATCAATAATTTTTTTTAATTTAAAAGTTTATACATAAACAGTTTAAAACTTTTTAAACTCAAATCCGTAACAGCTGCTAACAGTAATATTTTTACAGACTTTATGATATTTTATATTACACATTTTTAAAATTCCGAGTTAAGTTACTTTTAATTTAATTTTTTTTCTATTAACTAACTATGTGTTTATGTTACTAAAATTAGTACAGCAATACTATAAATTTCAATTTAATAATAATAAATCCAGCAATGAGTAACTTCCATGGCAAAAAATTGTGTGGCACCATCTGTAATGAGATTTTATTTGAAAAAGCTTTTTATATTTATATTAGTAATTGTTATAAAATGTCTAAAAGCTTAATTTTGAGGTAGAGATGACTTTTATTAAAAATTGTAAATGCTAATAAATTGGAACCTAGTTAACTCATATTGGTTTGGGAAAATATTCAGACTTTCAGTTAAATGGTTTCAAGTATTTTGAGTTATTTAGTTTTATTTAATGTTATGCTAGATGATTGGGAAAAGAAAATGACTTCAAGTAAATGCTACTTTGAGTTATCCAGGTTCAAGTTAACCAGGTTCCACTGTAACAAGTAAAATCTTCATTAAGTCCAATTCTACTCGAGATAAGACATGACCCCCTTCTATCTCCTCACCTTCTGATCTTTAACCACCAAAATTTAATAGCATCAATGTTTCTAATACACAAACCTCCTTTCAGAATTTCAGAAATTTTTGACTAAATGCACAGGAGTCATTAAGCTTTAAAGTGACTTCCATATACACACAGTAACATTCATACATACAGAAAAATCTCTCCAACTTTATTTTGCATTTCTCAGTGTTTCGAGTTTCCCAAGTCCTAAAATATAAAAATCTTTGGGGCAAATTTTTTTTTAATCAATTGCCATACTTTCCATCTATTATAAATAAAAGCTAGGAAAGTAAAAATGAATGATTATGGAGCAACCATTGAGAGTCACTTGACATTTAACTATACTTTCATTCAGGAATGCACAAACTAGAAAAGTTGGGAAATGCTAAATGGTTTTCTAGAGGCTGAATATTTGTTATTAGTTTCTGTAAGAGCCAATTGATTTTGTATGAACAAAGGAACAAAGACTTGAATAACATATTTGAGAATGAAACTTAAATGCTTTGAAAATGTTAAAATAATATTAAGTTAAAACTTTTTGGTTAATTAAAGGTATTTTTAAGCATTTTCACATCGTAAGGAGTTAAAAATGTATTCACTTTCATTTAAGTTTTCTCTGTAATAATCTGTTTTGAGAAAACAAAATATCACAGAGATCGCTTTGATTAGATTTTGTTTTCTGGAATAAATAAATAAATTAATTAATTAATTTAATATATGATTCTATTTAATGCTAGAAGTATAATTCCATATTTTTACATTAATACATAGTCAATTTTGTTTGATTAACTTTATTACATTTTAAGTTCTTTGTAGGGTAGAAAGTATTTTTACGTAAAGAAAATTATATAAGTAATTTATATTATTTTCAGCAGGCTCCACAAACAGAATTTAAAATTGAGAAATTACCAAAATCTGAAGAGCTGATTGGAATTTGGACTCAGTTGATTAGTTTAGCTGGAACTTCAACTTTCAAGTCGGAACAGGATATCAAAACTTCATCGCACAGCATGACATCATTAAGTATTGATGGTTTGTATTGTTTAATGTTATATTTGAATTCTTCTCATCGAAGAAAAATGTAATGTGAACTATGTAGTCACTTTAGTTTCATTAGATTACGTACTTTTTACTTTAAACATTTAAACTACTAATCAGTTTTCAAAAATTTATTACAATAATATTCAAGAAATACTATTTTATATGTTATATGAGGTATTCTGAATAAGAAAGAGTGAAGAGAAAAATTGAAGAGCATTTTCAGTTCAAGGAGATTCCTCAGGATTGAGGAAATCTTGAAAAAAAAAAGTTAAAATCCTTAAATATTATTATATTATTGTATCAGGATAGCTCAAGTAGTATAGAATCACCTAAATTATTTCATCATTTACCAAGATATAAATCTATTTCTTAGTGAGTATCAGGCTTTTTATTAGTGCCAGATGCCGTCTGGTGATGAATGTCAATTCTCTTTTGAAATAAAATCTTAGGCATGGTTCTGGAGGCTAAAAATAATTTGAAGCATAATTGTAACCATATTCTCTTTTCTCTTGTTTGTTGCTGTTGATTCAGCATGATATAAGACATCTCTCAGCACTAATATCTCAGTCAAATGCATAATTTAATCCTGCTATATCTGGATAAAGTTCTTTTGTGTTTTATATTGAATATAAAATGAGAACTGCTTTCTATTAGTAATTAGAAATTCAAATACAGATTCTCAAACTAATTTGATTGAGTTTTTGTAAACTTAATACAGGGTCTTCCAAAAAGAATTCTGCTATTTTAAATTCTTTTGTGATGTAAGACTTAGAAAAAATTTTTAATAAGAGTTTAATTAATTTTAAAATTATAATTTTTATTCTTTAATTACTAATTTATTAATTTTTTTTAAACAGGAAATAATATTAATATCAAACTTCTTCAACACCATCAGAAACTCTTTGGCTTAATTAAAGCCACAAGAATATTATTCAGCCACCAGGAATTATTACGTGATATTCTTAGCCAACCGGTTATCACAGAGAAACAAATATCAGAAAGTAGTACAAATTCTCTATTGGAAAAATCAAATCATAACTTGAGTGAAACAGAAGAATCAGAAATGGAAACAGTTCTGTTAATTCAACAATTGATGGCCACTGCTACTAAACCATCACCATTAAAAACAACTTTTGGAAGAGAAGAATTAGAGGTAATGACTATGATATAGCTTTTTTTTTCTTGAATACTTTATTAAAAATTATTTAATTATTATTATTATCATCATCATCTAATGAAAATGACATAATTAACAGAAATTATAAATCCTTTTTCCATCTGACAGGTTATCCTTAAAGTCATAAAATGTCCAAAACATATCCATTCCTGAAATTGAATTTAAATGCATGATTTAAAAGATCAGAATATTGTTTTTCTGCCATTTGTGAAAGTGAAATATCATTCTTATCTTTTCATATAGTTAATGTTTTTATTTTGTAAACTTTGGTTTAATAACTTCATAATTACTACAAATTAGAAGCAATGAGTACATTCCAGTATGCACCAAAGAGTGCATCGGTGAACCGCAATGTAATAAAATGTGTTCTGATATTCACTGACCAGTTCATTGGTGCAGCGATCAATGCACATCACACTCATCAGGCTGTAAATATGGTGAGCTCTGATGAAGCAATATGACTGCCTCCATGAATATATTATTTAACATCATCCTTACTACTTACCTGTATTAACCCAAACTTATTTTGTCAGAATAAGTCTGCAAATGCCAGTATAGTGCTATTTGCTTCTACTACCTTATTATGTTGCAGACATTCCAATATAAACTTATTAAACTGTTCACCATTGCATCAGTTATGGTTGAGACTGATACATACTGGACTGTACCATTCCAATAATGTAAGCAAATTAATGATAAATATGTTTGGATTTTAAAATATTCAAATTTGGAAGTTATAAGAAAGAATTTTTAAAAGAAAATTTAAAGCATAACATGAAGTTATTTACTGAATTATCTGTATAACAATGATTTTTTTGTAGACAAAAGAATTGGAAATTTTTATATATGTTTGGTGAAAAGCATAATTTCTACATCTTTTATAATCTTTTCCAATCTCCAATTTTAATTTTTGCATCTCTCATATAATTTTGTTTGGTAAAAAACTAAAGAGGATAAAGATTGACTTTCAGTTAATTAATTCAAATGATCAATTTTTTGTTGGCCTTCCAAATATTCTGCTAATTCATCTAATTTTATTTGATATTTGTCAACAAAAATGTAAATATTTATAGAATAATAATATTGAGGAAACTTTGCACTTAAGTACTTCCAATATAGATATTTTAAATTCATCAGCAACTACAGACTACTCATAGAATTCTTCAAAGATTTATAATCTGAATGAATCCTCCAAGTGCTGCCTTTCACTATATTTTATAATCCGATAAATTAATTTACATCTGATTAACTGGTCTCACCTATGCTTTGAATAGTTTTAGGTTTATAATTCTGTTTGTAAATACAAAATTTTATTTATTATATATAAAGTATCAAATACTCTAATGTATAAAACATTAATTTTTAAATAATATGTAGCACATATTTTCAAAGAATATGTGTAATAAGTTTTTCTTTAATTTCCAGGTGTATAAAGTTTCATTTTTCATTGACAGATTGTATAGGGACCAACATTTTGACAGTGAATATATATGTTGATTCCTATAAGTTCTGTTAATTACAAAGAAACATGATACTTTATCTGCAAAGTTTGTTGAATATAAGCGAGGTTGAGGCCAAAGTTTTAAACACGAAAACGTGTATGTCGGACATTCAGTGCCGCTTTCCTGTAAGCCTAGAAGTTTGACATTGGTGTTTAGATAGTCAGTGGAATCATGTTCGACATTCCAAACATCATTGTCAAACTTCTAGGCTTACAAGAAAGCGGTGCTGAACATCCGACATACACGTTTTCGCGTTTAAAACTTTGGCCTCAACCTCACTATAATCTTTGAAAATATCTACTGTTTGTTGTTTGAAAGTAAATTTTTTTTTAGTAATTTCAGACATTTTGGACACACTATATAATAAAATTCTTATGTATCTGTACAAAAATCTGTTAATTAATCAATCTTGCTAGATTCTTTATAAATAAGTAAACCAGCCACATTTAATATTATTTGATATATTAAAAGACAGATTTCTGGATTATTCTTAGAATTTTAATATTGATATAAATTGAATTAACATTATTCAAATTATTGGTTATAATGCTTATTTTTTAATTTCTGATTTCAGGCAGCAGCTTTAGCTCTGACTCAGTTCCTAATTGCAGAAGTGTCGAAACCTTTTTCTCAACCATCAACAATAGTTAAAGACATTACAAACCACAGTCCAACAAGTGACGGTGGCAGTAGCAGTGGAACGACCGATCAATCTCCCGAAAATCCGATACCTCATGTTTCTACTCCGAGACCTCGACGTAACCGTCCGAAACTTCGTACTCCTCCGCCACCACCGCCACCTGCTGTACAACAGTTAATTGAAATGGGATTTCCCCGTAGAAATGTAGAAATAGCTGTTAAAGAATTGGGTAAGAATATTTATATATATATATATATATATACATTCTATAGCATGTTTGAAGTTTGGAATAAGGCTATTTGCTATGCATTGGGTTTCAATTGATGTTTATATTTGTATCTCAGTTTAAGTGGCAATTTTTAAGACATACTGTATCTAAATTCTTAATAAATTATCATAAATTTAATTATTAAATTTATTTATTAATAGATTAACCATTGCTTTTATGATATTATACATTCCAGTCGTTAGTTACAGTCATCTAAGTATAATCTGGTAAAAAAATTCCAGATGTGTAGTTATTTAATGTAAAATCATACTTTTATTGATGTAATTTCAGCTAGAGGAACAGATATGATTCCGAGTCCAGAAGCTCTTGTCAGTTGGCTCTTAGAACACCAAGAACAAGTACTTAATTTATCAGAAGATGAAAGTTTTACTTCTTTAGATGGATACACAGACTCTGATTCTTTTTCGGAAGATTTAGAAGATATAGATTCACAAGAAGTATAAAATATTATTATTTTTGTTTTTGTGAAGTATTTAGTTATTACTTACCCATTTGTAGGAATTGTTAATTGTTAAATTATTTATCAGTTTAATTATACATAAATATAATTTACAGCATAGTAAATTTAATGACTACAGAGTATTATCTACGTTAAGTTAACTCTATTGGCTTAAATATTTGAGTGATTACTTAATTTTTCCTACATGAAATGAGCAGTTACTTATTGTGACATCATCTCAATGTTAGGCTGCAACTTTTAACCATATTTTAATTTTAAAAAATTACACAACTTTAGGTCTAGATGAAAAGTGTGTATAGTTAATTGGGACCTCTATCACTAAGATTTTCATATGTGGTCTGGATTTTCATCTGTCTAACTTCATTCTCGAGATTAAGGAAAGACAGACTAACGACAGTGGGAATCTGTAGGTTTGCAATTTGAAAATTGCAGCCCAGTAATAAATACAGTGAGATGTTGAAGATCTGGATTTGTTCGTCAAATATCCATTTATCTATGGCCAAATCCATATTTTTAGAGGATGAACTTCAACAAGGAACCAGATGAAATGGATGAGCATTCATTTAACTTCTTCATTGATGTTTGTTAATGTTGAAGTTAAATCCAGACATTAAATGGATGAACATTAACAAAGAAGTTACCATTGAAAGGATTAACCATTTCAATGGTTTGTTGATTTTCTTTCGGTTATGCATTATTCATGTTCTAACAATGAAAGGTGACTCTGCAACAGAGAATGTATTTTATGTTTTGTATATAATTTCAAATTAAAATGGCAGATTGTATATTTCACAAATTTAAAATATCAAAGAAACCAAGTAGTCTTCATTCTTCCATCTTGTCTAGTCACTAGCAAAAAACTGTTTTTCCTCGTAGAGGCGACCTTTTTATTGAGGCTATGCCTGTGCAAAATTATGTAAAACAGTTTTAAAAAATCACTAGTAATAAGTTGAAACATTAAAAAATACATATAATTTCAAATTAAAAGGTCATCTCTGCAAGGAAAAACTGTTTTTTGCTGGTAATTGGACAAGATGGAAGAATGAAGATTAATTGTTTTCTTCAATATTTTTAATTTATGTTCTGTAGTTTTCAAAGTCAGAATCAGTCTTCATTGTGCAACAAGAATACTTGCCTTACAATGGTGGATCACTTTGAAATTGTCTGTGAAACTCAAAAAATCATCAAAAATTGTGTTGCACAATGATGACTGATTCCAACCTTGCTGACAGCAGAACATAAAATGCTTTCTTTATGCAGAGCCATCATTTTTGATTTTTGTTTACAGTGCTTAGAGACAGTAGACAAAAAGATGTTTGTATACAGATGATAGATGAAACTTAGACATTGTCTCTGTCAATTGGTGTAGATCACATACTTATTGGTTAATAATTAACATAATTTCAATAATTTAAAATGGTAGTATTTTTTTGGAAGACCCTATATTGCAAAGATACATGTTTTCAGGATCAGTTTTGATAGGTGTATAGTGCAGTGTTCTGCAACNTGGAACAGTCCTTCTAAAGTAACTTAAATTTAAAATATAAAAATAATAAAATGTAAATTGAATTTTATCATAACGAGTTTGCTTGAATTTCCTTTCTTCTGAGATCGCAGCAATGCGCAACGGGTAAGCTAGTAATGTAATAAAAATTTACTTTGTTGAATTAATTTTCTAAAATTACTATTGAATTAATTCAATAGTCATTTTTAATCTGAATGCATGCTTTCTGCTACAAGGAGGAACATATAGTTTCACTTTTATTTTTTGATTTGTTATTAATTTTTAGACAGGAGATATAATTTTGTAGGAAGCAAATAATTGATACAATTCAATAAGAACTAATCACTCAAATAATAATTGGGGTAGAATATATTTTACATAGCCAACAGTTTGGCCTCACTCCAGGCCAAACTGTTGGCTATATATTGCAAGAAGATATTAGTTTTCATAAGAAAAATAATGATTTTGTAGCAGAAATCATGTAACACTATAATTGGAAGACTGAATGATGTATGTTGAAACTTTTTCATCTTTGCAACTAAACCTTATCCATGTTTTAGTCAAAATTTTTGCTACTTTTGGTTTATTTTGTTCCTACAAATAACTTTATCATTGACATTATGCATTGTTAATTAGATTTTTTTGAGATAAAATTGTCATTATTGGGTGATAAATAATAATATAACGTAACTGTGTTCGGAAATTTTGAGCACCTTATATTTTATTTTAAGTAATGAACAACTACAAATCAGTTTAATTTCTTACATTAAATTATTTTATTTCTGACATTGAAGATTTATCCACATTAAATATAAATGTCTTTAATTTGTATTTTGACATTGAATTAATACATTAAATGGCAATAAAATTATGAATTATTGTGAAAATATGATTTTTAAATCTAGAAATATTCTTTTGATGTACTGATCATTCAAGAAAAGACAAGTAGATGAAGGAAAAAATTGTTTGTGAGCGCCAGGGAGGTTGGGAGGAGTCCGCTCCTTCCGGCCACAGGTTGGTGACCTACTTTCTTGTCAGGGATGGTAGTAACGTTTGGTTACGCGTTACGCGAGTGGAGGAGAGTCGGAGGGGTTGACGATAAGCTGAATTTGTGATGTTTCTAGGGATTTTTAGATTCAAACCCCACTCCCGTGACACCAATTTGTGAGTCGCTGGGGAGGTCGGGACACAAATTGGATCGAACGATTAAGACGGTCCTTCACTTCTTGTTGACCTGCTGAACGACACTAATTAGAAGACCTTGTGCCCAACTCGCACCACCTTGCAGAAAGTAAAGCCAAAGTATCCATCCGATACTATCACAGAGGTATGAAATATTATTGTAAACTCCCTCTATGACTTTTTCTATCTGATTAACTTATTTTTGCATTGATATATAAATGATGAAATACTAAATATTTAAACTCTGTTATTTACATTTTGCAAAAAGCATATTTTGATATATTTACTAATTATTTAAAACAAAATTTATATTGTTTTAGATATTCCTCGTAAAGGACACAGATTTTCAAAAGCTAAAGTATCTTTAACAGCTTCTCACAGCAGCACTATAGCGGAAGAAAGCATTTGTCTTTTACGTCATCTTCATGCACTACCTTCCTGGAATAATTGCATTAACAAATATCTAATCAATCAAATGAAAAATATTGTTGAAAATTCTCATAGTTTTAACGAACAGGTAATAAAGTTTAATTCTGAAGTAGTCATATTATCTATATATATAAAAATGAATGTATGTCTGTGTGTCTGTCTTATGTCCTTCATGCATTACCACACCGTTTATCCGATTGCCATGAAACTTTGGGAAGTTGTTTAATATACTCTCGCGCAGGTTTGTGGCATAGTACGATTGCCATAAAACTTAGGAAAGTTTTTTAATACACTCCCACGAAGGTTTCTGGCATAGTACATTTAACCCNGTGCCCTTTCGTATCAAAATACAAGATAAATAACCTTCATCGTTTACGTAAAAAATTGCGAAATTGTGTTTTCTGTTTAAAGCTTACATTTTCTGATGTAAACATTTTCTTCCTTAGAAAAATAAAATAAAAAAAAAAAAGAAGAAATAAAATGGTAGAGTTTACAATTGAGAGCGAATCGAATTTATCGTGTTTTTCAGATTATTTCGTGCTATTTTGGATCGGACAAATTTCGTGAATTTCGAATTCTCGAGTGTTTTCGGCCGTGATGCTTCCAACAAAGAAACTTTATCTTTGGAAAAGCGAGTCGCTCGATCGGAAATTAAATTGGAAAGAAAAGACTTTAGTCTGGAAGTGGTAGAATTTCCTTTCTGTAGGGGTTCCGCTCAAATTTTACTGACGAGAGGAAGATATACAGTATGTAAATGTCCACCCTCTTTCCTTCTAGACAATCGATTGATTCTACTGCCGAATCTACACAATTACTAATGTTATAAATTTGATGATCACGTAAAGAGAGGAAAGAAGAAGAAGAAAAAAAAAAAGGAACTAGAATTCCAAATTCTCATTAAAATATATTTTAACTCCTCGAATTAGATTTGTTTTCATTTTCGGCACCAACTAGATCGGACAGAAATTAAAAAGAGCGTGGTGCAGATAATAAAAATCTATTTCCTATTTAAAAATTTCGATTTTATTAGCTTAAAAAAAAAAAAAGCCTGTAATAAATCTTTTTTTATTTTTATTTTTCAGATAATGCTATGTTTAATGATTAGCACGATGGTGGTCTTAGCCTATTGCGCCGATATCAAAGGAGATAATACTTACCACGACGTGCTATTATCCATGTGTGGCAGAAGAGCTCAGCAATGTGCGGCCATCTCTATTCTCTGTTCATGTTTTGGAGTCTGTATAGCCTTCCTTGTCATCATAGGAGACCAATATGATAGATGTGAGTACTCTAAATGATTGAATTCTGCAAATTTCAAGGCATTTAATAAATTGCTTAAAACGGAATAAAACAATTGTACTTTTTCTTTTTCTTTTTTTAATACTTTGTAACTGTAAAATGATTCGGGATTAAGAAGCTTAAATGAATTTGTAACATTTTTTTTTTTTTTTTTTTTTAACCCTGTATTTTGGAAACTTTTCTGACAAGTTTATTTCTTATTATTGAAAATTACTGATGTAAACATTTATTTATCTATTTTTTTTTAAGTTGGAATAACAATGATAATTTTATTTTAATAAGATCAATTTTATATGTTGTAAGTGAAAAATTTTAAATATTTATAAAATATAATTATTTTTGAAGTAATTTCTAATATGTTTTTCACATATTCTAAAGCATATAGATTTATGCTGAATAATTTATATATAAAATTTATTTTAAAATTATTCATTATAGATAAATTTTTATCATTATTACATAGAAGGTGCATAGTGCAGTTCGTATACACTAATGTGTGAGCAATGCGCAACATATGACACAGTAATGAATGCAGAATAAAGACATAGGAAAATGAGAAATACACATATTATAAATAAACACATGAGAAGTGAATGAGAACATGTAAAAATTACACATTTTACCATTTGTACTCAACATGCACATTAACATTTCATGTTTTGTATTCAGGGTTCTTTCGTACCAAATTGGTCCTGCTAGATGACTTTGTAACCAAATTTTTTCTGTAGCGCACATTTTTTTCAAGAAAGGAGTGTTAACTTCCTAATTATACTGCTAAGCAAGTGGTTTATTCTCATAGTGCTTAGTCACTTTATCATAATTATATTTCACATTTATAACTGTAGCTATCTGCATTCATCAGTTAGGTGGATGTGTAATGACTTTACTGGCACACTATATAATTCATTTTATAATTTATATTTCAAAGATTTTAACATACAATTTATGTTTAATGAGACAAACTAATGTTTATGGTAATCTCATGTTATTAAATGTAATATAAAAGAATAAATATTTACAAATTATTTTTATTCAGCCTCCGATACAAGAAACATATAGAAGACGAAATGAATTTCTAAACAACGATGACTATGCCGAGTATGTTCGGGATCACATCCAACCCGGCATGTGGGTACGTTGCTGTCGAACTTACGAAGATGTACATGAAAATGATATTGGCAAAGTCATAAACGTAAGTGAACTCTGGTAATCTAAAAATTTTTTAACTGTCAGAAATATGGAAATTAAATGAATAATTATATGAAATTAAAGTATTAAATTTACTATACTAAACATAATGTCTTATATATAGTTGGACAGAGACGGTCTTCATGATTTGAATGTTCAAGTTGATTGGCAGCGAAAAGGAGGAACTTACTGGGTGTGTTACGTTCATGTTGAACTATTAGATCCACCGTCTGTGATCGGATTAAATACGTGTACAGCTTCCGGAACAACTAGTGATTCTCCTTATTCATTTAATGCCATCAAAGTGAGAGATCGAGTGAGAGTTAAACCTTCTGTAACCACTCCAAAATATAAATGGGGTTCTATTAGCCATAATAGTGTTGGAGTAGTTTCATGTAAGTAGTAATTTTTAGATAAATACAAACTGAAAACTGATTATAACTTAATACCCTTTCATCCAGTAGATTTATTTAAAAAGCTAATACTTCTGAATATTTTAATCAATCATCTTAAAGTTTGGAAATAAAAAATTCCAAAAATTATGAGTGCTGTTATTTTCAAAGTTGAAGTTTACTGATTAAGGCAGTCAAAACATTAGCATTTAAAAAATATCTGCTGATCTAAAAGACTTATTTTCAGTAATTTTTTATTTAATTAACATATTTTACTAATAATATATTTAATCGCATATAGGACGAGGTGTGACTTTAGAGATCAAAATAAAGAAAATTAGATTTATTAATACAATTCTAACTTTATTTTGTTTAATCACAAATAAAATATTATCAAATGCAAGTATTAAGGCAAAGAAACCATGTTTGCCTTAATAGGTGATGAATAGAAAACAAAACCAAAACATGATAATGCACATGACTGGAAAAAGTTTATTTTTAATGATTCAGAATGTGCTAATATTCATTAAAAATAACAATTTAACTAATATAAAATAACTACATTTATAATCATTGTTAAGTGACCTGTATTTCATTAATGATTTTATAATAACACGGAGCTATTTTCTGTGGACGAATGAGATGCAGTGCAGTTTGCAAAAACACAAAGAATCCTTTGCTCGCACACAAATGATGACCTAGGTTTTTGAAGCAGTGAAAAATAAATGAAAACCTTATCCTTTACATGAGTAAATATGGTAATATTTTAAGGCTATATAGCCAGCCACATTTCATGTTACAGATAGATTGATTCACAATAGAGTTGATCACATTAAGCAAGGGATGGCAAACAGTACCTTGATTGATGCTAAATTAGAGAGTCTCTATAGTTTTTATTAATGCTTAATTATGTGTGAAAGTATGATAAATATAGAGTTTAAATCAGATTCAAACCTAGATCTGTTACATCAATAGATTAATGATGTAAATGTGTAACTAATGATATTATTTTTATTTGTAACTTTCAAATTATAATCTTTAATCTAGATTTAAATGCTTAAATATTTAAGGCTCTAATTTATATACATTTTGAATCTGATGTTTCTGACATTAAATTTATATTCTTTAAATAATATAAAATCATAGATAAGATAGCATTTTCCACAGTATTTATTTAAAATATCGCACGTCTTAACTTTAATATTAATATTTTAGCTATTAGTTCAAATGGCCGAGATGTAACTGTTGATTTTCCGCAACAATCTAATTGGACTGGACTATTAAGTGAAATGGAAAAGGTACTGAGCGTACACGAACGTGTAACGTAAGTTCTTCTTTCTAAATATAATAAAGTTACTTTATTTTGGTTTGCATTCAAAACAAAAAGTGAGTTTTATATAATTTCAGTTGTGACGGATGCAAAATGACTCCGCTGAATGGGTCGAGATACAAATGTCGTGTTTGCCATAATTTTGATTTTTGTGAAAATTGTTTTAAAGTTAAACATAATCACAAACATCCATTTAATTGTATTAGTGATCCTGGTAAGTAGTTAATATTGTGAATTTACTAATTGTAGCTGTATATTTGTTCAGTGAATGGTTGTCTCTTTAATTCAAAATAATTCTTTCGGTAGACTATCTTACAGCAAGTCAGGTCAAGAAACCCTTTTATTGCATTTTCACATATGCATTTCAAACTGGTTTCATTTTTCCAGTCCCTCTTCAGTACTCTAGAATTACAATTACAGATATTGAGTTGACAAAAATACAAATTAAAAATTAAAATGAGTAGAGATGTCAAATAACACAACGGAAACATTATTACCAGTACCTTTAAGAACTTTACACACTTCTTTTTCCCAAGTTACATTCATACGGTATTTCTATTTCATATTAAATTATCTTTCTTGACATAAACCGTAATATGATTAAACAATATCGCTATAAATAATAATAATACAATCATAAACCTAGTTACAAATAAGTAATATAAAAACTTTTAAAAAGTATTTTTCTTTTGAAATTTTCTTCTATATCATTTGAAAAATATTCTATTAAACACTAGTTATGTGTTGTATAAATTCACAAATGGTAATCCATACACAATAACTTTTACAACATTTGGTATTTAGGTTTTACAAACAATTCACTGGTTTATTGTCACACCTTCTATAATTTTGTACCATTGCTGTTCAATTTGCATTCCATTAGAGATATTTACTAGATTATTGTTACTATGTTTAGGACTTTAATATTATTTCTATCAATATTACAGTTACTATTTTTAATATAGTTATACCAAGTGGAGTTGTTATATTTTAATCTAATGGTTACTTCATGTTCTTTGATCCGTATTTCTAAAGCACGTCATGTTTCACCTATATAATTTTTTGGATTTTGGCAATTACAGTTGATTTTATAGACTACACCTGTTTTTTTTTCAATATATCACTATTAGTTTTATATATTTTTAATCTATTAATGTTTACTTTATGTGAAATTTTATTGGTCAAAGCTGGGGCCAAGACTACATTCTCTTTTTTAAGCATTTTATTACAATTATCATAAATATTAGTGATGTATGGGAAGGCTCTATATGTTTTGTCTTTTTTATTTTTTATATTAAATGTATTTTTATAATACTGTGTTTTCCAAATTTTTAAAGTTTTCTCGGGATAACTGTTCAGAATGAATTTTTGTTCTAATTCATTTAATTCAATTTTTCAGTCCTTTTCGTTGGTAGTTCTTGGGTATATATTTTTTAACTCCATTATATATGTATTCTTTTTACGGTATCTGGTATACAAGAGTGGTAGTTTATTGTTTTATTTAAGTTGGATGGTTTTTTATAAGTTTTAAATGAAAATTTATCATTAATTTTATTCTCTTTTTCAAATTCTATATCAAATTTTATATCTTCATTTATACTATTTACTGTGTTGAGAATTATTTTATCATTTGTTATTTGATTATTAAATACTACTAAATAGTCATCTACATATTGCATTACAGTTTTTACTCCTGGAATGTTTTGTATTTTTTCATCCACCTCTTTCATTACTAATTCAGCAAGTTTTGGCTCCATCTTTGACCCCATACTAACCCCATCAGTTTGTATATAAAAGTTATCATATACTTCAAAATAATTTCTTTTATATGCAAATTGTATTAGATCTATTAAAGTTTTATTTATTTTTAATTGTGTGAGACTGTTTTTTACTAATTTCCATTTTATGTTAGGGTACATATTTTTCACATCTAGACTGATTAATGTGTGTGTTTTTTCTTTTTTAATCTTTTGAATACTGTTAATTACTTCATCAGCATTTTTTATGCTATTTTTAGAATTATCAATACATTTTAATTGTTTTTTAATATAATTTTCTAAATCGTACAGTATCGAGTATCTGAAATCAACAATAGGTCTATATTTTTCATCTTTTTTGTGTTTTTAACTGTATATGTAATTTGGGGATTCTATTATTACTGAAGTTAAGTATATCATTTTTATCAATTTTTATCAATATCAATTATCATTTCACTAATATTACCTTTTGAATATATGTCTTTTACTATTTCTGTTAAATTTTTTTTTATTTCCTCATATGGATTATTATCCAATTTTATATATTGTTCATTGTTAATTTGTTCTTTACTTTTATCTTCTAATACTTTATTAGTTATTATTATGAGTTGTTTTGTTTTATTTTCCTTTATGATAGAAAAGTTATTAGTTTTTAAAAAATTTATGGTTCTATTTAAATTTGTTTTATATTTATATACTTTAAATTTATTTTTTTGGGTTATATGTTTCATGTCATGGATGACTGAGCTAATTAAATTAGTTTTCTTTTCCGTTTTTGTTGGTAAGTCTTTTAAGCTTTTGTCTACACTTACTATTAAATCCATAGTAATCTTATCAATAGGTATATTAAAATCAGTTCCTAACGTTAGGAACTGTTTCATGTACGTAGGAATTTGTATGTTAGTTTTATTAACAATTAAATAGTTTATCCTTATATTGTTCATTTTAGGAACCAGATACTTAAATAGTTTATGTAATTTAAGGTATTTTTTATATTTGTATCCATTTGCAATTACTTTGTGTGAATTTTCTTTGTAATTATATTGATGTAATAATTTCCTTAATTGGTATTTTAAATTATTCCATTTTTTAATTTTACTCCTAATTACAGATTTTATTCTTCTTCTTTATTTTCCAAATCATATGTTTGGGAATTATATTTCGTACAGTTCTTCTTAACTTTAAAGTTTTTTGGTGTATGTTCTTCTCTCAAAAAGCATCTTAGATAGTCTACCAAAAGAATTATTTCGGATTAAAGAGACAACCATTCACTGAGTTAATATTGTGTTAATTTATCTCAAAATTAATAAAATAAGAGACATTTTTTTTCTGTTTATACATCATTACATATTCATAAAATATTTTTCATAACAATTAAAAGAAAAGCTTTATTTTTTATTTTTAAATTAGCATTTTATCATTTATTTTTGATAAGCATTTACATCTTATATAATTATTTCTCTGATTTATTAAAACTTTATTTTTAACAAAAACAATTTAGAAAGTTTCAAAGACATAATTTGATTTTATTTTATTCATATCCACTCTGAAGTTAAGATATTTAATGTTTTTGATTTAAAACATATTGTAGACCAGTATTTAGATGGCCAGATGACTAAGCAGTTAAGGTGGCAGCCTACTGCTTTGGGGGACCTGATATTGAATCTGGATGGGTAAAAAAAAAACCCTGAAATTTTTCAAAGGTTGGTCTGTCCAGATAAGTCGAGCCCCGTCTCTCACCTTCTGGCCACCTCATTGAGCATCTGGCCAAACCCATAATTCTTTCGCTAAAAAAAGACCCACTTAATGCCCATAGGGCAAAAAGAGGATACGTCTTTGTAGGATTTTATTGGTTCCTGCTTTCATTTTATTATCTTTTATAAGTATTTTGATGTGTTTTTTATATATATTTTTTAATACTTAACATTTTATTCAACTTCTTTACTCATTCTAAACAAAAATAACAAACTTCTTACTGTGAAGTAAGAAGTTTTCACCAGAAACTTTGTTTCTGAGAATTACAGTAGATTGTTAAATATCAAAATAAACAGGATTTTAAGCATATCTGTGGGTAATGTCTGTTAGTAGTCAGCAAAGTCCAATTCTTGTGTATATCCTGCTCCAACTTTGATTTTAATATATAAAGACAAATGTTCTTTAATTAGTTTATCAGGATTTTGGCTCAATCACAAAAATGAAAACTGATTATATACAAGTTTCATACTCAAAATCTTTACTCATATACTTTATACTCAAAATCTAGTTATATTTATCATTATTTGTGTAGTATCACATAACAGTTTTGTTAATTTCTGATGTCCGTAAAACTTGCTTCGGTGGTTGCCAATTATATTGACAAAACAATTCAACAGATGAGGTTCTTAGGTGGTGGATGCCTCATTGGGTTCTGGTCGTAGCACTTTTTGATTTTTCAGTAGGTGTCTACCTGGTCAACTTTCTGCCAGCAGTGGTTTGTAAGTTGTCATGTCCTGAACTAACATCAGACTTGCCTTGGCATTTTCCAGGCAGTGATCCTTTAGCTTGACCTCTTGTTGTATGCATCTTTAAATAAAGATGGATAGTTGAAGAATTGTTGATTGGGTACTTCAACCAAGACCTGTCTGGTATGGGTGACACTTTCTGATTACCACCAGCTCAGCATTATGAGAGTGCACAAGTCTCTCTCACAACAAGATCTATGGATGGGCTATTGTTATTATAATTTAGTAATGAAATCAACAACAGAATACTGTAAATAAATAATTTAACATATAATAAAGGCAAACAGTAATCTGAATTTTTATTGTTTCATTCACTATTTTGATTCTAGAAACTATAAAAGTGTCTATAAAATGTTTAATATTGCCATTTTTCTTTTTTCAAGAATAAAAATGTCCTATTTATCCAAAATATTTATTTTTGTGAAATTCTTCATTCATCAATGCTTGAGGAACATTACTTTATAGTACATATGAAACAATTATCTTTAAGTATTAAGTATTATCTAAAAATTAAGTATTTTTATATACATAAACTATCAATATATATTGTATTCCTCTGCACCAAAAATTTCCTCTAATATTTAAATAACTGTATATTTATCAGGAGCTATCCCCGCTTATGCTGGCTATCCTGGACGGCATCGTAAAATGAATAAAGAATCTCCTCCCGTTCTTGCATTGGCAGGATACATAGAAGAATGGTCTCAGTGCGTTAAGAATTTAACTGTTTCGTCTCGGGAAAATTGGGCTTATCGTTTGATTGATGGTACTTGTTATTTCTGGCAAAGTTGTGGAACTCAGGGAAAGGTAATGTTTACAAAAGATTTTAAAAATGATATTTTAAAAATAATTAAAATCAATAAAGGGAACAAAAATGAATGAAATGAATACATACATATGACATTCATTGAGTTGTATATTAGATTTATATGGAGTATTAGGTAATAGATTTAAAGTGAAAAACTTGTCTTACTTTCCTGTCTGATACAATATAATATGCAGAAGAATTGTAATTATATCAAATTCATATTTTTTGATATGATTACAATTGATATGAATTTGCAAATCTCAATGTTTTCAGATCCCTGAACTTCAAAAAAAAACAAATATTTCATGGATGAGTGTGTGTTGGTGTCTATTTAGTTTAATATCTCAAGATAGGGTAAAGACTAAGAAATGAAATTTGGCACTTGTATATAAGAGGCATTAATACTGTTAAATTTTAGAGGTTAAAGCTTGAGGAATGGGGCGATAGAAGGGTTTTATATATTGGCTGAGGTTGGACGTAATAAAAATTTTACTTGTTATTGGCATTTATAATATTTTTAAATACTCATCTTTACCCTCAAAATTAAGCTTTTTCTGCCTTTTATAATAATTAATACTATAAAAGTAATTTTTTTAATAACATCTTGTAACAGATGGTGCTGCACACAATTTTAACTTTGAACTAGTGTCATATAGTGTCCTTTTTTAAAACTTAAATATATTTTAAATGGAGATTTTTATCATAATTCAACAAAATTACTCTTTTTAAATAATATTACAAAACAAAAATCAAAGTATATAAGTTGAAATAATATATATTTACAGAAAAAACAACATGTGCAGTCCAAACAAATTGTAAAATACTTTTAACACATAGATGTAAAAACTTTTAATTAGGTGAGCATGTGTAATTACAGCGGGTCTGTAATATAAATAGTCAGTGGTCTTATAGTCTTCAGTTCAAGGCCATACGACTGCCAGTCGTCGTTCATACATTTTTTTTTAATCTTTACTCTACTGACTGTTATATAACGACCCTTCTATTTACATTATAATAAAATATTAAATATCAAATTTTCTCATTGTGTCCAGTAAATATGCAAAATATCATATTACAGGCGGCAGTTAACGTGTTAATTTATATGTGACAAAAGAGAATAATTAAACTAGTTTCGATATTTTTTCCTTTTTTTTAACTATTTACTATTAAATAAACNTTTCACAGAAGTTAGAACATCCTCTGTTTTTCCCTTATCTGCGAAAACTCTCGTTTTGATGGGAAATGCTTACCCCATGAGAGGCCACTACTAGGATGTAAAACTACGTCTTACGAAGCCAGGATAATTTAATCTTGAGTGAAACTATATTGGTTATGGTGACGTCGGGTGGTCGGATGGCTCTGTACAGCCTTAATTAGTATGACTGCCAGCACGTTGGATGGTGGTTAATGTGTTAAGCTTTTCTTATAACATAAATATTACATTGTAGAAAATTATCGGACATCCTAATGATCCCCTTAACCTTCTATTTGAGTACTGGGAAAGTCAAGCTAGAGCTCTTGTCTGCTTTTTGATTTAAGAACTAACTGATTTTCCATATAATGCTTCAGTCATTAACAATTATCCTATCAATCTAAGCCAGTTATACACAAGATATTAAGATTATATTTCTATAAATGTAAAGTATCAAAATCCCAAATGAATTTGATATATGATTCAGTGTACTGCTGTCTAGAATCACTTTGTTTTGTCTCCACTTATGTAAGTTCTGGGAAATAGAGTTTGAAAGTTTAAGAGAAGTATTAGGAGAATAGGCATAGAACAAATTATTCTTATTCTAATTGTATCAATAGTGAAATTGAATGAAGATGGAGATAGAGAAATTTTACAATATAGTATTAAAAATGTCAAAATATGTACAAAAATGAGGATAGAACAAAATGTTTCTAGGCCAGTTATGCATCTTTTATACAGTGCGTAAAATTAGCTTGTAAAATTATTTAATTGTTTGTCATTTTTAATGATGCAAAACTATTAGAGTTAATTATATTACTGAAATATTGAAAGACTAATTAAGTACAGAAAATTAAAAAAAAAATTCAAATACCATCACTGTTTTTTAGGTTACAACAAATTCTAGAACTTGTTCATAGTCAAATAGTGTTTCTGATGGCCACATTTAAATTATGAAGTGGCTGATTGATTTTTTAATTACAAAAACTGAAAAAAAGTCACTGCTTGATGCTGTTTTAGGTATCAATACAATAAAGACATTTTTTTTAAAGAAACAAAACTATTTCTTTTTCTTTGAGAAATGTTTTCGGACCAGCTGCAGCTCCAAAATATTAGAAAAAAAAATATGAATTGAATATAAGAAACAATTAGCACTCTGAAAGATATCAAAGTTTAACATATGTGCATGAATTTAACTGATCTTTGAATGACATTTTAAAAATTAAAAGTAAAATAATCTGAGGTTTTAAACATAAAGTTTGCAAAAAACATAATAAGATCAAAATTAAATAGAAAATAGTGTAACATTCTGATGTAAATAGATTTAGCCCAATGAATCTACTCATTGGTGATGTGGTATTGTTACTCACAGAGTGCAAACAAAAAGTCTTTGATCGGTACACTGGAACAGCTGTATATATACTACCTAGCTGAACATTATGGTATAATTAACACACACAATGTAATAATAATGATATGAATGTGGTTGGTTAAAAAGTTGGAATTACCTTCATATAAGAAAGTGCTGGGATGCTTTCCTGATATGTAACAATTACATCAATATGTATGCAGGGCACAGCATGTGGACACACATATTGTACATGACTGACATTTCACTATCTCTGGCCTGATGTCATGTGTGTAAATATGTAACAAGCCATTTTCTGTTTAATCATCATTGATTAATTTTGCCTTTATTTTCACCAGAATATCACACATTTTTTTCTATCTAATTTTTATTTTATTGGGCTTTTTGTCAACTTTATATTTAAAACCTCAGAATATTTTACTTTAAATTTTTTTAATGTTGTTCTAAGATTGTTATCTCTGAAACTTTTAAGAATGCCAAATAATTCTTATATTTGATTCACATTTTGTTTTTAAAGTTTTAGAGCCAAAGCTGGACCCTTCAGTAGGCTCGAAAACATTTCTCAAAATGTCTTCTTTTATTCTAAAACAAAACTGTTTAACTAAGATATATATATATCTTAATTATCACAAGTATTACAAAAATAATTAAATTTAGTCATTTCTAAACCTTAGAGATGCATTTATCTATTCTATAATTATCTTATCACTGCGAGAGAGAGAATCACAATTGATCTTGAGCAGGTATTTACCTCGTTGACAGGTAGAGTCTTCTGACAGTCCTTAGTATTAAATGGGAAACAGTCACACTTCTATAGGTGAGAGGAATTGATGAGAGTTTGATGGATGATGACAGGGAAACTTTAGATATGAACAGGGCAATGAATTGGAACTAGACTTCTGAACTGGGTGGCGCACTGGAACCGGACTACTAACAAGGACTTGATGATTCAGGAACTGGACACACTGTACAAACTTTTGGAGGTCCTTTTATACCATTTGGTCTGTTTCCCAAGTTAAAACATTTCAACAAAAAATTGGCAATATCAGGTGAAAAGACTGTTAATAACCAATCCTAATTTTTCTCGTGTTGAGTAACCATCTCAGGAAGAATTGTGATTACAAAGGAAGTTTATCTTTAACATCATCATGTTATTTACTCATCTCTTTTCTAAAATTTTCTCCTTTGTTAACAATTATTTAAAAACATCATTCTTTGCACAAAAACTGCAGCCTGGGATCTCACATAAGTGTAAGCCTGGTTTGAGGGCATAAAGTTTTGAGTTTTACTGTTAGATGAAGTTTTTTGAAGGAAGTGTAAATATCAGTCGACAAGAAAAAAATTATTGCATTTTCTCATGGAAATAGATCGGATGTCAACTCTTAACATTGTGAGACCCGAAAGGCCCCTGGATCTAATTTAATAATTTTTGTTAATAATGTTAAAATATTGTCCCCAAATATTACTTCGTTTGGGTGAGAAAAATGACGTTTTAGAGTGGGAAAAATAGCTAACAGATGTTACTTCCTTTCACAGAAGTTAGTGCATCCTCTGTTTTTCCCTTATCTGCGAAAACTCTCGTTTTGATGGGAAATGCTTACCCCTCACATATCCCCCTTTCCATCCGTTCTCACGGAGGAAACTTTGCATGATGATTGGTCACTGATCATGACATATACAGAGAATTAGTCAGAATTCAAGGAGTTCAGCGACAGATCTGGAAGCGTCCAAACTCCATACGTTTTTCCTCCTGATGACCAACGCCCTTAGACGAGTCACTTAGAATAAGTCCAGAGTCTGCACTTAGAAAATATACTTTGATTTTGTGCACATATTGAACTCCCATACAAAGAAGTAAATGAACTTTAATTCCGAAGTGTCCCTTGCCTACAGAGAAGAAGACGAACGACAACTAGAACAGATTGTATGTTTTATAACGATATTGTGAGCTCTCTCTCTCGATCGTGAATAGGGTATAATATAAGCTTAGCTATCGCTTGATTTGTATATTATTTGTCGTAGTTCTGTCTCTCGTTCGTCCACATTTTTGTATGAGTTTATTTACTTGTTTTATTAAATTTATTATTTCGTTTTTAATTAAAATGTCTCTTAATTTTGTGTCGAATCAGATCTCATACGCGTGTTTGTCCGTGGATTGATAAATTGACAAACTGGTGTCAAGGAATCCTGACGTAGATCTAGACTACACAGCCTAGATCATCCTTACACATAAAAGCCCTCCTATAAGAACTTTTAAGATCGGATCTCGTGATCCTAAACTTTGGAGACAAATTTCGGTTAATCTGTGCCTAGTAAGTGATACAGGCGTAATAGACCTACCCTGTACCCCAGGCTACTCTCACAACATCAACAAGTTATGAAGGAAGAAGGGCATGTCATCGTGCGCCTGCAAATTAGTCATCATAACAACGAACGACCAGTTGGCTCGGTGCCAACGATGATCGTATAAAAACAATCATCTCAGGAAGTTCAGGGCAATCGTCCAGGAAGTTCTTGGTACAAGTGTCTCCCGTCCCGGTCCTGTCTGAGAAGAAGCAGGTAGAAGACATAGGACTATTCCAGCTTCCATATTCCAGAATGATTGTCGCATACAGTCATCCAATAACATGTTGAGGTATACTTGAGGGCAGAAACCTTTGTAAACTCTCTCTCTCACGCTAGAGGTTAGGCACGTGGCATAGTGACTAGTTTAATCGCCTTTACCGATAGATTTATATGTTATCGGCATTTAATCATTTAATTCTTTATGTATGCTCCTATAAATTAGATTGGTATATAATAAACTCCTTATTTGTTTGTTTAACCTGTGAACCTGTCTATCATTGCTTGCATGGACATCTGTTAACTTTCTCAACCCTCTCGCCACTCTATAAAAAGCCATCCAGTGACACTGTGAGTGGATCTCGCCGATCCGACAATTAGAGGGCTCTGTCCCCTCACCCGTATTCTCACATAAGTAATAGTTTTTATTTCAAAATTATTGATTATATTTTATTATTGGAAATGGTAATGCACAATTTACAAAAAAGTGGAATTATGCAGCGTAATATAAAATCCATAAACACACACATTAACTTTTGTTGATGTTTTATAAAATAGAAATTAATAAGTTTATTACATGCAATGAACTTTAAATGTGCTTCTGGCAGGAAAACGTTTTTCATTTTTGCAATAGCAAATGTTTTGACCTTTAGAGACCTGCATCAGGCTTACACAGAAGAATATGGGGGTTTTCAGTCAGTGTTTATACATTTTTTCTGTGTAAGCCTGTATAAATATTTCTTAATATAAAACTCAAGAGATATTTCTTGAGTTAATACATTATGTTATATATAAAATTGATTTAAATCTACAATAATTTTATAGCATTGGATACGTTTAGAAATGCAACCGGATATTTTGGTTCATAGACTTCGCATGACGGTCGATCCTGCTGACTCTAGTTACATGCCTTCAGTTGTAGTTTTGAGCGGTGGACCTAGTGTTTCCTCTCTGAAAGAATTAAAAACCATCCACATCGGACCAACTGAAACACTTGTTACATTACTTTCTGATCAAGCTGAGGTAAAATATGATTTTTTTAAATAGATTAAAGATTTAAAAGATTAGTGGCATATATTCTATGTATTTCCATAAGTTATATGTAAATCTATATGCATATCTGATTAAACAGTTAGATGTACGCATATACCAATATAAATGATATATTTTATCCATATAACATTGTTATATTTACCAATTTTAAGTTCTCTTGTATAAAAATGACTATTTTATTTTATTTAGTATTATCGCATTGTTGAAATAGCCATTAAACAGTGTCGCAGTGGTGGGATCGATTGCAAAGTTCACGGATTAACGATAATTGGACGTCTGCGAACGGACGATGACGATCTGGTTGCAAACTATCCATACTTAGTTTCGGAGGAAGAAGAAAATGATGAACAACCGCCATTTTTGTGTTCTCAAAAAAGAGGCAAGCATGACATGCGCCACGATCTTCAGATAAAAGTATTTGTTTGGGGACTAAATGATAAAGATCAGCTTGGTGGATTAAAAGGTTCTAAAGTAAGTTTTTTTTTTAATAAAAGTTTTTAAAAACATTTTATATTAAGGAATAAATGTTATGAATGCTATATAAACAACTAGTGCTATACTTGTTACTAATACAGTTATTAAATACATGAGTGCACAGTGTGGCAGCCACATAAAATTTCAAATGCTCATAACTTCTAATAAGTGCATCTTTCAAAAAAAGGTCTTTGATGAAAGTTTGTTTTAATCTTTTGAAAAGAATAGATAAGTATTATTTATACTCTTTTTTTACATACTGAGTCAGATTATTTATACTATATGTAACTTTTAAGATAAAACAATTGTTATCTATTTTTTCACTTTAACTCTTTATCCGAGGTTAAGCTTATTAGACCAACAATAAACGATGTTTAAATAAAATATAAAAATCATTACTTATATTATTGTCTTTATTGTAAAGAACAAACTACTCACCACACCTCAATAATAATTACATACACTGAACCAATTTACGGTGTGGTACGATAAACGACGAAAAATAACAAAAAACAAACGTTTTCGAACCCCTTCTGGGCTCTTCATCAGGTTCCTACAGTTTTAGCTCGTAAATTCGAATAACGAATGTCGTTAAAATAAGTTTGATCTTCAGTTCGAATCGTTCTTTCAAAATTATACGACGCACATGCATGCCGAGTCTGCCTACTCGGGTATAACGGGCGGCTAAATCATGTTGTGAATCAACTCTTGCCAGGCCATCGACAAAAGCATCTCCTCTTTAAAATTTATGCACGTAGTATCGATAGAGGCTTTAAAGATGTGCATCGCCTCTAACCATTTGAGATGATCATTGGGAGGCGCGCCGAGGAGGAGATTGGCTCGAGTAAAGTTGGCAACTATTTCCGGGTCCGTTACGTATGTTGCGAGGGCCATGTTGGTTCTCCCATGATGAATATCTGCCTGATGTTCTTGCATTCTGATGCCTATGATTCGAACTGAAGATCGAACTTATTTTAACGACATTCGTTATTCGAATTTATGAGCTAAAACTGTAGGAACCTGATGAAGAGCCCAGAAGGGGTTCGAAAACGTTTGTTTTTGTTATTTTTCGTCGTTTATCGTACCACACCGTAAATTGGTTCAGTGTATGTGATTGTCTTTATTGTTTTCACTTTTAAAAAAATTTATCCTGTTAAATGTACTATTACACTTAAGAGGATCTTGAGATCAAAATGCATTTACAAGAACAATAAAGACAATAATATAAGTAATGATTTTTATATTTTATTTAAACATCGTTTACTGTTAGTCTAATAAGCTTAACTTCGGATAAAGAGTTGGGATGAAAAAATAGATAAAAATTGTTCTATCTTAAAAGTTACATAAAGTATAAAATCGTAAATAATAATAATCATAATAAAAAATGGTGGTTCCCATTTAAGAAAAGAAAGTTGACATTGTTTTCACTGATTATAATGCCCTCATCTTGAGCCCTCTTTAAGTCTTAACATTTTTGGTTCAATAATTTTTTTGGTAGAATGTGTATTTTTCAAGTTATTTCAGTGGATTGATTAAAATGAGCCATCTTATATAACACATTAACAAACCAAAATAACTTAAAACTCATTTTGAAATATTTAACAAAATTTCTACCAAAAAATTGATGTGACATGTATAAAACTTTTAACAATTAATCTATTTGATAATTGTATAATGATTTAGTGATTAGGCTTACTTGATTATATCACTTATAATTTATTTTAAGTGGTGGTTGATTATTTTTTAATATTTAAATGGAAAAAATTATTAAAAATAAAATACGTATATAATACAGGTATACCTCGCCTTACGTTGGTGATTGGTTCCAGGAAAACAACGTAAGTCGAATTTACTTGTCTCCGAATCTACTTATCACTAGGCTAAACCGTACCAAACGTTACCATTCCTGGTTCTGTATTTTATTTATTAATGCATTTTTAATAATATATGGTTAATAAAAATCTATTTTAAGCTTACAAACAAATAAATTTTAGTTTTTAATATAGTACAAAAAACAGTAATCTAAATTTACGAATGCATGTACTGTAAATACAGTACATACTCGTATATATTTTAATATGATTTTATGTGCTTTAAATGTTTATCTAGTGATATTACGACTTCAATATTTGTGGCGGACAGATGTAAAGTCGAATAAAATGACTTAAACTTGATTTTTATTTTTCCATATACTTTTTTAACAAGCGACGTATAATCGGGAACGACGTAACTCGAAACGACGTAAGTCGAGGTATGCCTGTACTAGTTCTAGTATACTAGGACTAGTATATATAATAGTACTAGTAATACAAAGTTGCATGATGTCCTAGTATTATAAACGCGTACATACATATAATACTAGGACATTGTGCAACTTTGTCGTATCACAATAAAATTGAAGTGGAGCCAGAAAGAAGTGATCCTTGCACTTGTTAGGCACAGAAGAGGTGATCCTTGTACCTGACAGACATGGACACATGAACTTTGCACTTTTTGACACAAAAGAGGCTATCCTAGTACCTGCTGGCCATGGAGACACAATCCTTGCACTTGCCAACACGGAGAGGAAATCCAAGAACAGAGCAATCACTATTGATTGCTTTGTTCTTGTGTTTTGTTCATTTTTGTGCCTATTTTCCATTAAGTGCTCTCAATGCTGTTTTTATTTTTGATCCCTAGGTCTAAATTCCTTTAGGCATGATCATTTGCATTGGAGAGCATAGACATTGTCATTTTAATACTTTTGTATATTGAAAATAATGTCATGGACTCCTATTTTTTTACATTTAAATGGACCGCCATTACATTTTGGATTCCTTGTCGCAGTTAATGGAAAATGGCAAAGTTAATTCTATAATCTCATAGAAGGAGTGCTAATGACTGTGGAATATCGCATGACATTACTTTGTCATGCACACTCATTCTCCGACCTTGTATCTTGAAAACAATGTCATGTACTTCCACTTTTTATTACATTTTTTGATTCCTCATTGCAATTAATGGAAATTGGCAAAGTTTAATCAAAATCGATCAAACGGATTTTGAAAACAAACACAATTCTGTAAGACACACAGAAAAGGATTTGCTAATGCTCTGCCTCAATAAAATGTTGAAATTATTAAAGTTAAGAAATTAATTTAAAAATCATTTTTTTCAGGTCAAAATACCAACTTTTTCTGATACACTGTCTGCTATAAAACCTCTGTATATTTCCGGTGGCTCAAAAAGTTTATTTATAGGTAAGAAATTTATAAGTACATTTTTTAAATATTCATACAAGAAACATAGAAATCATTATTATATGTAACAACTTTTGACATTCAATAATTGCCAGGAATTGCAGATTACTTGTAACTATCAAAATCATTTAGTTAATTAAAAGAATCACTGTACAAGTTGAGTCAATGTATCTATTGTTAATTAAATGTTTTTTTGAGACTTTTTACTCATTCAATCAACAATAAATGCATTGACTTCTTGAGTTATATAGCAGTCCTTTGAATTAAATTGTTATTAAATTAATATTTGATATAACAAATATTATTTTTAAAAATTCCTTAATCTGGAAGTTAGATATAGTAATATGTTTTAAAATAAGCATTCAACTTTAATCAATTTAAAATATTATTAAAGGCTGGATCTCACTTAAACTGATTCTGTGGCAGTTTATTGACACAAAAGTTGTAGTATTGTTCTTAGATACATCATTCAGCAGCATTGCAAAATTCTGCTGAATGAATATCCATGCAATGCATATGCAAGACTGGACTGTAATTGATTTTGATGTTGAATGACATCAATATAAATGATGCTTTTCATTTCTTAATTCTTTTCTTGCCATCATGGTATTGGTTCTACTCATAAACACACTTTTATACATTGCTCTCTGATGTCACGATGGTTATTATGTCATGGCTTTGCCACCTACCATTGCAGATTTCATTATAGTGTACAAACCTTTTGATATTTTATAAGAATTACATATTCATAATATATAGTTTTATAGTTTCTAGAAAACTATAATAATCATCAAATGATAATACTTTTTGATTTTCTTTTAGTATCACAAGATGGTAAGTTATATGCTTGTGGAGAAGGTACAAACGGTCGACTCGGATTGGGTCATTGTAGCAATGTTGCTATTCCTAGACAAGTGACTTCTCTTGGACAATATGTTGTTAGAAAAATCGCTGTTCATTCAGGTAAATAATAAACATTTTTAACAAAATAATTTTATAAATAATTTCTTAAAAATAGCAACTCAGAGGAAATGTGCCAATATTTTACTTATTCACTGTCCTATGCCATATTCTTCAGAAAGAATTTTATTTCATTAATTATGAGCTAATATTAATTAGGAAAAGTATTAAATACATATTCATAATTATGTACTCATTTACTACTTACACCAACTTTTTTTCCTAATTACATATAATATAAAGTTTAGAGAAACTAGCCATGTTAGTGAGCTGAAAATAATTGCCAATCTCTTAAAATTTTACTCCCACTAGTGGCTGAGTGGATAAAAACACTGAACACATGTAGTGGGCATGGGTTTGCACCTCACTAACAGGCTTGCCAGGTGGAGTCCTTGATGTTTTCTTTACATTTCTAATACCTAAATAAGGGCCTAAAACAAAAATTCTTCTGGGAGGCATCCCCCTTCGGTAGATCACTCATATTGTGTTGTTATATACAAACAACAGTGGCGTGCCGTCATTGGAAGCGGTGGATGCGCCACTTCCCTTGTATTTTCTAAAAAATAAATACATGTTAATTTTAATTATACGAAAATAATCGCACAATATTTTAGGCATTATGTATCTTATTACAAATTTCTATACTACACGTGAAAAAAAAAGATAAGGTTGCTATTGTATATTCAAATATTAGTGGTGGAGTGGAAGCGTTGTATTGTCAGCATCCAAAAAGCCAGATTTGCACGTGCGCTTTACAGAGCACCAACCTCACCCAGTTTAGCTGGTGGAAGCCTAGGATTTCGGGTGGATGCTACACATATACCACATCCAATTCTTTTAAAATAAGCATTCAACTTTAATCAATTTAAAATATTATTAAAGGCTGGATCTCACTTAAACTGATTCTGTGGCAGTTTATTGACACAAAAGTTGTAGTATTGTTCTTAGATACATCATTCAGCAGCATTGCAAAATTCTGCTGAATGAATATCCATGCAATGCATATGCAAGACTGGACTGTAATTGATTTTGATGTTGAATGACATCAATATAAATGATGCTTTTCATTTCTTAATTCTTTTCTTGCCATCATGGTATTGGTTCTACTCATAAACACACTTTTATACATTGCTCTCTGATGTCACGATGGTTATTATGTCATGGCTTTGCCACCTACCATTGCAGATTTCATTATAGTGTACAAACCTTTTGATATTTTATAACCTTTAGAGGACCAGCTTGCCCCGCCCCCCTGTTTATGTTCATTGTTTAAAACGACCAAGGGCAATATAGGTCAAACAAGGTCAGACACGTTTTATTACTTTAAAAATTCACCAAAAATCAATTTATCGTTATATTCATATGACATAAATTACGTTACATTTATTAATATCTGTAGTTATAAATCCGATATTTTTAAATACATTTAAATATAAACTTCAATAAAAAAAAATTAAAATATTTCAGACCTGACATCTGTCTGTGAAAATTTGCAACATTTTTATAAAATTCACATACTCCAGTTAAGTAGTTTGTTCTTGGCACCAAGCCAGAACGACTTGAAATATCGTTCTGTACAATTCGATATAACATTTATGAATGTACGATTATTAGTTTTAAAATTATCACAGATTATAATATATCCTTTGTTTGGAATCTAACCTTTGTTTTGCTATCGATGCGTATTACGAACTAATATTCTTTATTCATTTTATTTTGAACAATAATATAAATTATTGTGATAAATATATAGACCACTAGTAATACATTTACGATGGGCTAATATTTTTAATTTAATTAAAAAATAAAAAATTAANTGACTAAGTGGATTGTTTTAAGATTTAAAAAGTAAAGAATATTTTATGTTATTTTTATGTACGTTTCTTTACAAAGCTATATTTAATTATAATTTTTTTTTAAAAGTATATTTATACAATTGAAGAATATTTTGTACCATATATGTATATTCACCACACATTTTATTTCACCAAGTAATTTTATTTTTAATTGTAGCCCTTATATTGTGGCTAGCGATTCAGAATGTAATTGTGATATTTAAAATACATTTAGAGAAGTCTACGGTTTTTACTGGCTTATCGAATAAATGATATGAATGGACCCTAGACCATCACTGACGCGTAATTGACTGATTGCCCCTGGATGTCAGCTTCTTACAGAAACACAGCTTCCCTATCATCAAATGTCATGGCATGCCACTGACAAACAAGCAAATTTAAAACTACATAACAACCTTTAATGCTTTATATACATCTGGTGGTTCTCATTTATACATTTTTCTGAAATTTCACTGAACTATAATTGGTAATTTTGATATGTGAAACCACAGGACATATTGAACTTACTCCTGTAAAGATGCTGTTTTGATACCGGCAATTACAGTGTCACTTGAGCTGTTCACAGTCTGAAACTTATAGCAAAATTCTCTAGGAATCAGTTTAGATTATGCCACAAATCACACGCTTTCTACTAACAATAGTTTGTAATCGAGAAAATATTGTGACCATTGAAAAATATCTTCTCTTCCATATAGTAATTTGCATTATTTTATCAGCATAAATGTATAAAAATGATTCATTTTTAACACGATTTATTGAAAAATTTAAATTTTATAATAAATTTTTACTATTTTAGGTGGACGGCATGCTTTAGTTTTAACTGTTGACGGAAAAGTATTTTCGTGGGGCGAAGGGGATGACGGTAAATTAGGACACGGAAACAGAGTGTAAGTTTATTATTTTTTGAATAAACTATTTATTCAATAATACCCATTTGTAAAGTCACAATACTCCACATGTGATGAGAATATAATTTAAAGCATATCGTCATAGATATGTTTTAAATTAAATTTTTATTGGACATATAAAATTCAGATTTTAATGATAAAAAATTATTCTAAGGAAAAGTATTACAATGAATATCTACTTATATAAGCCATTGATCCTACTGTTTATATGTCATCTGTCACGGAATGCCTAGAACTGGCACTAGGGGCATCCCTAGCGACAATTTTCAACTATTATTTAAATTAATAATATAATTTATTTATTGACAGTATATATTATTATTTTTATTTGTAATAGGAATTTATTATTTATACCACAGAATGACACCACTTCTGCTAGAATGCTCACTAGGGAGTGTCCTGGGCTACTAGTACATTATAAATAATTATGTTTATTAAAAGCAGCATTTAATTATTTATTTTAATAAATAATATTTAAAATTTTGTTTTGTATGTTGTTATTGTTTATTTAATTTTGAAATCCAGACCCAAATTATTTATATTAATTATTTAACTATTCAGAATCCAGCGTTGATAAGACAACAGGATTAGAAATCAATCCAAATGGCAAAAACAATATTTATTTATTTCAGTGTAAAAAAATAAACAGTAAATTTTATATTAGTCATTGCTTATATGGACAACCAGATGGTTGAGGCAATTAAAGCATCAGCTTACTGCTCTGCCTATAGTCTGTCTTGGTGTCTTGGATATGTTGACTCCTTTCCTTATTGCCTTATTGCCTGGCTACCCCACTATGGGCCTGGCCAAACCTGTAATGTGTCTGAAAAGAAATCTTAGTTCCTACAAGGTGAAACTAATTACATAAGTTTAAAATATATGAAGTAAGATTAAACTTTGGGCAATAATTCTGATACAATAATAAGTGATGAATACAACTTACTTAGATACATTTTATATTGTACAAACTAACATTAGAAGACACAACAAACTTATTATTTTAATATTTTATAGAAATTATGATCGTCCGCGTCTGATCGAAGCTCTTAAATCTAAGAGAATTCGAAATATTGCTTGTGGTAGTTCACACAGTGCCGCCGTTTCGTCCAATGGAGAATTGTACACTTGGGGTCTCGGAGAATATGGAAGACTCGGCCACGGAGATAATTTGACTCAACTCAAACCTAAACAGGTATTAATATTATCTATTTATTTAGAAAATAATTATTTCATTTCACAATCATTTCATTTATGTTTTTATGTATTTGTGTCATAATATAATAAAATTAGGATATTTATATATTTTATGCTGATTTTTAATGTTCTCATTTTTATCATTTGTATTACAAAAACTTATATTTGGATGTTTGAATCAATGTTTCAAAAATTGTTAAAGACTATATTTTTTTAATATTATTTATTTTAAATTGTTGATGCTTAATGTACTTGTACATAAAATAAGTTTATTTTATGTACAAGTACAAGATGTACATCATACCAAATTAGAAAAAAGTTTGAGACAATAAAACTACTGTTATTAAAACCAATAACCAAACACCTTTCTCATTGCCAAGAATAACTTTCTCGGCAACAAAAAAGCTGTTTGGTTATTGTCTAATTTTTTGCTGAGCACGTTCTATTTAATGTTATTAAAACCTTCCAAACACAAAATAATTTTAATCACAACTCTAGTATTTTCAGTTAAGCCAATTTTAATTTATTCAAAATAGAACGTGACAGAAAAGAAAGAACTTTAAATAGCGTTTTTTACATCAGAAGTATCAGTAGAAGTATCCCCGAGTGTAAATATTTACAATAAATATAATGTAAAAAATTAATAAAAATACCAACAAAATCCTGGTAAAATAAAAAATAAGTTGAGCCCGTTTAAACATCAGATTAAATTTTAATACAGGAGAGGCCATGAAAGAAAATAAAGATGGATTAGATGGATACTTTTAGGGACAAAGTGATTTCTTCCAGGGTAAAATGAAGCTGCAGAGGTTTCTCCAATGGTCAGGTTACATTAGAGTTGGAGAGTTGTCAGTGGAAAACAGTAGTATTGTCTCTGACAATACTACTGTTTTCCATTGGGAATCCATCCTTATTTATAATCTAAGGCCAATCAACTCATTGACTGTAATGTAACCTGACCATTGGAGAAACGTCTGCAGCTTCCATTTCACACTGGAAGAGATCACTTTACCTTCAAAAATCTTCATCTAAGCAGTCTTTATTTTCTTTTGAGGCCTCTTTCATGTTACTATTTGCCTACTAGTAGACAAATAGATAAAAACCACTGAACACTGGTAGTTGACTATGGGTGTTTGCCTCACCAACATGACGTTTTCCAGGTTTTATTCATATTAGTAACACCTAAATAGGGACTAGTTTCTCATAAAAGACCTTCCGGGAGGCATTCCCACTCGGCAGATTGCTTACATGTCACCTCACCATATACAAATAAACTAATTATATTACTATTTAAACCAAACCTATATTTAAACTGGCTCAATTTACTGTGTTTATTTTACCAGGATTTTGTTAATATATATATTTATTATTATTTACACTAATTTTTATACATTATATTTGTTGTAAATATACATGCCTTCACTGCTACTGTAGAAATCTATTCAAAGTTCTGTTCTTTTATATCCTGAAGAAATTTAAATTGATTTAACTGAAAGTACCAGAGTTGTAATTAAACTTATTTTATGTTTGAAAACATTTTAATAACACCTGTTTTATTGTCTTGACATTATAGTCAAGAACTATTATTTTTAATTTTCTTTAAAGATATTCTTGTATTTGTAACATTATTTAGTTTTAGTCTATAACAGTATAAAAAAAAATGAAATTTTTATTTTATATAATAGGTAACTGCTTTAGCAGGATTAAGAGTTGTACAGGTAGCATGCGGAAGCAGAGATGCCCAAACTCTAGCTCTAACAGACGACGGAATGGTATTCTCTTGGGGTGACGGAGATTTTGGAAAATTAGGACGGGGAGGCAGCGAAGGTTGTAACGTTCCGCATAACATAGAAAGATTAAATGGCCAAGGCATTTGTCAAATTGAATGTGGTGCTCAATTTTCTCTTGCACTAACAAAATCTGGACAAGTGTGGACGTGGTGAGTGTACTCTATAAAGATTTTTATATTTTGATAACAATAGACATTTTTCTGTATTTGTAACTTTTTTGAGCCATTCAAAGACTGATTTTGGAATAACCCTTGTATATTAAATTAATTAATCATAAAAATTTAGAGTACAAAAGATAATAATCAAGATATCTTTTAATCTAATCTCCATTTTTGTTATCTCAAAACATTTCCATAATACTTTTGTATTTTCAGGGGGAAAGGAGATTATTTTCGATTGGGTCACGGTTCGGACTCGCACGTCAGAAGACCTCAAATAGTCGAAGGATTAAGAGGAAAGAAAATAGTCAACGTGGCTGTGGGAGCACTTCATTGTTTAGCCGTAACAGATACCGGCCAGGTATGTAATTCCTATTCTTCAAAATTTGAATATATTCTTGTACTTTGTTTACTGATGAACTTTGAATCTAAAGTATATGAACTGTAAATAATAACTTGAAGATTTTACAAGATTTAAAATTACAAGAGAAGATATCTAGTTAAACTATCAGACTTTTTGGACACCCCATGTCCAAAAAGTTACTGTCAGTGAGAAATTTGTAATGACATTAAAATTATATATAGGCATTGCACACGAGACCTGTAAGTCGTATGTCCCACGTTTTCACTCTGCGGTAGATGGCATTACTTCTTGCTCACAGATATTATGAAATGTCTACCCACATTTTCCCCAGACACAATTCACTGAGAGTTAGCATTCAGGTCTGTATTCGCTGAGTGATAATGGTATCAATGATTGAACAGTGAGTATTCTTGGTGGAGCATGTGTTCCATAGTACAATGGGAAGCTTGTAGATGCCATAAAACAAAGGTTCACTCAGCAATTTCCAGATACAAAAGTGCTCCACCATAATGTCATGTAAAATTTGATAGCCAAATTTTGCCAAACAGGCAGTGTTGCAAACACTCCCCACACTGGTAGGCCCTTAACCTCATAAGGTAAAGTTCTCAAAATCCATCACATGATGCTGAAGCACTTTACTTAAACCTTTTCCAGTGCACAGTAACTTTTCAGACACTCTGTATTCAATCGTTAATTTAAATTTAAGTGGCATAAAGAACTTTATTTAATAAAGTTTATGACTTTTACATGTTTCCATTTTAATAATTTAGGTTTATGCATGGGGCGATAATGATCATGGCCAACAGGGAAATGGAACGACAACAGTGAATTGTAAACCCGCTCTTGTCCATGGGTTAGAAGGCATTAAAATTACTCACGTAGCATGTGGATCGTCTCACAGTATAGCATGGACTTCTGCAGAAGTGGTTCTTCCTCGAGTACCTGAAGCAGTTCATTTCAATATTCCAAAAGATCCTCTTGGAGCTTCTTCGTTAAGTTAGTAACCATTATTTATTTTAAATTAATAGTTTATACATTGAAACTATTCTATAAAATGAAACTAAATGTTAAAAATTTGCAAATTATTTCAGTTATCATCATTTGATATTAAGATAGTTATTTAATAATGATTATTACATTAGACTCTTTTTAATCTGGCCATTCTTTTGTGCAGAAGAATGCTGGATTATCGAGAGTGCATAGGCCTAAAGCCTGCCTTAAGAAATGAATGACATGACCTGTTGCCCTTTAATACCGATTCTTTTTGGGAGGCAGATAGACAACGGACATTCAGTATTCTAGAATATCCAGAATTGGACAATTGTAAGGTCATTTGCAATTGATAAACACAGGGGGCATACACTGACCTGCAAGTGATATACAGCATATGACACATGGTAATGAATGCAGCACAAAAACATAGGAATGTGAGAAATACATTATAAATAAACACATGAGAAATGAATGAGAACATACAAGGAATACGCATTTTACTGTCTGTGTTAGATGTGCACATTAACATTTCATGCTTTTTATTCACACTATTCATGTATGCAGGGTGTCCTTTCATGCTAAATCAGTTTTGCTCTTCGATTCTGTAATTGACTTTTTTTTCTGTATCCTGCATCGTTTTCTAGAAGGGAGTGCTAACGTGAAAATTATACCACTAGAGACACTGCAGCTGATCTTGTCTCATAGTGCATAGTCACTTTAACATAACTACATGTCTTGTTCATAACTACAGCTATCTGCATTCATCAGTTATGTATCAACAGATGTATAAGGACTTCACTATGCACCCTGTATAGATTCTCACAATAAAATAAGAAGAACATTAAAATTTATATGTAATTTTGTTATAAATTTCAAATGATGTTGATTTAATTCAATCTTCTTGAAAGCAGAAAGAGTTATAATTAAATATTGTGAAGACTTTCATAGGGACATATTCAATCTACTTTTCTGATCTCGTCTATTAAAGCATAGTAATGAAGATCAAGAAGTCTAAGCTGTGATGATAGAAAGATACATTTTGCAGATATATCTAGCATTTGATCACTTTGTTGACTTCTTTATCAGACTAGAAGTGTAGACTTGAACATACTACTTCAGTCTGAGAAATAACTGTCAAGTAGGCCTAGCGGATTCAGACAGAAACAAAGAAATTTGGTCTTTTGCTTTGCTTGACCAGTTCTACTGGAGAGGTCAGAGATTGTCATGCATAATAAGCAAAATCAATCAGGTATCGCGGCAAGGGCAGAGCTGAAGTAGAGCTACTGGCCTGACTCTGGATTGGCTGGCATCAGGTCAACAGAATCTCTTAAAAGAGGAGAATCAAAAGGAAAAAAGAGAGAGTCTGTCCTACCGGTATAGGGAGGCATACTATTCACCTACTTAGTCTTTCAGGTTGATATTCTTATGTTGTTATGTGTATAACTTGTAAATATGGTGTAAATAAAAGACAGAACTTTGAAGGACTAGCACCATTAAGTGTCTTTCTGACAAACAATGATACTGCTATCCAACAAAGAAGAGAGAATGATCTTAGGACCCACTCTTAAATTCGCTAGGTAGAGTTGTATGACAATTGCTGCCGTACACTGTTAATAATGTAAATTCCTTCTTTATACTGTCTATAATCCATCAGACTTTTACTTATTATCTAAACTGAAGAAGCATCTTTAAGACATGTATTTTCAGTTTAATGAAAACTTGCAAAAAAACAAGTCAAACATTGTAAATATTTTCAAGATGCTTTTTTCTATCACCAAGGCTTTGATTCTTTGATCTGCCACTGTGATAAGTATTTCAATGGTCATCTTGGATATATCAAAAAGTAGACAGAATAATATACTTTTCAAAATTTTATAATCTAATTAAATTTTTACTAACACAAACAAATATTTACTAAGAAAATTAATTTATTATAGTAAAAAAGATACACAAACTTTAACTATCCTCTGTATTCAGGTCATTTTTCATATTTGTAACAAATGTATTTTTGAATACTTCTGTCATATATAAATCCAGTTATAAATGAATATATTTTACTGAAATTTTAATTTCTAGCCAGCAAAGATTATCCTTCGGAGGATGCACCCGGAGCCGCACTTTCATCATACGAATTGACTTCAAATAATTTAGGAAATAAACTCGCCAGGCCGACACTATCTAAAATTTTACTGTCACTTGAAACTAATGCTGCTAAACAACAGGCGTTACATCAAGTTCTTTATACACTTCAAATTCTTTATGCAAGGTAAGGACTTTTTCAGTTCATTTAAAAATAGTAATAATTTTTTCATGCTTTATTAATGTTTTTTCATTTGTACATACATTAATTATTTTATTAATAGCTATACAACCTTTATTTTAATTAGTAATCAGTATTATTAAACAGACTCTCTTATTATGTTATGTAGATAATTTTTTATTAAACTTTTTACTGTGAGTAAGAAAGGAAAAATGTTCACTGATATAAACAAAACCAGACATCTTCACTGTCAATAATTATATTTAAACAAATATTTTAACTTATTTAATGAGTGAAATCAAGTTATAAGCCCACAATACTCCAATTTTAGAACAAGATAAAGAACAGAATACACTACAAAAAATTGAATAATAAAATTTATAAATAAAAGATAAATAAGTTAATTAATTGATTAAAAAAGAAGAATAACTGAAAACAAAAACTATTATAGAATATACACAGCTCTACAATAGTGGCAGGCTGACACTTCCACTGCTTCATTTATCTGGCCATAATGCTCAGCATGTTTGGCCATATTACTAATAATAGTTTCTGGAAATCTAACCAGGACTTGAACTTTGAAGTGACAGATTACACTTTAAGTTTCGTAGACTATAGTGTTTTGAAAATGAAGCTCATTGACTAATGATAATACATGTCTAAATGAGAATAGTGCTGCTTCAAAAATGTTATTAATGAAATTTTTAATTTTGATATTGGATTAAACTCTATAATATAAATGTTATTAGTCAATTATTATTTGGCTTATTTACTAAATTATGCTTTAATTCAGCACTCCTCTGTGCAAGATTTTAAGCATGTCCTGGGCTCAATTCAATGAGTAGGTCAGTCTGTTATATCCTTTAACATTAATTATCATTCTACCAACTCTAATCAATGTTGAAAAATGAGCATTGATTTTTCTTCAAGTCACTGTATCACAATGAAGTATATGTTTGTGTTCCTTTCACCATTTTTTTGAACAGATGATATATGTAGAATGTTTCATTATTAATAAAAAGCAGTCTTAAATAATTTATTTTCTGTTAGTGAAAATAACATTAATTTTATAGAAGTAGGAATGACTGAGTCTCTAAATTTTCAACAGACCTGGGGGAAAAGTTTTTAGCTCTCCCTTGATGGCCCCAACAGCAATGGGAGCAACACAAATTTACTGTATTTAAGTAATTTTTTTAATTTTAAACATATCCAAACAAAATAAAACAGTGAAATAAATGGAAAAAATTCATGATTGTATGCTATTTTGCTTAAAACAAACTGCCAATTTTTAAGTCCCCTCTACATTTGTATTAATGGAATTTGAATGTTTACATAAATAAGTTATTGTATTTTCTCTATTTTAGAGAAGCTGTGATTTCTGCACTTTTGTCTCATACCGATTTTACCAATATATCTGCTCAAGTAGAAAGTCAAGAACAGACCCCGACACACGAAATGCATAACATTCCATTAGATATAGTTGCTAGCATGAATGCTGGAAAAATTAATCATTCAAAAGGAAGTGGAGTAATTCTGACCAAGAAAAATAAGGTAAATATATATATAAAGTGCATGCATGTTATAATTAATCAAATTAATTACCAAATTAATTGAGATAATTAAACTTTGAAAATAGTTGCATTTTCAAATCTCATTATTAACCATTTCTTCTTTACTTTTATATATTAACTACTAACAATTCAATTGAAAAAAATTATTAATATTAAAAACAGATAAACAGCAACTTCTTTACAAATTCATTCCAAATGACATATAAATTAACAAGTTTTTTACAATAATTTATCTAATATATGATAAGGTAGATATATTTTTTTTTAATATAAATTTCAGGAAGGTGGTTGCCTGATTTAAAAAATGAGCATATAAAATGATTGGCATTGCTTTTTTTATTGTTTTAATGTGAAAAAAATGCTTTTTGACATGTATCAAAACAGATATTTAGCCCATAAAATAATGATATCTGATTAAATACAACAACAGAATAAAACCTTACATTGTAGTCTTATACAGGGTGTCTGAAAAGTTACTGTACAGTGGAAAAGGTTTAAGTAAAGTTAAAATAAATGTGAAGCTTTACATATGATATCACAGTTTCTTCTATAGCAAATGCTGGAAATGTTCCCAGAGGCCCCAAAATCTAGGGGAATGAGATCTGGAGACCTAAAGGGACAGATTCCACAGGAGATTATGCAATCAGCAAATGAAAATTGCTTAAGCAACAAATTACTTATTTATGCAAATTATTTAAGAGTTGCAGGCTCTTAAACAATTTGAAATTTTATTTTTTTCCCTTAAATTAGTGTAGGGTGTTAAGACTTGAGTGCAATTTCTTTGAGGCTCTTGACACTAAAGTCAAACGATCTATCAGATTGTCGTGCTATTTTAAGGCTAATTTTAATAATTAAATAAACAGTAATTTGACTGGAAGTAGGCTGCCTACCTCTAGTTAAGTTACTATTTATTTAATTATTAAAATTAACTTTAAACTAGGCTGATAATCTGGTAGATCATTTGGCTTTAATTAAAAATGGGTTAGTGGATGTTTACTTTTGATGCTAGTTTTTATGGGGAATTCCATATGGAATTTGTTTTAGAAAACTAGAGAAATAACTAGGGAATTTGGTGTGCATAGAATTAGATTCATTAATCTTGTTATATCCGTCAAGAAAACATCTTTTACAAGATGTTTTCTTGACGAATATAACAGATTAATGAATCTAATTCCTTAAATTTTCTTATTGGGAGATGATCTATTATAAAATCTTCCTGCAAATTCTTAATGAGATTTAAATTCTGTAATTATGGATTCAATGGCAGGCACACAATGGGTGATCAGGTAATATGGGATGGGGCCTGATGACTAATAACAGACCACCTGTGAAAAATTCACGGGGAAAATTTCCTGCTCAACTAGAATCAATCTCAGGACCTCAGAGCAGTAGGACAATGCCATTTTTACTATAAAACTAAACATATTCAATTTAAAGCATTGTTATTTGAATAAAATGATAATGAATTACTACCCAATCTATTTTAGAACTTAGAAATTTGTTTAAAACTTTTTAAAAATTAAATTAATTTAATAATTATTGTCAATAATTTTGGTACATAAAAGTTAATTCATATTCTATTTTATAAAATAAAAATTTTAAGTATTAAAGAATTATGCTGAAAATTATGCTATTGATATAAATAGATTAAACAGTTCAATTAAAAGATAATAATGACAATCTGATTTTTAATAGTTAGTTCCCAGTTTTGAGGAAGATTACCATTACATGCCTCATGAAGTAATTTCTTTACCATCACTGTCCAGTTCGGGAAGCTTGTCATCCAAAGTGTCTTCTGCTGCTGCCAGCGTACTCGCTGCTACGTTTTCATCCAGTGAACAGGTGATTATTGGCTAAATTAACAGTTTTATTTCAATAATTTCCCTTTTGTTTTAAGATTATTGTATTTTTTTTTTTTTATAAAATATCCATTTTGATGTCATATAATTCAGTGTTCTATACTATGTTTACACAAAGAAAGCTAATTAGGATAAGATATATCCTGGAAAGTTTACCAGGAATAAAAAGAATATAGATCAAGATGATGATTGCACAGAATGTAACTTGATATAGGTTAACAAGATGTCATTCTTTCAGTTGTTAATCCCAGCAAAGACCTAATGCTATGACTTGTGTAACTAATCCACTTAAAGATTAACACATGTGAAGAAAGAGTGTTAAAATAAGCCAGTTGTTAAAATATTGATCAGGACTAGCTAACTCAGTTCTGTTCAAATGAAAAAAGATAACCAATTCAGTCCTGATTGGTGTTAACTATCCTTGTGTGAGTGTAGTTTTAGGGGGAATGTGTGTACTTCATGTACTTGGTGAAATTGCTTAGTTTTGAGGTCCAGGGGTATGCTTAAGTACTAACCATAATCCCTCAAATCTTTTTATTCTATCTCCATAATTATTTTGATATAAATGAAGCAAAAATCAGATTCTCTTTTATTGTATGCTACTAAAAGATAAGCATAGATGCACTGCTGGATGTGTGCCTTTACTTATTTACAATTTATGAAATATTTTGTCAGTCATACAATTAAAAATAAAAACTTTGTGTGAGATAATAAACTGTAGAGAAAGGTTAAAGACATTAATATTATAAAAATTTTATATTTTTTAGGTTGCATCAACAGAAACGGGACAACCAGAACCATATCTTGACGATTTTACTGCTAAGTTAACACCTGACGATGCAAGAGTGTTAGTCGACTTGTTAAAATTAGCAGTCGCTGGTCGAGCGGGAGAAAAAGGAAAAGACACTATAGCCTCAGTTTTAACTGCTATGGGAAAAGCTAACTCTGAAGTAATTCGATTACAATTAAATATTTTATTTAATATAATATAAATAAGTTCTTATACCATTAAAAACAGAACATACTTGCTATTTAAATCTAATTGAGAAAAATTAAATAATTTTGTAATTTGTATACAAAGCACCAAACACTGGTAGTTGGTCACAAGCTTTTAATCTAATGATCCTGATAGAATTTTCCAATTACTGCAAAAATCTGCATACATTGTCTAACACAGGTATGTAAATGATTACAATTGTGATCCAATTTCATGCCAGGTAATGCTACCTTACCTTAAATTGCTACACCAGTATTTTATAAAAAGGTTTACAGAAGCTCACTATTTTCAGGATTTCCAGTTTATATGTTCTATGGAGATTTTCAAATGTCAGTCATGCCTGTATGATACAATCAAAGGCATTACATATAGCTGATAAAATTTGAGAAAGGGCTGCTTATTGGGTTGTTTGGACTGTTCTTACCTGACTGAGGAGGGTTGGAGTAGTGGATAAATGAGGACATACACCACACACATGCAGTGAGCAGGCTCTCATGTCCCAGACAAACTACCAGGAAAGATGATCAAACAAGTCAAACAGCTATGACAGTGTTTTTGTCTACCATCCAGAGACAAGTGGAAATGTCACCACACAACTCTACCTCTTCCCATTTCATCGGCAGGCAAATTTGCATATTGCCAATAGCACCCCAATATCGTTGCTTCGTTTACAGTAGTGCTGTGACAGAGAGGCGTGAATGCTGAAGACTAATAGTATATCATCTTTAGCAATGAATCCTGACTTTAATCTTTAGCTGTTCAAGCATCCAAGTCTTTAGCAATTTCATTTGGAAATGGGTGATTGCTATGTTAGAGTGGGAAAGACCACTGGCGAGTGGTCTTTCCCACTCGCCAGTGGTCTTTCCCACTCTACAAAACAAATCCTGCCTTTATTGTTGAGTGACACACTGTCCTCATTGTTGGCATTCTGATCTGAGGAAACATCTCCTATGACAGCCTGTATGACAGCCTGCTACATCAATGCACCTTGTATTACTACTAGGGGTGACTCCTAGTAGTAATACAAGGTGCATTGATGACACAATGATATATTCAGGAAATCTCATGTCCTTTCATAACAGGGCTGCAAACAGCCATTTCTAGTGAGATGATTCTTGGTCATGCGCAGCTAGTTTCTCTTCACACTGCCACATTTGCTTGTTCTGCCTAACCTCTAGTTTGTAGCCCAATGAGCATTTGTGGGATCTGACAAGATACCCGGCTTTGATCGGCTACAAGTGTGAAGATCTTGAATGGCATTGCAACATCTGCCAGTAAATCTGTTTCAGGATAGCATATGATACCTTTTTTTAACTTTTTAGCAAGCCCATTATGAGTTTGGCAGATCCACAGTGGAGCCACCACATGATGGACCCTTTCCTGAAACATTTGGGAAATTTCTGGCCTGTCCAAATTTGATTTCAGGTCCTTAGAGCAGAAGGATGCTGCTTTAACCACTCGGCTGTCTGGCAATCACATGACACTTGTATACCTCAATACCTGATTGTATTATCACATATATCCCAGTAAGAGGAGGTTCATATAAATTGCACCATTGTTGTACAGGAAATTCTCTCTTTGCTATGATATTGTAATTACTTATTACCATCATTACTGCATACATACTAATAAAATTTCGTTAGATTGCAATACCTTGGTGCATAAAATTTTTGTCAACGAATGTATTATTGTATGGTATTTTATTTTCAGTGTCATTTTTTGTATGAAATCTTATTTAATACAGTAGACAAAACAGTTAAATGAAAGATTTATTTTAACTAACATATTAATCAATATAATTTCAGATAGGAGAAATGTTATTAGAACTGTGTGTGACAGAATTAGAAGATGTGGCAGCCGATACAGATGTTACAAGAATGCGACCTCGTCCAGTCATACAAGAATCCAGTCATCCGTATATTGACGACATTACTTTGACTGGTCATGTAAAAATTCCAGGTTGATGATAATTCATTATGTCGAAACTATTTCTGGATCTTAAATATTATCTAAAATTTTAATTTAATTATTACAATTAATGTTTAATTTTTACAAACTTTCTTTATCAATCAGTTTTTTGACTCTTAAGGATTCTTTTTTCTATTTTTTATTAAATTGTGCACTACAGTTTATTCAAAAATTTCAATAGTATCTTAAAAGTAATGAAAAACTTACATTTAAACGTGAGAAAATCAAATATAAAATTTAAAAATGTAAAAATGAAGTAAATGTTACTCTTGACGTAAAGTTTAAAATATAATTTAAATAAGAACATTCTCTTTTTTCAGGAGCGGAAAGTCTCAGAGTTGAATTTGATCGTCAGTGTTCCACAGAGAGACGTCATGATCCATTAACTATAATGGATAGTTTAGGAAGAATAGTGGCGATTAAATCGGGTAAAAAGTTTCAAATTACAAAAGAATAAATTAGAGGCAATACTTATCAAATGACCTTATGCTATTATTATTGTAAAAAAAAACATGCTTATATTTTTAATTATTATTTCTTTTTACTGATCACCATACTGCAATGTGTAGTTTGACTTGCTTTAATCTATTTGAAATCAGATGAAAATGCAGAAGATGTTTTATAAGTTCTAATCTCCTAACTTATTGTATTTTACTAATGTTTGCAAATATCTTTTTAGGTCGAGAGTGGTTCGACTGGGCCACGGAACTGCATGTGAATGGTAACGAATTACGTTGGAATTTCAGTAGTGATGGATCAGTGAATGGATGGGGATGGCGTTTCACTGTCTATCCTATAGTGACACCAAACACCGATAAGGAGGCACTTTCAGATCGGTCCATCATGTCTCAGCCACTGATCGAACTGGTAATGTGCCTGTTGGATTCGTCTCTGGAAGGTTGTGCGGATCGTGCCATAGTTTCACGTCTGGCTGCGGCACTAGCGGCCTGTGCCCAATTAAGTTCATTAGGTAATGTTATAATTTATTGACCGGAACTTGAGAAACTTAACCTTAAATTATTAAAATATGGTAAAATATATATTATATTATAGTGCCATCACAGAGAATGTGGGTTCTACATCGACTCAGACGTCTCATGGCGTCGGGATTAGGAAAATCTTTGAACATTGCAGAAATATTAGCAAGTAGTCATTACAGTGGAATTTCTCCAGATGAGGCCATTTCTCAATCATTTGTAAGTAATTAATTTAAAGTTCTTTTATTTTAAATTTATAGAATGGATAAGAAATGTCATAAATTATAAATGAACATATATTTAATACTATTTAATTATGAAGATATAGTTGAATCATTTTTAATATGAATATTTAAGAAATTCAAATTGCTAAATAATTGCTCTTCTTTGGCAATATTCCATGTCATTTGACGGTATCACACTTTTCTCTTTAATTTATATTATACTTCTTTAATTACTTTAGCTTTTCTAGCTAAACAGAAACTGGTGTACAGTACATTCCACATTTGGACATTATAAAAACATAAAAGCTAAACAACTTCATTATCTAATCTGAAATACATGGTGTCTAAAAGATACTGTGTAATGAGAAATTTGTAATGACATTAAAGTCATATATACAACATTGGATATGAGACCCATAAGTCGTATTTCCCATATTTCCATTTTGATAGGGAGATAGCATTATCGCTTGCTTACAGATAGTTTTTGGACAGTTTACAGACAATTTCTATATTCAGCTTTTATATGAAGCTGAACGTAGAAATTGTCTGTAAACATATTAATAATACAACTGAGATTAAATAACTTTTCTGAATACATTCATAGTATATACATTAATTGTACAAAAATTTGTTATTGGTGCACCAATTTCAACTTCTCTTCATATTTTAAAAGAATGAATATGGTGTATGCAAGAACTATACAATAAATCTGAAATGTTTGTAAAGTACTATTTGATTTTTATATTTGACATGGAACTATGTGCCAGTAAGGTGTTCGGGACTATCGCTGAACTTTACAACCGTTAACCTAATGGGTGCTTTACGCGGGTTCATGGTTAGTATGCCAGGCATGGGATTACACATGCTCCAGAACTATGTACACGGGTCGGTAAGGAACTCAATTATTCACTATATACAAATTAGTAAGAATCAAAAACAATTCAATGAAAAGAAACAATTCGAAAAAACTCGACAAAAATAATGCAATTTACTTACTATAACTTATGAATTATTCCCCTTGGAACTCAACAATATCAATCAATTAAACTAGGTACAACAAATCTTACAAACTACAATCCTATCTGTCACCTCAATACTAGGAACCTTTTCTCTTTATCCACTTTCCTTCAAATTACTCCTCTCGCTATCCTCAAGACTTGTTTTTGACTTCTCTCTGGAAAAAACCTCGCTCTATCCCTGGCTGGGACTCACCTTGCTGTCTTCTCTGGTTGTGCTCGTTTTATACTCTAAGGTGACATCACAATTATGTCTGGAATCACTCCCCTCGTTTACATACTTTACTTCTAACAACAAATTTGCATGTCTTTTCCTGTGCAGTCTAGTTTCTGACATTCTCACAAAATCCTTTTATATTATTCTTTTTTATTACATATTCAGGATGTTTATTTTATCAAGGTTTAGTGAGTTTTCTACTTTGTGCGTCTGGTGTGTTCCCCCTTCTTCCTGCGGAACTTCTTTCAAACTTCTGCCTGGGAGCACAAGTGCATGTTAGTTTCCCTACAACACTTTGTCTATTCGGTGAGTTGGTTTTTTCCTTTGTCTTTTTTTGTGTCTTTTTCATTACTAAGGTGAGTGGTGAGGGAACCTTTGTCCTAACTAAACATAAACCCCAAACAAAAATAGAATAAAAATCAAAATAAAAATTAAATAATAATACAGCTCGGACTCAGTTCCTTACATGTTTTGTAATATTTCAGTAGATAATTACAGAAATAGTTTAATAAATTTGACAAAAAAAATCATTTGTGTACATTGTGAAACTATTGTTTTAGTATATTTTTAGATGTCTTTAACAGAGTACCATTCTTTCTACTCTAAAGAATAAATAAATAAAAATCATTTGTTATATTTCAATAAGTAAATATATAATTTTGCATTACTTTTCAGTCACTCAATGATTCTGCGCTTTCCTCATTAGTCAAAGGATTGCCAGAAGCACTACTGCGACAATATGAGTACGAAGATCCTATTGTTAGAGGAGGAAAACATCTAATGCATAGTGATTTCTTTAAGGTAATTCATCTTTTTTAACTTAATTTATAAAATAAAATATATTATATTTTATAAATTAAATTAAGAAGGAATTTAAATGTAAGAGTGAAGATATTTTGCATTATATCTTTGTTCTTACAGTTTCTTAATTGTCTTTACACATAATATCTGTTATATATTTGTCACATTGATTTTGTTTCAGGATTATCTTTTGTAACAAAAACCTTTATGTTTAATTTTTTAATGACACAACCGCAGTATATTTTACCCAAATTAAATATAATTCTCATTAAAATTGAACAGATATTTGGATCAGAATATATGATCTGATGAACTAAGAATAATGCTTTATTGTTGACAAGTTGATAATTTGTATTAAGGCCTTGTATTGTACATGCCATATTAAAATACTACAAAGAAAATTTACAATAACATTTCAAGAATAGCTCTGTACAAAAATTAATAATACAGTTTTAATTAATAACAATCAAATTTCATTACTTCCAAAAAAGTGATGTTTATTTCAAATTTTGTAAGTCCTGTTGATGGACTCAAGTGATTTAAGTTGAACGTACTATCACAGAAGATGAATTATCATGCTACAAAACTTGCATATATTCATATATAAACATCTCAAAGCCAGATTTTAATAAAAAGCCAAATGATTGAGTTACTTTACCAATACTATTAATAATTAAATACTGAGTAATTTAGTACTACAGGTAGGTATTAGAGAGGTTGAGGTGCACGTATTCAGCCCAAAATGTGAACGGTGAACAGATGCCGCCATCTGGCAAGTCTAGAAGGTTGACAATGACGTTTGTTATGTTTAGCATGGCGAATAGAAGTTGGGTTTAAACTTCTTCATTTTTTTGTGTTTGTGGTTAAAATTATGACGTATTTTATTAAAATAATGATTATTTAAGCATTTACGAATAATAATGTAAAGAAACAAATGATTTTAATCCAGAAATTATGTAATTATTCAATTTTTTAGCAAGTGATGTGAAGTGCCTATAGACTTTACATATATTTGTCTTCATAATAGCTTATCTTAAGGTATGTTTGTTCTTCCATGACATCTACTGTCAACAGTGTAATATGTTTGTAAATTTTCAAAAAGTTAATTTTTCAAGCTGCTTTTGAATTTACATAAGCCACTACTTCCCTCGACAAAAGTATGAGGTAGTCCTATCGTCCGATCATACAGTAGAAGACACAATGCTGATAAAAAATAATTATTTAGTGATTAAACATCCTATAAATACTTTTAAAAAGTTTAATTTGTTTATTTATTTTTGCTGGTAACCCTCGATGTTAAATGTATCTGCCATTTTTTTAACAAATTTCCCGTGAGTCAATGCGCGACGTTCACTGAGTCACGTGATGTTGTGAACGAGTGCCGCAAGGTCTTTTACTTGGACTTAAAATGTAAATCATGTACTTTTGCTTGCTGTACAAGTTTAACATTTGTACTTGTGCCTCAACCTCTCTATTAGGTGCCATCTCTTATTAATTTAATTATAATTATTAAATTTAATAAGAGATGATACCTAACACTTACCTCTAGTACCAAATTACTCAGGATTTAATTATTAATAGTAGTAGCCCAACTTAATCCAGCAATTGTTTGGCTTATCACATGTATTCTATACTTAAACAAATTTTTTGGTTTTTCTTGATACTTATGGAACATTCCATACAATCATTGCAAATGAGAAGCAAAATTCTTAAGAATTCAGTGATTTTTCAGTAAAAAGGATATAAGATGTTGATATTAATCACCTATCTTTACTTTACATATTTAATTAACTAAGTTATGGTGAATTTAGCATTATCATGTGATTAATTTATAACTTGGATTTTGTTTATAATTACATTATTTTTCATTTCAATGTAAATATTTATAGGTTTTAGTTGCCCTGGCCTGTGATTTGGGTTTAGATTCTTTGTCATGCTGCAGTGAAAACCATCGTTGGTTGTGGTTTCGTCGATATTGCGTCGCCGCCCGGACAGCCTCTGCTCTCGTTCGTCGCACGCCTTTGCCGACCGCATTTACAGAAGAAGTTATGAAAAAAATTAAAGAAATGGTACCAGAAAATGAAATAATAACATACGAACATGAAAGTCATGAGTTATTTAAAAAGGAACATGATGACCAATTAATTTTATGGGTAAATAGGTATGTATCAATTTCCTGTAATTTGAAATTATTGAAATTTTGATTTTTTCATTTATTTTATAATTGCATGTACAGTACATACAGGGTCTTCCAAAATGAATGCTACCATTTTAAATTAATGTAATTACCTGAGAAGCATGTGATCAGTCGATTGATATACATCAATCAACATAATTATTTAAAATTATGTTGTAAACGTATTATTTTTATTTGTTGCACTTTCTAGAAGCAGCAAACAAAAACATTTGTATGCAGAAGGTGGATAAAACTTGAACAATTACTCTATCGATTGAAGTACTGGTACATCGTATATTTCTCAGGTAATAATTAACAAAATTACAGTAATTTTGAATGGCAGAATTCATTTTGGAAGATCCTGTATTATACCACGTATATGTTATAAATACACTGTCTATAGATTTTCAATTAAATTAATTCAACAAACATTACAAATGTACAGTAGACAGTGTACCTCAGGATTATTTCTTTTACAACTCACTTCTTTTATAAATAAAATAGAAATTTTTATTTTCGTATGAAATTTCATACTATTTTGGTCATCTGAACCAATGTATAGTTTATACTGTAGTTACAAAAATATATTTTAATTTATATAACAGCCTATGAAAATTACAGTTTAATTTATGATATTTTATTTATAAATTGTGTTGAGATCTGCTATATATATAATTGACAGATGTCAATTAAGAATGCTTTATAAACACTTTAAAATAGCTGAACAGTTTTTAAAATTGTCATGTTCTAAATCAAATTTTGCTACTAGTTCAAATTCCGTAATTATTAAACTATTTAATAGAATTATATGAATTTACCAATAACTGCCATAACAATTGTTAAATTGTATGAATTTTTATGGTTTTTGGCAATTGTTTATAATAACAAAATAACAAATTTTAAGATTTTTATATTTATTAATATTTTTGACACAAATTATGTTGTTTAAATTTATTAAAGATGGATATGATATTTACTGGAGTTATAATATTAATGTAATAAAATTACTGATAATGAATTAAATTACTTGTAGAAAACCAGAAGATTGGACCATGTCGTGGGGAGGAAGTGGCACGATATTCGGTTGGGGTCACAATCACAGAGGACAGTTGGGTGGTGTGGAAGGAGCCAAAGTCAAACTTCCGACTCCTTGCGAATCTCTAACCTCTTTAAGACCCATCCAGATATCGGGAGGCGAACAGACGCTCTTTGCAGTTACCGGAGACGGAAAGGTATTTCTTGCATTGTTTAATTTTCTTTACTACACATTCACACATTGCAAAGATGAGAAACTAAATGGAATCTAATGTTTTTGACCTAGTCCTTAAACCATCTTTGGAATTCAAACTTTTAAAATGGAATCATACAAAGGTTAAAAGGAAGTTTATATCCCAAAGATGGTCTAAGACTTAATTAAAAATGTTAAATTTTATTTAGTCTCTTGCCTTTTAGTATATGAATATATATTAGCTGAAGTATATAATGTATGCATATACAAACATCTCGAAATTCGATATATTATTAATAAGCCAAACAACTACCAGATTATAATTTTATGATAAATCGTCAACTAGGACATATTTATTATTAGGACTTATTATACTGGATAACTGGTTTTGCAAATTAAGTAAACAAATTCAGAATACAGTAGAGCGTCGTTTATCCAAAAGTCAGTTATCCGAAACGTCAGTTATCCGAAAGGATTCCAGTTGGCAAATTTTAATTTTCGCTAGTGCTGTGTTGCTGCAATCTTTGGCTATATGTTGGGCTACTCCAATATTTTTTTTTTTTTGGTGTGTGTGTTTTAGCTGGCAGCACTGGCACTTTTGTTTAGTGTTTTTCTGAGGATTGTGTCTCGTGCTGAATCGAACATTTTTGATACTAGATTAACTTCTAAAGTATAATTTTTTTGTTTTTATATTTTTTAATATATTTATTTTGTTTGTAAAAAATAAAGAAATAATTTTTAACGATACAATAGCCACGATTATTATTTTAAAAAGTTCATGTTAGGCTTAACATCGACGAAAATTCAACGCGAAGCGACACGAAACGGAGAAAAATTTCAACATGGGATATGTTAATATATTTTTCGTACATAATCGATTATCCGAAAAATAAGTTATCCGAATAACCCCAGTCCCCAATTGATTCGGATAAACGATGCTCTACTGTAACTTTATGTATAATTTTTATACATTTATCATCTTAAAATTATTTAGTTAAGGACACACAAATAAATACATATAAATTGAACTACTGGATTATATTGGCTAGTTTTTTGTGATTATTTTTTATTAATTTCTAAATAATTTGTCACTAAAGGGAGGTATTAGATGCCATCTCTTATTAAAATAATTATAATTATATTAAATAATTTTGAAAGTTCGGTAAACAAATATTTGAGATGTTTGTGTATATATATATACACTTATCATGCTGGGGTTGAGCAATGGATGGCTGAGTGCCATAAGTGGGTGATTATAGGACGAGGATTCCGAAGGCATTCCTGGCTTGTGCTGTAAGTAATTGAGAATAGTTATATCACAATTAAATATGTCTGGAAGAGGTGATTGGTCAGGAGGCTCGGGTAGCATAACTGGCAATGCCACTGCATGGTAAGTGGGAGTTGCGGGTTTACGTCCTGCTCTGGGTCGATTCTTTTCTTTCAGAATTTTCTAAATTATTTAATTTAATTACAGTTATTAAAATTAATAAGAGGTGGTGCCTAATGCCTTCATCTAGTGACAAATTATTTAGAAATTAATTTAAAATAATTACGAAAAACTAACCCAATGTAATCCAGTAGTTGTTTGGCATATATAAGGTGATTGTGTAATCAGAGTTGTGATTAGCTACTTCTGGAGTACCTAGGAAAATCATAGAATGTCATCCTTCCCTTTATTATTTATGAGAAATTAAACTTGGGATAATGTTACTAGAACGGACTTTATTATTATATAGGTATATGCAACGGGATACGGTGCAGGAGGCAGACTTGGTATCGGAGGAACGGAATCAGTTGCATCTCCCACTCTGTTGGAAAGTATTCAACATGTATTTATTAAGAAAGTAGTGGTGAATTCGGGAGGAAAACACTGTCTCGCTCTATCATCCGAAGGTGAAGTGTACTCTTGGGGCGAAGGAGACGACGGAAAATTGGGGCATGGAAATAAGAGGTAAATATTGAAACATTATAAGCTTATATGTACAATGTTTTATTAATGCATAGAAATGTAAAATTATACATTAATTTTTCTAATAAATATTTGTTTTTGATTATCAGAATTTCATAGTTGATCAGAATGATTATAATTAACTATTACTAAATAATAGATCTAGAAAAGGAATGAGTAATTTACAAACTGCAAATCTCAAGTCGAAAAAACTATTATTATGAGTTTATGTTGCAAAAATTTAATTTTTTATTTTATAAAAATACTCGGAAGCCAAAATTGAGCTGGAAGAAATTAATAAGTTAGTGTAACTCTGTCATTACTCATGTTAAAACAAAGTAACAATTACTATTTATATTCATGATGAAAAAATGTTCAAAATACATAAACTCCCAACTCCATTATTCAGCAAATCATAAAAAACTAATAAGAAATATTTTGTTAGTAGTCAGAAGAACTCGATGGCTGGATGGCTGATCAGTTAGGGTGACAGTCTACCGCTCTTGAAACTCGGGATGAAATCCGGATGGTTCAGAAAACCCCAAGAATTTTTTGGAGATGGTCTGTCTATATACATTGGGCCTCATCCCTCACCATCCAGCTACCCTATTATGAGCCTGACCAAACCCATAATGGGCCTGCTAAAAAGGCCCTCTTAGTTCCCACATGGCAGAAAGCATTAAAAAAAATTAGAAGTTCTATTCTCTAACTCTTTCTACACTGTAATTATTAAGAGGATTTTTTTCAAGCTAATTATAGAAACATGTCCTCTCAATAATTGACTCAGAAGCTTTGATTTGTCATGAGTGGTTTATGGTTCAGGCTTGCCCATAAAGAGGATAACCAGGTAGCTAGAAAAAGACTCAACATATTCTATCAAACTATCTATAAAAATATCTGAGGCTGTGATCTGTATTTGAGCCTAGCCTCTCAGAATGGCAGGCTAAACCATCTTAAACATCCATTCTTTTATTTGAAAAAAATTGCATAATTAAAATGAGACATTTATTTGTATTATTTTGATTTAAGACACTTAACAAAAGCTAACAAATTAATGCTGCATCGATAGGTTAGTTCATCATATGCTAAATTAATCCGTGACAATTAAAATCAAAATATTGTTAAACATTGTTTTGTATTTATCCAAGATAATTACATTTTTGAAAATTAACTTTATCAAAAATAACATTTGAAATGTTAAACGTACATTAAATACATTTACAGCTCTTGCGAAAGACCTAGAATAATTGAATCATTAAGAGGAAAAGAAGTTGCCGACATCGCTTGTGGAGGAGCGCACAGTGCCTGCATCACTTCTTCCGGAGAATTATACACATGGGGAAAAGGAAGATATGGAAGACTCGGACACGGAGACAGTGAAGATCAGTTACGTCCTAAGCTGGTAATTTAAATATTTTTTCATTTAGAATTTAGATTTTAATTATTATAAATGTGCTAATAAATTAGGTACACATTAACTTATAGAAAGCAGTACGCATAATCCTGTTGATAATTCTTTTTATTCTTACTATAAATTATATTTACTGTAGATATTATTTGTAACTTATGTGTTTTTATTAATGTTTATCTTTTATAACCCTTATAATGTTATAAGGATAATTTTTATCTATACTAGCAAAGGCACAGTCTACATTTTACGTATGGCATGTGATTATAGGTTTTAGGATATAGGATTAAAGATTCATAAAATTGTCTCTCTTATATTTTTATTAACTTGGATATATTAAGACTTATATAAAAAATTTAATATAACAAAATACAATATTTTCTGATAAATAATTTTACTCTGGTTTCTAGGTGTACAGAAAACTTTAATACTACTGAAATTACTGTAGTTTTTTAAGCTAGTTGGCTTATATTCAGAGAATTAGTACACTTACGTAAGATTTTAGTAGTTCAGAAATTGTAAACAAACATTGAAAAATTAAATAGTATGATGTTCCATTTTACAACTCATCTTGTAGTAATTATGTGCATACTTTTATGCTTTAGGTGCCATTTCCACAAATTAGAAAGTATTTCTTCATCCTTAGAAAGAGTTACAACAATCCTTCCTATAGTTAATGCTCATTGTATTTAACTACATGCTTGTTGTAACCTCTTCTTGTTGACCAGGAACATAGAATATATGTTATGTAAATAACTAGAATGAATATATACAATTAGATTCACTAATGTTCTTTATTTTATGTAACAACATGAATTCTATGTATTGAGTATTGTGTCGACTCCACACGGTGACTGACACAACTTATGTCACTCCTTGTGGCATCCTGAGTGATACCATTTACATCTAGTTCAAATATTATATTAGTGTAGCTGTTTTCTAAGAATTTAAAGCTACTACATGTCAGTTATGTTTTATTTTATGCCAATTTCTTGCAGTATACAGGCTCTCTCCCACTCTACCATTCTTTCCTCATTTAGGCTTTCTTCTTCTAAAGCTATAGTTCTCTCTTTCATTACGTCCTCTTTGTGTTCTTTAAGTCTAACACTCAGTGATCTTTGGTTCACTGAAATTTTCAAACTTTTACATTTTTCTGAACAAACTTTTAAATAAAATATATATTGCACAATCTTCTTTAAAATTAAATAAATTGTAGTATGAATAAGTATAAATCTTTTATAAAAATATAATAATAAGAATAGGTATGTTTTCAAACAGATTTTTATAGTCATTCACGTTTATATATTTATTAATTATACAAATTTATCACATCCTAGTGAATTTGTTTAATTGGTTGAATGGCCACACCAACAAAAACACTTAGGAATTTTGGTTCTAATTTGGCTCATGATCTTAGATTTTATCATGAGTGGTCTAATCAAGATCCATCAGGTTTCATTCCTCAGCACTCAGCCATTCTCATTGCAAACTGGATGCATATATAATGAGAAAAACTGAGGACAGTCATAGATCATAGTCAAGGATATGCCACGCAATAATTATTATCGAAGATTATTAAATGTTTTTTGTAGCTGTTGTTTGAAGATTTTCATTTGTTGAAAAGTTAGATTATATTTAAGAATGAGAATTGTTATAACTTGATTAATGAAAAAAAAATTTTAATTATGTGCAATGAACCTTTTCTTTTAACAGGTAGAAGCTCTGGCAAATTTTGCAGTTGTTGACGTTGCCTGCGGCAGTGGCGATGCACAGACATTGTGCATTACAGATGATGATTGTGTGTGGTCTTGGGGAGACGGCGATTACGGAAAACTTGGACGCGGTGGTAGCGACGGCTGTAAGGTGCCTTTGAAAATTGATGCCTTACAGGGTATGGGCGTCATAAAAGTCGAATGTGGCTCTCAATTTTCTGTAGCTCTAACTGCATCTGGAAGTGTTTTCACTTGGTAAGTATACTTTGCAATTTCTGTTAAATTTTGATGTCAACATCATGTACAATTTACAACTAATTATTAATTATGCTGACATCAAATTCATTAAATATTTTTAAAATTTGTGCCAGATTATCTGATTGTATATAATTAATTTTACTAGAGTAAAATATTTTCTCTGTAATCATCAAATTTAAGTTACTTTCATTTTGATTTATTCATTGTTAATTATGCATCTTTTTTGTTTTTCTATTTATTCTTATATCCAATAGTAGATGAGAACTATCTCCAGAGAAATCTCTTCTCTTCTATAGTTAATTACTGTTCTTTCACAAATTCCATTTATTTTGGTATCAAAAATTATTATTAAACAAACACAGAAAACAACTAATTATGGAAACTAATGGTAAAAATTCTTTGAGAAATGTTTTTGGTTTTTATTTTGAAAATATATACAACTGTTCTAGAAATCTAAGTTGCAGAGTAGAGTTAGAAGGTGATTCCAAAGGATTTCTACGTCGTGATTGTACATCTATTGTGTCGAAGATGTGTTAGCTGATATATTGCCTCTATTAACATATCCATAATGATCACGCATTCTCCAGGAGAGGTTTCTTATGGTAGATCATATGTAATAATAATTTTCCTCTTTTTTAAGAAGTTTCACGATGTATACCCCTGCCCTATCTTTTATTCTGTAAATGCACTTGTCTTAGAATTAGCTTAACCAAAGGTATATGCTTTGCTACCAAGAGATGTATTGCCATAACAATTTACATGAGAAGCATCCAGAAATCATTAAGCATTGTATCTGTTCAGATCAGCAAGTTATGTGTGTTAGAGACACTCTGGATTAATAAAGAAATAAGTGAGATGGTTAGTTTTTTGCAAAAAAATGTGCAGCTGCTATACTCCTGAAACATAATATTTCAACTTCCAGTTGTCATTTAGGATATCGTGCATAATAGCTCTTTTAGCAAGTAAGTATAAAGATGTTATCTTGTATGGCATCATGTAACATTTCCAATAAATAAAGGATTCAACTGATGTGCCTTTTTTTCAGAATACCTTTGTAGTGTACTTCCCTTTATGTATGAATGTAGAATGAGGCTTTAGAAATTTGTTCTATTGTTTATAGTCTAATCCTAATTGACATCATGTAGAAAGGATCTCATTTGTTTGCTTAAGTGCCAAATGATGAGTACATCAACATATCTTCATATAGCCTTTACATGCTCTTGATACACTCTAACAAGTGGCTTCCTCAATCCATGAAACTGTTATCTTGGCAAGATTCCCAAAGCAGGTGAATCCATTGGTACCCTAGACTTCTGGATGTAAAAGTTACCATTTCAGAAATAGTAAGAGTTAAAAAGAAAAAGGTCAAGATAATCCAATACTATTTTATAACCAGATGTACTTAGGTTATGGCTTCTACATATTAAATTCCTGGTGAAGGATATAGCTGCTTCAGTTTTGACAAAAGGAAAGAGATTAGTATAGTCACAAACTGTGAGAACATCTTCATTTGTCAAAGTCCATTATAAACAGTGCATTCCATGTTTAAGGCCGGAGCGAAAGTCTTTTTTATTACTGGTCTTTGGGGCCATCCTTGTTTGTGTTTTGACCAAATAAGTAAGGCGCATTTGTCCTGTTAGGAAAATATTTCATCCTTTTTGAAAGAGCTGAAGCTATCATATCTTGAACTGATTGGATCTTGAATTGTTTGTATTTCGTCCTATTGTATCTTGAACTGATAGAATTTCATAATAATTCTATGTTATATAATTTGATAAGATATACTGTGAATTACAATAATCTAAAGTGTATATTTTATCTATTGAAGCATATAAATAGTATGTTTTCTTTTTTTTTGTTCTTAGGGGAAAAGGCGATTATCATAGACTGGGACACGGAACCGACGATCATGTTAGAAGACCTAGAAAAGTTGCAACGCTACAGGGGAAAAAAGTGATATCCATAGCAGTTGGATCGCTCCATTGCGTGGCTTGTACTGATAATGGTAAGAGTTTAACTTTTAATTTAATAAAATTTAATATTAGATTAATATAAAATAACAAACATATAAAATTAATTTTCTTTTAAATGAATGGTATTATATGTTAAAGGTGAGGTGTATACGTGGGGAGACAATGACGAAGGACAGCTGGGAGACGGAACCACCAATGCCATACAGAGACCACGTCTGGTCTCGTCTCTACAAGGTTTTTATCTTAAATTTTACGATTAGTTTAGGTACATGTGAGCATATAGGAGGTCTGTCCAGAAAGTTTGCAAACTTTTTAAATTACACACCAACTGATAATGAATCTGAAGGTGGCTTGCAAGGCTCTCTAGCAACAAGTTTTGTATGCTCTATTCCAAAAGCAGTTTGTTCTAACTTCATTTATTTAAACATGAGTTGATTGCATTTTACAATTTTCTTTCAGTGAGTTCAAATGTGGTGGGCTAGATCTGATGAAAAATTCGTGAAAAGTATCATCACTGGGGATGAGACATGGGGTCTATGGGTATGATGCGGAAACAAAACATCAGTCATCGGAGTGGGTGGGAAGATCTTCATTGTCACTCGAAAAAGCACCACAAGTTTGGTCAAAAGTGAAGGTTTTGCTCACTGTTTTGTTCGATTCAGAAAATGTTATTCAATGTAAACACTATCTGGAGGTGACAAAATGTCTTTGTGAAGCAGTGAGGAGGAAAAGACCAACTGATTGGAGAAACTAAAATGACAATGCACTTCACACATCACTGCTGATAACAGAATTTTCGGTCAGTAACTTGATGCCACTTGTTCCCAATTTCATATTCACTGGACTAAGCCCCAGCAGACTTACCGTATTTACTTTGATATAAGACGACCTCACGTATAGGACAAGATGTGACTTTAAAGATCACAATAAATAAAATTAGATTTAGTAATGTAATTCTAATTTTATTTTGTATAATCACAAGTAAAATATCAAATGAACGTAAATGCACACATTGTCCCACAAAAATTACTGGCATTTTAAACTTTAATGAAAAATATTGTAAAATTGACAGCATAATTTGTTCATGTAGAGCTAGACAATTGGAAACCTTTTTTTTTTTTTCACTAATTTTTAACAGTCAAATCCACTCTCCATCAATTACACTTATGAGTTTCTCTGAATTCTGATTTCCGAATAATCATCTGTTTCACATGGGAATGGATTAAATCTTTTATCAGGCTCCCATGTAATTTTGGAATTTCAATAGAAAATTCAATTCATAAACTTTGCTTCTCCTATTGCTATTCATCTTTACTTCTGACAATATACAAGGACGATTCAAACGACTCAGATAAAATACTTATGTTTTTAAATACCAGAGAATAAGCATTCAGTAAAAAATGTGAATGCACGGTTCACAAAAGTTATTTGCAAGAACGCAAAGAATCTTTTGCTCGTGCATATAAGACGACCTAGAAATTTGAAGCTGTTTTAAGTGAATAAAAACCTTGTCTTATATCCGAGAAACTACAATGTTTTTGTTTCTCAATTTAAAATCTGCTCTTCAAAAGTGCCAGTTTGAATCCATTGACATCATTAAGGAAAATTTGCTAACAGAGCTGTGCATAACCCCAAAAGAAACATTTCAGAAAGTGTTCTTTTTGTGGCAGAAATGCTGGATTTGGTGCATAGACTCTGGAGAGACTGCTTCGAAGGCAACAAAATCTACAAAATTCTAGGTAAATGCAAACAACTTCTATTTGCAAAGTTTGCGAACTTTCCAGACAGACCTCATATATAACTTAATAACATTGTTTACTGCTGAGTAAATCGGTTTTCTCTTTTGTTTTTTGTCCAGTGGGTACTGAAATGGTCTTTTAAACCTAATAATATCCATCATTGGTTTGACTAGGCTCACAATGGAAAGGGGTTCATATCTGGGACAGATTACTACCTTCAAAAAATCCTTGGGAGTTGCTTGTCTATATTTGATCCCAGGTCTCTAGAGCAGTAGGTTGACATTTTAACTGCCTTAGCTATTCGACTGTGATCAAATAAATTATCTGCTAAACTAAAAATATCATTTTTTTAATGATTTATACACAAGACTTGTCGTATATTTTTATAAGAATACACTTCTTTTTGTTAGGCATTTCTACTTTTAACAAATTAGTAGGATATTATATTGACATCAATAAAATATATAGGATACATTAAAAATAAGAGGTTTACTCATCTCATCTACAAAGATTCATGGTGTAATGTAGTATGTTGTCATTGAAAAAGTTAGTTATTAACACAAATAATCTTTTTAGGATCAAAATTTTAGATCAATTAGAAATGCTTGAAAAGAAATTTTGCTCAAAAAAGATAATTACTAATGTAAACAACATCGATAATTTTTCTAAATGATTTACATACAAGGAAGGATCAATAAATAGGTAATAAATTTATTTCTGAATGTACTTTTGTTAATAGAAATGTGAAGATACTTCCAGACATAAGATGTAAACTACATAGGTAATAACACTATGTTTCCACATTTGTCCAATCACTTGTATCACCAGGTAATCAATGTATCCATTCCTTCAGAAAAGAATTTTGTGTCAAGATTGTCTAGCCAAGCAATGACAGCCTGTTGCATGCTCTCTAAAGTTGGAAATCATTGTCCATGGAGATGTTTTCAATGGGTCCAAAGAGATGGAAGTTGCTGGGTGCTAGGTCTGGGCTCTAGGGAGGATATTCAAAATTCTTATGTGGGAACAGATGTTGGGCAGTGTGTGGTCTCATATTGTCATTCAAGAGAATGATCCTTCTCTTCCAGCTGACGGACATGAACACTGTCCATAGTCTGGCAGTACTGCTCAGTAGTGATGGTAATACCTTATGGAGGAATTGCACGTGAACAATACCCAGATGGTTCCAAAACACAGTTGTTGGAATACTATACCTCAGTAACCACAATAGATTTAAGGTGTAGGGCATTAGTCATCTTCATCTCTATTGTAGATATTTTACCTTATTTATTGATCTATTCTTGTATAAACAATCAACATTTTTCCATGTTATTTTAAAGGAGAATTATAATATTGTAGCATTTATATATTTTACAGATAATAAATTGTATGTAAATTCACTTTCAAAAGATTGCTTTTAAATATTATAAGGTTTTGTACTATAAACATTAATGTAGAGTTGGGAAAATCCGACATACTTTCTATTCGAAGTTTAGTTTTATGAGAGCATGGTAGAAATATCAAATGAATCAAAATTTATAAATTAAATAATTTCTTTCTATAACACAAATGATTTATTGAAGTACATAATTTTGGTATATTTAAGCATAACATCTTTATTTATCCTATCTGTTTTATAGGGAAGAAAATTAACAGAGTCGCTTGCGGTTCGGCTCACACGATCTCCTGGTCGACCTGCAAGCCAAGTACAACGGGTCGCCTGCCGACTTCAGTGCCTCTCGAATACGATCATCTTCAGGACGTACCTGTTTCCGTTTTACGAAATCGTTACGCTCTGCTTTATCACTTCTCCGAGCTTTTTTGTCCTTCTATACCAATGTTTGATTTATCTCCCTCTTGGAAACACGGAGGGGAAAACGACAATTTTACGCTCAGTCTCGATAAACTGAGAGGACTTCTGATCTCTTCGGGAAAAGTAAATTTTTAATGTTATTTAAATTAAAAAGAACATTGCGTACCTAATGCAAATATTAATATTAGCTAGACTAAGCATTGAAAAGCCATCTTCCACATTAATCGTTTATAAGTATAATTATAATTATATATATATAATTATACTTATAAATGATTACATTATAATTAATTTATACTTACATTTATAATTATAATTTGTAAAATTGAAATTTATAGAGCATTAAAAGTTAACGAATTGCATTTTGTTAAATATCTGTACATTAATAACATTATATTCTTTACAACAGGAAACAGCTTTTAGGAAAGTTGTTCAAGCTACAATGATTCGCGACAGACAGCATGGTCCAATAATAGAACTGAACAGAATTCAAGTAAGTAAAAAGTTCATTAAAACAAGAGAATTTATTTAACAGCATAAAAGTTATATTTCAGAAATTTGTAAATTTAAAATGACATATACAATCCAAAGCCAGGAAAGATAACTTCGTTGGTATTAATTAAAGGAAGAAACTCAAATGGGTTAAAGGAGTTGGGTTATTTATTTGAATTAAGTGTTTGTTGGGACTATCTTCAGAATGTAGAATATGAAATTTTGTCAATCTGAGGATGGAATCAGATTGACAAAATTTCATATTCTACATTCTGAAGATAAGGCTGATAGTCTCAAAAAGCACTTAATCTGATTTCTTTAACACATTCAAGTTTTGTTTAACGTGTACAATTAATCTATTATACTAATTCTAAACTAAATGACGTAAAAATTAGTAAAAAATTTTCAGAAATATTTGTAGTTTAGTATATTCTTTATGCTAGATTATATGATATTGTTTATAAATCTAAAAAAAAATACTAAACAAGCTAGACAAGCTCTTGTAATAAATTATTCTTGCGTATATATACAGGATGCAGCACCAAAATCTGGACAAATTACACATTTTTTCGAAACATATTTTTTATTGCAAAAACCGAAAAGGTTTACAAAATTTGTTTTAATCACATTGTTTGTAAGGTCATAAAGAATACATTTACTCAATATATCCACCTCCTGCTTGAATGACTGCCTCCATTCTTGGTCTGAAGCATGCACAGGCGCGCTTTAATGTGTCACGGTTTATATTGGCAAATGCCGCATCAATAGCGCTCTCAATGATGTGACATTTGGATATCTGGAGTTGTTTGTGACCCTTTCAACTAAGTTCCATAAATAGAAGTCCAAAGGATTCAAATCTGGGCTGTTGGGAGGCCAGAATTCTTTCGACCAAAACATGTTGATGTTGTCGAACTACCAATTTTGCATCAAATGACTCACTTTAACTGGCACAACTCTATTGTTAACAGGAAAAGTATGATATACAGGGCGAAGACATTACTAATTTGAGGTGGCAAGCATATATTTTAAATTAATAAATTAAAAATTGTAGCCAAGCATTGTGAAGACATTGCAATAATTTTTACTTGTTATAACATAAAAATCTGTTAATATATATAACTTTAATTTGATTAAAATTGTTGATATTTAGGTGAAACGGTCGAGATCGAAAGGTGGACTGGCTGGTCCGGACGGAACAAAATCAGTATTTGGTCAAATGGTATCTAGAATGGGTCTTTTGACACAAGAGAGTTTGCTCCTTCCTCATCGAGTGTGGAAAGTGAAATTTATGGGTAAACACGTATTTATTTAATAAATTATAAGTTTAATTGTTATAATTAACTGGTTATAATTTCAAAATAACAGAACATGTTATTTGTTCTATAATAATTCTTGGATGCTAATTTTACATGAGCCGGAAAAATATTGAAATAGTTTGACATTGAATTATACAATACTTGTAAAAACGGCATAAGATATATCTAAGATTGTGACAATGCCGAAGGGCTCCCTCTATGCTTCGGCACCACAGGACCGAAGGGTCGACATTGCATCGGCAAAGACTGCGATGACAAATTTATCAGGACTGCACCACTTTGTCTTCTGGGTAGACACAGAGACCGTTACGTTCGCATTTACACACGAGCAGTCGCGTCTGTGGGTGGTTGGACTCGGGATGGAGACTGCTTGAAGAAGTTCACCCAACACAATTCTAACAATAACAAAATTCGTTTATTAAACTAGTTCTATAAAAGGGTATTTCCTCTAAAGCTTCTTTGCAAGAACCGAGTTGGAGAGAGAGCTTACATAACATCGCGGGTCGTTATTAACCTGAAGCACTATGTACGGATTTCCAGATGTCGGTGGAGTCATTGAGGAGGCTTGGGAATGTCTCTGTTGCCTTGGATGGTGGTTAAAGTGTATCAAAAGTTGAGATCCATTAGTTCTTCGTAGGTGTTCCCGGAGAATCAGAGGATATTCAGGAGGGGCGCGCGGCGACCAGCGATGATGATAAATCCTTTCAGCTGGCACACAGGGAATATTCTCGCAGATTCTCGACCCATCTCACTGTTCCTTGAGGTCTCCTCTTTATTTCCAAGTCACGTTGTTGTTTTCCACCAATAGTGAATTTTTTGTTATAGTTTCCAGTGACGCATTCTGAGTTCCCTGGGAAAGGAAACAACTCCGGGAAGAGAATTGCACTCATCCTCCGATAATAAAATGGAAAAAGTTTTTTTTCTCTCTGAGATTTAAATAAATTTTTTTTTCAAAACGAAAAATGAATTTTCTTTCAAAAAATTCCCAAATAAAATTGTGGGGTTTTCCTCTTACCAAGTCCGATCTCTCACAAGATAAATTTATTCAAAAGATTAATATTTATATCAGTTTTAATTATTAATTATTCTTTTTGCAGGAGAAAGCGTAGATGATTGCGGTGGAGGATATAGCGAATCCATAGCCGAAATGTGTGACGAATTACAGAATGGATCATTGCCACTTCTCATGTTGACTCCTAATGGACGAGATGAAGCGGGCACAAACAGAGACTGTTTCTTGCTTAATTCTGCAGCAAGGTCTCCGCTTCACATGAATATGTTTCGTTTTCTAGGTAAAAGTGTTACTATGTTTTAAATATAAAAAAATATAACTAATGAAAATTATGGATTAAATTTAGAGCTGCCTTTTTTTATGTAAAAGTAAGGGTCTTTTTTATAGTCCAGTATCACTGTGGTGCTGTAATAACAGAGTTCACAAAGTTCCACTATATTTACTATCCTCAGCTCTGCTAGATATCAAATTACAGACTCACATTTAGTTGAACGATGTTTAACTTTGACGTTTGATGCAAATCATATGCTGTGTCAAATTATCTGGTTGCAAGAATTCAACTATAAAGTAGATGATGATCTTGTCAACTCCAGCAATGGCTAGTGACCTTGAAATTCCATGCGATCATTGAACTATAAACTGGATTATTATTAGAATTGTTAATAACTCATTTAGAAATAATAGAAATGTTTGTTTGTTTTTCAAAACTGAATTTTATAAATAAAGACTATTATTTTATGTGTTTTAGATACATCTTTTAGATTGGATTCTCTTCTGGTGCATACTATAATAATATTATCAATCTTCCAATTTGAAACCATGTCTTTTATATATATTTATCCTTATTACACAATGAAGCTCACTCGATAGACACCAGGCTTTACTTTACATTCATCTTTATTCTGCTGTTTAAGTGCTGATACACATTTTGGGCACTTCCTCTCTTCTGTCGCTAAATATCGAATAACAGAAAGCCAACAGAAGAGGGGTGAGTGCCCAAAATGTGTATCGGCACTTAAACAACAGAATAAAGACCGATGTAAAGTAAAGCCTGGTGTCTATTGAGTGTGCTTCATTGTGTAATAAGGATAAATAAAGATTATCAAGCATTCATATGCATATGTCTCTCTCTCTCTTTTCCATAAAATCAATTACAAATTCCAGAAGTCATTTCTTGTACATAAATGACTGACACTAAACCACTGAAAAATCTAAACATTTAAAATTAAATTAATACTGTTAAATATAATTTATTTAGTTTATTTTAATACTAAGTATTTTTACAGGGATATTAATGGGAATAGCAATGAGAACTGGTAGTCCATTGAGCATTACTTTAGCAGAACCAGTATGGAAACAGTTGGCAGGAATGCCCCTTAATCCTGCAGATCTTACAGAAGTGGACAGAGACTACGTTCCAGGTAATTTGTTTATTAAACTTATCAGCTTAATCATTTTAATTTAAATTAATATTTAGAAAATATGCTCCATAAATGATAAATGTCTTTAATATTGTCCAAAGGACCATACTGATATAAGAATTGAAAAATCTTGATTTGAGTTATATTTTTTACAATATTTTTTTAAAAAATGAAATTAATGAGCTTAAAATATATGATAAAGATGCCAAGAAAGCAACTAAACAAAAAGAAATTTTATCTGTTTATGGAACTTTTTTGTGCAAGTATTATAAAATCTGTGATGTAGTCCTAAAGTTGATAAAAATAGAATTAAGGCAGCCTATTAATAAATTCCTTCTCATATAAAAGTATATATTATCGTGTTATAGATTTGACAGGGTGATTTCTTGTTTTGTCATTTGATGGCACCCACATCCAGGGGTCAAATTCAGTACCCAGTCCTAATATTAACAACCATATTAATAACTCCTCAAGTGTTCTTACAAATAGATGTTTGGAATGGGCTATAATTACAAGTATCTTTTTTTAGTTTATTTGTATTTCATTGGTTTTAGCTAGTGGTTTTCTTTGTTTATGTGGTGAGTGTTGAATAGCTTTGAAAAAGTTCTCTCTCATAATAAGATATTGTTTAATTTCTACACTTTTTTCAGGCTACAACCTATTAGGATATGATAGATGGCATAAAGAAATCATAAGAAATGTAGATTGTACATATAAATATTTCAAAGGCCAATGTATTGATACTAAGCCAAACGATCACTGTAATTAATTGGGCTATTAATGGTTATATCTAAATTTAAATATGTCTGGAAGTGAAGGCTTGCTCAGGGTCCAGATGACATAACTGGCAAGTGCACTACATCAGTGTTCTGCAAGCTTTTTCTATTCGTGGCACATCCATGACTTGACATGTCTCGACACGGCACACCAAAATGTTATTCCCCTCAAAAGCATATGATATGATACTATTAATAGAATTACGTAATGCCAGTAACCTATTATTATTATGTGTTGGGTTTGGTGGGTTATACTCGGTACACACCGGTGGCTGTGTACTATGCCGGACCAGAGTCAAGGCATAGCAACCAAAACAAAACTAAAATTAAATGTGTGTGTCGGTGTCTGTATTAAGGAATTTCCTAACAATATGGCATGTATTCAATATAGTGGCCTTCTGTAGTGTGATGTATGTATTTCTATTCAATTGTAATGTTCCCAGGCTTTTGTGTAGTGTGTGTGGTATCACACCTGTACAGGAGAGAACGACAGGTACAATAAGCACCCTATCCATCCTCCACAGATGCCTTATTTCCTGGGCGAGTTCTGTGTACTTGCTAATTTTTTCAGTGCATGTGTTTTGTACATTGTGAGTGTTTGGAATGGCTATGTCTATAATGTATGTGATTTTATTGTGTTTGTCAATGAGTGTGATGTCTGGTCTGTTGTGGTAAATTGTTTTATCTGTGATTATGGCTCTGTCGTAATACATTTTGTGCGTGTTATTTTCCAATACTGTCTGTGGAATATACTTGTAGTATGGTTCGTGGATGTCTGCCAATTTGTGTTTCTTTGCAAGCTCTTGGTGTATTATATTTGCTACTTGATTGTGTCTATGTAAGTAATCTGTCTGTGCCAAGAGCTTGCAACCAGAAGTGATGTGTTGTATAGTTTCTGGCATGATGTGACATTTTCTGCATGTGTCATTTGTGAGTGTTGTATCTTTGAGTATGTGTTTTCTGTAGTTTTTAGTATTTATGACCTGATCCTGTATGGCAATCATGAATCCTTCCGTCTCCCCAAAGAGGCATCCCCGATCTAACCAGCTGTTTGACGCAGTTTTGTCAACAAAATCCTGGGCCAGGTCGTAAGGATGCCTGCCATGGAGAGCCTTTTGAGCCCATGATTGCTTAATGTTGTCTATGCTTTTTATATGTTGTGTCATGTCTGTATGTTGTGAGTGTAAGTTTAATGGTGTGTTATTTGAGTCTGCTAGAGTTACTGCTTTATGTAACTGTGATGTTTCTTGTTTCTTGTAGAAAAACTCTCGCAGTGACTGTATTTGTTTGTAGTGAAGGTTAACTATGTCAATCAGGCCACGTCCGCCTTCTTTACGTGGAAGGGTTAATCTTTCTGTGGCGGATTTAGGATGATGTTGTTTATGCTTAGTAAGTGTTGTTCTTGTTTTCCTTTGGAGTTGCTCGAGATCTGTGTGAGTCCAATGTATAACTCCAAAAGAGTATGTGAGTACTGGGATGACATATGTGTTTATTGCTTTAACTGTGTGTTTTGCATTTAACTGTGTTCTAAGTATAGCGTTTAACCTACTTTGGTATTCTTTAATTAATCGTTGCTTTATTTGTGTATGTTCTGTTAGTTTGGCCTGTTGGAATCCTAAGTACTTGTAGAACTCGCCCTCTTCCATGGATTCAATAACGTCTCCATTTCCAAGTGCAAAATCTTCTTTCTTCAGGATTCCTTTTTCTATGTGAAGTTTTTTGCATTTGTCTAGGCCAAACTCCATTTGTATGTCCTTAGTGTATGAATGTGTGATTTGTAGGAGTTGATGAAGTTGTTTTTGTGTGGATGCATAAAGTTTTATGTCGTCCATGTACATGAGATGTGACAGTGTAAACTGTGTTGTTTTTTCATGTCTGATATTGTAGCCATATTGCGTGTTGTTTAACATGTTGGATAATGGATTCAGGGCTAGGCAGAACCAGAGAGGACTCAAGGAATCTCCTTGAAAAATTCCTCGCCTAATGAATATTTCGTTTGTTTGTATGGAAGTGTTACTAACCCTGAGATGTAGTGTTGTTCTCCAGTGCTGCATAGTGTTTTCGAAGAATGCAATGAGTGATGGATGTATTTTGTACATGTGTAGAATATGTAGCAGCCAACTGTGTGGAACACTGTCGAATGCTTTTCTGTAGTCTATATATGCCATGTGTATGTTTCTGTGTTGTTTGTGTGCTTGCCGTAGAATGACTGAATCTATGAGTAACTGTTCTTTGCATCCCCTGTGATTTCTACGGCAACCTTTTTGTTGTTCTGTAAGAATGTCGTGTTCTTCAACATGTTTGTATATTTTGTTTGTGATACAGGATGTCAATAATTTGTAGAGTGTTGGAAGACATGTAATTGGTCTGTATTGTGTGGGGTCTGTGGTTTTGTTGTTTTTAGGTTTCATGTAGGTGATGCCCTGAGTAAGAAATTTTGGCATGTCTTGTGGATTGATGATGATGTGTGTTAGATGTTTAGCTAGTTCCTGGTGCAGTGATGTAAACTTTTTGTACCAGAAATTGTGAATGTTGTCTACACCAGGTGTCTTCCAGTTGTGTGTTCTGTTAACAGCGTAGCGAATGTCGTGTACGTTTATTTCAGCACAGGGCATAGTTGGTATGTTGTGCAAGTTTCTGTTCTCCTCCTCGATCCAGCCTGCATCAGCATTGTGTGTAACAGCATTGGACCAAAGAGAAGACCAATAAGTTGTGAGTTCTTCTTCTGTTGGTGTGCCACTGTGCTGTGTATCAGTGTTTGTTTTGGTACTGATTTGTCTGTAGAAAAGTTTTTCATTGTTTGTGAATAATTTATTTTGTTGTTTTCGTAGTGTACATGTTTTGTATCGTTTGAGTCTACGTGCTTTGGCTGCGAGTTTTTGTTTTAGTGTATCGATGTATTCTGTAATGTGTGTGTTGTGATGTTCATGTTTTGTGTGTGTTTTAATTTTCTTGAAAATGTTTTTGAGTTGTTTCTTTAATTTGGGTGTTATGTTGTTTTTAGTGTATTGTGTCAGCCTGCCTAATTGCTGTCTAATGTCATTTATTTGTGTTTCTATTCTTCTCTGCCAGGCAGGCTTATGATAGAATTGTGTTTTGTGTGTGTCTGTCTGTGAGTGTATTTTCAGTCCATGGTGTGTTACTACTGTGACTGCCCCAGCATAAACTAATGTATGAATGTCTGAGAGTGTAGAAATTGAATGAATGTAGTTTGGTAGTAAGTGAGTGTTTACATAATCTAGTGTTTTTCCTACTGCCTTTGACGTGTTGATTTTTGGTATTCGTGGTCTTTGTGTGGGATCTGTACCAGTATATTTAATGAGTGTTTCCTGAAATATAAGTGAGAGCGTATTAACTAATTCTATGTCTACGTTATCAGTGATGGATGGGGAAGTGCCTGCAGTATCATTAGTGGTACTTGTTGTGTGTGTGCTGTAATCAGTGCTTGTTGCTGGATTATCCTGACAGGTTACGTGATCTTCATTAATGTTAAATGTTTCTGTCTGTTGATGTATTTGATCAGCAACCTGTTGTTTGATAAGTTCAAGTGTTGTTTGTGGGATAAGGTTGTTGTGTATAATTGTTCGTTTTTGATCAACAACCCTTTGTTCGGTGACAGTGAGGTGAGGATATTGTTGTGTGAATCTGTGGTGTAGTTGTTGTCTGTATGCTGTCATGTTTGTTTCGAGTCTTGTGATGGTGTAGTAAGTGCGGATGATAAACTCGTTCATTTCTGTTGTCCATTTCATCCGTTGGCGTGGTTTTCCAGCCTTTGTGGTCTGTGGATGCATTGCCACAGAAACACCAAGGCTAGGTTGATTCCTCACATCTGTTGAGGGCATTGCAGTAGCCATGCTTGGGCCGGCGCTGCTTTCGCCACCGGTAACCAAGGGAGACTGGAGCCTATTTTTCGAACGTGAGCCTCTGCCTAACCCACGAACGCGGACCTTGTTAACCCGGGCGACGTCCGAGCCGGTATCATACTTAGATCTGGTTACTACCATAATGATTATCTCCACAGAATGTGGGTGTGTGGTCACTCTTAGCTTCATTTCTCCCCATAGACCTTACTGGCATGGGTGTCCCTACCAGGAGCTTGTGCTCCAGCCTGCATTGCCCTATGGATCTGTAAAACTACTGGGCTCTCCCACCACGACCAGGTGGTGACCACGGGAGAGTTATTATTATTATTATTATTATTATTATTATTATTATTAAACAGACATCAACACCCATGAGCAAATTTATTTTACATTTAATTTCTTAAAATACATAAAAATGCATGGCTTGTAATAAAGAATAAATGAACATCATCTTATTTCATAAGTGCTGCATCACTTATGAGATAACACTTGAAATACAAGCATAAGAAGCACAGCAACTGTGATAAAAATATATAAATAAAGCTTGAAATTAGTAGAAAAGTTCACATCACACCTTACACCTTGTGACGGCACACCGGTTGCAGAACACTGCACTACATGATAAGCAGAGGTTGCAGGTTCAAGTCCAACTCTGGGCTAGTTCTTTTTTCCCAGGAATGTAAATTATTTAATAAATTATTAAATTATTATAATTATTAATTTACATAAGAGATGGTGCCTAATGTCTACCTCTAGTACAAACTTACTTAGTTTCTAATTATTAATTATAGCATAGCTAGCTGCACCTGGCCATGCATTGCTGTGGCTCAAAATGTATCTATTATAAATGTATAACACTCCCCGTGGAGAGGAAATTTCAAAAAATTCCTTCTTAGTGTACATTCTCTTGACGTACCCTATTAAAACGCAATCAAAAGTGCAAAAGACCGCATCTAAAATAGTATAATAGAAGCTGAGTTATTTACGGTAAGCCTTAATTTTGTCCCTCTACCCCACGGGGGAATGTCAACATCTATATAATATAAAAACATGCACGTATTCGAATGCAATGAAATTTCAAAGCAATCGGTTAAGAACTTTCGGAGATTTAAGATTTTGAACAAACAAACACTTACATTTTTATTTACAGTAGACCCCTCTATAATACTGTAAATAATTCCGTGTTATATGAATTCCATGTTGTAAGAGTCACTTAGATTTTACAAATATGTGAGCCGTTCACAACCCGGCACACATATTTGTAAAATCTAAGTGACTTATTCAACATGGAATTCATATAACACGGAATTATCTACAGTATTATAGGGGGATCTACTGTATATAGATAAAAGCCTAATTACGGCAATCATTTGGCTTAAGGTAGTTTGTGTTTTATCAGCACATTATTATAAATTTACAAAATGTGGCAAAGGTCAAAACATGAAAGAATTACAGAGTGGCCCAAAAGTCAGATAACTATGTTTTTTTTCTGTTCAAAATATACTTGAAATTATGAATCATAAACTCAGTTTAAAATAATTGCTTTTTTCCAAATTAGTGGAATCATGATTTTAAAAATATATAAAACAGTTTTTGTTTTTATTCATCATATGATCGTTAGTTGTTGAACAATACCTAATTAGTAATAAATAACTATGAACCTGTTGGATTTATCTTTTTGATTATTATTCAAGATATTTTGGAATGCATTTCAGACAATCCAACAGTCCTCTTCAGTCAGGTTACATACATATATGTTCGACATTATGGCATTGTAATTAAACATTTATAAAAGAAACTAACAAATAAAAAATACCATGTTCAACAATAACAACAATAATGCAAAACACCCATAAAAGTTGATGTCAAATGTATAAACACCATAACTATAATCAAAGTTAATTTTATACTTCATACACTAATACCTAATTCTGTATACCTAATTCTATTAATTATTTTGCATGAATATTTCACAAATTAAGTGATATATTCAACTACAGGAATATATCGCTTGCAACAGATAATTTGAATGATTATTTATTGTTGCAATGGATAAATTGATGCTGGAGTAAGGTTTATAAATTTTTGAATGCAGACATACACAGAATATAGTTAATCCCATTTTAGGTATAATGGTGTTAACAACTAAACTTTTTAAGGAAAACAGTAATAATTATATATTTTTCACCTGTGTTTTTTTTTTTTTTTTTTTTTTTTTTTTTTTTTTTTTTTTTTTTTTTTTTTTTTTTTTTTTTTTTTTTTTGTAGGTCTTATGTGTATCAGAGACATGGAAGCTGAAGCTTTTCAGCGTTTAGACATGCCCTTTAGCACTTCGAGTGCATCAGGTCAGGATGTTCGTCTCAGTTCCAAGTATCATCGCATCACTATTGAAAATCGATTGGAATACATAAAACTGGCATTGAATTACAGGTAAGTTTTCATTTAATATTTTAAATTTAACTTACTTGTGTCATAACAAACTTGAGAAAAATCACTTTCTTGTGATATATAATATAACAATTGCTTTTCAATTAAAAAATCACTCAGTATACATAAGAAAAAATTTCTCTTACATACAAGTTTATCTCACATTTATCTCCAAAAAAACCAAAAAAATGTGAAACCAAACTGCTATATAACATTAAAGCCACCCCAACTGCTATATAACATTGGGCTATTTTCTATTGATTATAATTTTAAAAACTAATTAATTTTTTCCTAGAGGGAGGTGTTAGGCACCATCTCGTATTAAATTTAATAATTATAATTTAATTAAGTAATTTTAGAATATTCTGGAAGAAAAAAATCGGCTAGGAGCGGGACTCGAAGCCACAATTCTACTTACCGTGCAGATGCATTGCCGATTACACTATTCAGACCTCTGGTCCGATCGCCTCTTTTAGGTATATTTAACTACAATATAACCATATATAACCATCATTGATTACTTATGGTGCTGACTGGGGATGCATTCAGCACCCTCATCTTGTAAACTCCTACCCACGGTACTCAGCCGGCCATTGCATACCCAGTATGGTATATACATATAAACATCTCAAAACCTGATTCATTAGTATAAAGCCACACCAACTGCTGTATAACATGCCAAAAACATTGGTTTTGAGAAGATGCTTATATATATATACTTACACCATGCTGGGTATTCAGTGGCTGGCTGAGTGCCTTGTGTGGGAGTTTATAGGACGAGGGAACTGAATGCATCCCCAGTTAGCACCATAAGTAACCAATGATGGTTATATCGTAGTTAAATATACCTGGAACAGGAGATCAGACTGGAGGTCTGGGTAGTGTAATTGGCAATGCATCTGCATGGCAAGCAGGAGTTGTGGGTTTGAGTCCCGCTCTGGGCTGATTCTTTTCTTCCAGAATATTCTAAAATTATTTAATTAAATTATAATTATTAAATTTTATTTGAGATCATGCCTAACACCTCCCTCTAGTGACAAATTAATTAGTTATTAAAATTATAATCATCAGAAAAGAGCCCGACATTATATGGCAGTTGGTGTGGTCTTATACTAATGAATCAGCTTTTGAGATGTTTAAATAACTTAGAAATATAAATTGCTGACTTGCAAAAATGTTGGAATTTGTGAACCCCTCCCAACTGCAAACTTTCTATTTATTTGGATATTGTCAATGTGTTGCCAACTGTGGTCGTGTTTGTCAGTATGCCAACAGCATTGCTACATCTTTAATACACCTTTATAAGTCTTTATCTGTCCACATAAATGTAGATAATTATGGTCCTACTGTATTTGAATGTGGAAAAGTTATCTGACTCTTAGGCCATCGTGATTTACTCATGACTAATATTTGGTATTTGCCGTTTTCCACTCCTTGTTTCTATGTTGTGCCAAATCAAAGGAATGAATCAACAGTTGGTGATTACCAAACATGTGGAACCAGCTTTATAGTAAATAAAGATAATCTATATATATATAAATGGACATGTATGTCCCTATATTTCACTTTTCCGCCAAAACTACACATCGCACGTGAATGGTGTTTGTATGTGGTAGTAGCCCCAAGTCTCCATTCGTGCACCAGGGGGGTTGCGTCTCGATAGCTATAAGGGTGCGGAAGATATGAGGCTGAAAGTGGTTGAAACTGGCTTTCTATTTCGAATGTTTTAATTCGAACATAAAATTTGAATATTGGTTCGATTATAGAACGATTGTAAACGTTCCAAAAACGTTGAAAATAGTTCGTTTGACCAGACGTGAACAGGAGACGTTCAGAAATAGAATCGGGACCAGGTCTCTAATTAGTCTGGAAACGGGGGACCTAATTCTTGCATTCTGTGAAAACGGATAAGATTGGCTATAATGTAATTATCTTAATCTTCACTATCGTTACTTTTTAAAAACCCAGCGAAACGGGTCCTTGCAGCTAGATTCTAGATTACTTAGAAAAACAGTCTTTTATATATATAAAAAAAACTATATTACATACAAATGTACGAACAAATAAAAACCCAGCGAAGCGGGTCCTTGCAGCTAGTTGTATAATAAATATGAAGATATTGTATTATAAATACACTGCTGCCTGTTAAAATTGCTATACCATGAAGGTGGCAAGCAACAAATGCAAAATTTGCATGAGAAGTACATGCTGGGATATGCAAATGATTAGCATTTCAACACATGCTTGCAAAGCAGGTAGGAGTATGGCCACCTACAGTCTGTATAAAAGGAAAGATCATAAAGTGGATTTCTCATAAAGAAATTGCATTTACACATTGATTGCTTGTGTAAAGGTTTTTTATGCCTTGTGTAAGAAGAAGGAATGCCTACCAGCAAGTGTCAGAGTTTGATCATGGTAGAATTGTAGCTACTGGGACTGCAGTTTATCATTTCATTGTGCACTATTATTGCTTACATTGGTCATGATCCCAGGACTGTCACAAGAATATGGAATCAATGGGTCCTGGAGTGCCATACAGAACACCATGCAAGATCTCAGCAATTCCCAGTCATTGACACTCAAGAGGACAAACTTCTTATCTACATGGCTTTATGGGATTGTACAGACACATCGTGTACCCTGACTCAGGAACTTGGGTCATTTTCAGAACAAGTGTCTGCATGGACAGTGCAGAGATGTCTGCAGCACCATGGATTATCAGCATGGCAACTATTGCTGTAGCTTTCCTTGATGCTGAAGCAGAGACACGCATGCCTACAATGGTGCATTCAATGACAAATATGGATGCAGGAGTGGCATCATGTCGTCTTTTTAGACAAAGTCCCGTTCTGTATACAGCATCATGATGGCTGATCCATATGTGGAGGCACTGAGGGGAATGATCATTGCTAGTTTGCATTAGTCATTGGCATTCGGGCCCAGTACCTGGAGTGATAGTATGGGGTGCCATTGGGTACACATCCTGGTCACCTCTTATTCACATAGCCATTAATTTGGACAGCTGCGGTTACATTTCTGATGTATTAAGGCCTGTTGCTGTGCCCTATCTTTGAAGCCTCCATCATGCTACCTTTCAACAAGAAAATGCATGACTGCATATTGCCCATGCTGTCCCAATCTTCCTGTATACAGAGGTTGTTTGACTATTGCCTTGGCCAGAACGTTCTCCAGATCTGTCACCAATTGAGAATGTCTGGTCAATGGTTGCCGAGAAACTGGCACACCTCCATTTGCCAGCCAGTATGATAGATGAACTCTGGAATAGAGTTGAAGCTGCACGAACTGATGTACCCATAACTGCCATGCAAGTGCTGTTCGACTCAATGTCTAGTCGGATTACAGCTATTATTGCTGCCAGAAGCGGTTGCTCTTGATAGTGATTTCTGCATGCTCTGTACCTCAAAATTACCTATCAGTTTAATCATGTCTTCCTCCCATTATATTGTACGTATACAATAAATATGATTCTGCTATTTGCTTTCCTTTTTGAAGTAGCATTATTAATGGATAGCAGTGTAGTTAAAGACTAAAAAGAGATTTCTAATATTACATACTATATATTAATTTTTTAGGTTACATGAATTTGATGAACAAGTTGCTGCAGTACGAGAAGGAATGGCCAAGGTTATTCCTGTCCCTTTGCTTTCTCTCTTTACAGGTTACGAACTAGAAACAATGGTAAGACGTACCTTAATACTGTAAAATAAATAAGTTAAATTTATGTAGAAATACGAACATATTTCTGTACGCTTATTGAAAAAAGGTGTGTGGAAGTCCGGATATTCCCATTCAACTCTTGAAAGCAGTTGCCACATACAAAGGTATCGAAAGTGACGCCCCTCTGGTCAGATGGTTTTGGGAAGTGATGGAAGAATTTTCTAATACAGAACGATCACTGTTCCTTCGATTCGTGTGGGGTCGGACGAGACTACCAAGAACTATTGCAGATTTTCGTGGACGAGATTTTGTTTTACAGGTAACAATTTGAAATTTATTGCAAAATTTATTGTAAAATACAAATATCGTCTTTAATTTCTATAAAATATCAAAATTAAAGTTCTGACTAAAGACTTTGGGTTTATCACCTTTAGAAACCATTACTTTGTTTTCTGCTAGTTTAAATTTTCTTAATATACAGGTTTTTCGAGTTAAAATTGTTTGAGGATGATTTTAAACCTGAATAATTGTGGAATTAATTTTCCGAGAAGCATTTTACATATTTTGATTAATATTCATTTCTAAAATAACATAAAATGTTTTAATAGCAAATAAATATATTTGAAATGCTCATCAATAGCTAGAAGCTAAGCTTTAAACAGAAAATAGCTTGCACGCTGCATTCAAAATTACAAATTTTTGGACATACATAGATTAGTTTGGGACTCTTTTCACTATGTTTAATGCTTAATTGAGAGATACACAATATATGTGATGATGAACATTTGAAGCATGTATTACAGTATTTTTTATAATGGTTATTTGTAGGTTCTGGACAAATATAACCCACCAGATAACTTTCTACCTGAGAGTTACACATGCTTCTTTCTGCTGAAGATGCCAAGATATTCATGCAAAGCGGTGTTGCGCGAGAAACTCAAATATGCGATTCACTTCTGCAAGTCCATAGACACAGACGATTACGCTCGAGTGGCCCTCAATGACGGGGAAGTGGGCATCGAAGGCAACAGTTCGGCCGACAGTGTCAGCGACGACGTAGACAGTCTGGCTTCCGAGGAACCACTCGTCGATTCTGTCTCTGTCAATTCTCAGTGAGACGCTCCTCACAATCCACGCTGTGATATATTCTAGTCAGACGTTCGTTACTCTCATTTAACCGTCTTCGAGAGCGGTTAAAACAGATCCGTGTGACTGTAACATATTGCTTTGTAAATAAATAAATAAATTTAAAAAAAACATTCCCAAAAAATTTAATTTATATATTAACTGTTAGAAAACGGTAAGTTTGCTTGTTTTTTAATCAAAGAAGAAAGGTTTTTATTCAATTATCAATTGTATATTTAAGGTACGGTTAATCGAGTGTGGAGATTTGTATCGTCGCTACATAAACTTATTTCATTTTTTTATCTATGCTTGCTTGTACAATAAAGTTTTTTGAAAAATTAAGCAATAAAGTTTTTTGAAAAATTAAAAAAAGATTCTAGTTGCACTAAACCCATTTTAAAAAAATGGGTTTAGTGCAACTAGAATATTATTTTCCACATATTTATTCAAAATCCTGTATTACATCTGCATAACAACCCACTATATTGAGTTACACTCCGTAAAAAAATTATAAGACTAGAGCATGCAGCATTTTGAGTAAATGTAAGACATTATATCGCATTACAATCATGCCTCATGGGACAGAATTGTCAGAAATGGAAATAAGGATGATCTCAAAGAGAAATTGTCACTGTTATTGCTCAATCTAAGACAGTTCTTGCACGTCTGCTCGATAAATGGATGGGAAAAAGCACTAACATTACAAGGCATCAAGAAAGGTTAAGACCCTAGCATCAGTTTTTCAAATTTTTGTGGTTCTGTAGTTGAGCATCAGTTAGGAAACCGTTCGAACGACAATAGACTCGAATGAGAAACATCCAAAATCCATATTCTAATGTATAAACCAAATGCCCACTCCAGTTGTGTGTTACCTTATGGGCAATTGCCCGGTGCCCCCACAAACAGGTGGACCCAAACCAATCTTATAAGAAAATATTTTCCCCGAAGAAAACTGTCTAAAGTCAGCACTGTATGCAGGGTTCCCCCAATTCAAATTCACCTGTGCCCCATGTAGCTATAATGTGACACCAGTCCTTTCTAAGGAAGAGATAGATCTAGATCAGCGTTTCTCAAAGTGGGCGATAACGCCCCCTTGTGGGCGCTGGAGGCTTTCAGGGGGGCAGTAGAAGGCTCAAAGAGAATTGGGGGGCGTTAAGGAAATATAGAGGGGCGACGGCAGACAAATTCTATATATAAAAATTCGACGGAATATATATAAAATGTTGACATTTTATATATGAATATATATAAAATGTTGACATTTTATATATTTTTTATTTTTTATTGAAGGTCACAACTTGAATATTTCTAACACATTGACTTTTATTTTAGCTCAGCGTTTCTCAAAGTAAGCAATAACGCCCCCTTCTGGCGCGATGAATAGATCTATGATAGAGGCAGGGTATTGAACGGTGACCAAAGGCAAAATTGGGGCTGATAAGAGGAAACATTGCGTTTAATGGTTTCCAGATGATGAGAACAATGTACAGTAAGGGCACAAAGTGTGAGATTCATAGAAAAGTTTTCCTAAGAATATTTCCAATCCTTTTCTCACACAAGAGAAAATGGGTTAGGGGGCGTTGGGTATAACTTTATGGAACAAAGGGGGCGGTGGATCGAAAAAGTTTGAGAATCACTGATCTAGATGGAAAATTGTATTAATCTATAATTAATACTGCATTAGGATTAAAATACAAAAAAAGTGAAGTCCTTGCAGTAAAATATGTTACAAAATGGTAAAATGTTCATCATTTACGATGCTCTAATATGATTTAACTAGTTAATAAGTGAAAGAATCTACAGAGGTTTGTCATAGTAAATTATTTATTAAGAGGACTATGTCCATCGTGGCCCAGACCCACAGTGGAGACAACCAGGAAGGAGGGATTGTGGGCAATTGTCTGGGGCGTCCACCGATGGGTGTCATCAAAACCAATGTTTAAGAAAATATTTCCCCCCAAAAGTTCCCTCAAAGAAGTGTCCGAAGTCAACACCGTACTTGGGGCCCAAGGTAGCGTGTTGTTGTTGTTTGTTAAGTTATGGTAACACAACACTTGGGCGATCTACCTATAGGGATGCTTTCCAGGAGGTCTTTTAAGGGAAACTGGCCCCGATTTAGGCATTACAGACGGAGAAAACTCCACGTGGCCAGCCCGTCCGATCGAGGCGCGAACCCACGACTGAACTCCCAGTATTCAGGGCACGAAGACCGCTTGGCCACTGGTGGGCCTGGTAGCGTGTTATGACTTTGTGGACACCCAGGCAAATTTGAATTAGGAGGTCTCACCTACAGTGTTGACTTCAGACACAATATTTTCTTAGACGAGACTGGTTTGGGGCCCCCAGGAAATTTCCCCTTTTTACCCATAGGATAACGCGCCACTGGGTTCTAATTCAAATTCACCACGAAACTATAGCGCGCCACCTGGTTTCCAGGCATCGTTCACTTGTCTGTCGTTTATTTACAACTAACCGGAAACACGAGGCGGAAGTTCGAGCGGATCTTTCGTATAGAGCGTGCGCATATGTTTTCGTTTATTCAAGAATACAAACAAGAAAAGCAGAGATACGGGCAAACTTATCGACGTTTAAGCACTGTAAAAGTTGACAATCGCGTGTAAATGTCACACGCGTCATGGAAAGGTGGGCGTTGATAACGATACTGCTGTGCTCGTACGGATGTATAAAGGAAATAAGGCCTTCGGAATCGTTCCTAACAGAATATTTAGAAGGCCCCTGGATCAATTTAACAGACAGTCAGGTCAGTTATATTACGTAACGCCCTGTTCGGTTATTAAATAACACTATACGTAACAAGCAAATTGCCGAGATCGTGCACCTCTATGTCATCAATCTATCAAATTTTAAGTGCGTAAAACGTCACCAGATTAAGAATTTTATGCTGATTAAGCGACGTTTCGTGTCCATTACGTCACAGTGAGTAATGTCGAAAGAAACAATCGTAAATGTCACCAGAACGAAATCTCTTTAAATTTCTGCGAAAATTCGGCGGATCGGCCCGTTAATAGTGGGTTAACCGAGACGTATGCTCAAGAACGCGTTTCGATTAACTGACTTCTGGGCCACCCCACCGTAATAACGGTCGAAGAAACCCTCTATTATTATAGAATCATGTAATCAAGTCACGCTGGTAAATTGTAAAAAAAAAAGGTAGCGTTAAATGGAACAAAATATTGATAGACAGTGGCAGAGATAATTAATTTGTGACAAGTAAGATAATGATTCGTTTTGTACTTAAAAAAACATGGTTCATGATAGCACTAATCAACACGTGAAAGTACAAGACTGCCCAAAAGTGAATTAACCGAGATGAAATTCATATTTAATTAACACGAAGTGATCGAAACGCGAACTCTGTCCATGTGTCAAATCTGTTCTAACTGTTAACTGACTTTTGGGCCACCGTGTTTAACGGTTAATGAAAAAGCGAGTTTCGATCAATATAATTTTATTAACGCTCCTTGAAAATGCTCCGTCTATTTTGTCCATTTGAAATATACAGTCAAACCTCGATATAACGCTACCGTACTAAATGAGCACGATTGAAGACGCCTGAAGTGCCAAATTGCAAATGGGGGGTTTTCGTGTGTCTTTATGTGCAGGCGATTGAAGATACGTGAAACCAGAGGCGTAGCTACCGTGGAGTAGTTGGAGCAAACTGCTCCAGGCGCACGAATCATGAGGGCGCCAAGTTATAAATGGCAAAATAAAAACTTGTAAAAACATTTGTAGAAAAATTTTTGGATGTAATAATTAATCAATTAACTATTAGATTTGAATTCGTTCGACAACTATGTACACTTTTCAAGTGCTTTTCGCCTGCATATATTGTCGCGCTTCTGATAAAAATATTCTGAAACAGTCAGAATTGTTACAATCGGCATATTCACCTAGTTTTGGACCTCGACTGCTTAGATTTAAAATGTGTTTTTATAGTCAGGTAAAAGAAATTACTTCTATAAGCGAAGTTGCAGCCTCAAATAGGTTCTCCGACATTATTGCAGCATGCCTCATTTTTTTAACTTTACGGGCGACGACATAGAAGTTTTTCAAAACTAAAATTAATCAAAGATTATTTAAGAAGCATCGTGTCACTACACCGTCTTAACTCTGGTCACTATATCCAGGGGCGGATCTACATAGAAACTAATAGAGCTTAAGCCCCGGGCCCACAAAAATTGAATTATCATAATTCTTAATATTTTTTCATTAACAATGAGCATTTATCGTATAGTAAAAAATAGTTAATATTAATAATAATATAATAATGATAATTTATAGTGTTATTTGTATAGTAGACCCCTATAACATTGTTGATAATTCCGTGTTATATGAATTCCATGTTGTACGAATCACTTAGATTTTACAAATACGTGAGCCGTTCACAGCCCGGCACATAGTATTTGTAAAATCAAAGTGACTCGTACAACATGGAATTCGTATAACACGGAATTAGCAACAGTGTTATAGGGGTTTACTGTAGTAATAAAAAATGGTTTCCCGTTGGACTTCAATAAGCACAATGCCTCGAAAAACCTAGATCCGCCCCTGTCTATATCAATTGAAAAAACAATCGCTTATCAACTTGATCTAAAGAAAGTGATCGACCGATTTGCAAACGAAAAAGCGAGAAATCAATTTTGAAAGTTTTTTAATGTATTATGTAGGGCAGTGTTTCTCAACGGGGGCGATATCGCCCCCATGTGGGTGTTTTTCCATGTTCAGGGGGCGATTAGTAACAATTTATATTTTGGGGGGAGAAAAACAATTTTCTGGACGATATAGTAAAACATTGTATTAAGAATAATTAGATATTTTATTCGTTAAATCGTACAATAATTAAACAAATACAGTAGAGCCTCGATTATCCGACCCCCGATTAACCGACACCTCGGTTAACCGATCGTCCTAGTCGGCAAATTTCAAATGTCCGCTAGTGATGTGGCGCTAAAATATTTGGCTGTCTTGGCTACTTTAACATTATTTTTACGTGTTTTAGCTGGCAATACTCATTCGACCGTGAAAGGGAGCCAGTATTTAAACGAGGCTTAATTTTCTAATTTTTAACGATACAATAGCGACGATTATTATTTTAAAAAATTTTTGTTAGGCTTAACATCGATGAAAATTCAACGCGAAGTAGGTTAATAGCGATATACTAATATACTAATTACATGGGATATAATAATATACTACACTAATAATGGATTTTTTCATACTTTTCGGTTATCCGAC